AGGAGTCAATGGTGTATTCTCTACAGTCAGAGAGCGCTTTTACTGGCCCCATATGTTACAGGATGTCAAGCATCATATTCGCACCTGCCATGAATGCCAGATCCGAAGTGTACGCAAAAGTGAAGTCCCACTTACCATCTCATCACCTCCTACAATCTTCACCAAAGTCTATGTCGACATTATGCTCATGCCCAAGGCCAGAGGATATCGATATCTTGTTGCTGCAAGAGATGATCTGTCACTTGCTGCAGAAGGAAGAGCATTGAAGAAAGCATCTGCACATAATCTTGCTCGCTTTTTCTGGGAAGAAATCATCTGTCGCTATGGAGCTATAGGAGAAGTTGTCACAGATAATGGAAGCGAAGTCAAAGGAGCATTTGAAGAGCTTGTGGAACGTTACCAGATCCCTCATATTCGCATTTCTCCCTACAATTCCAAGGCAAATGGTGTTGTTGAGCGTGGACACTTCGTCATAAGAGAAGCACTTGTCAAGTCCTGTGAAGGGAATGTCGATTTATGGCCAACCAAGGTCCATCATGCCTTCTTTGCAGACAAGGTCACTACTCGTCGTTCTACTGGATTCAGCCCTTTTTATCTGTTGCACGGAGTTGACCCAGTCCTACCATTTGATCTGACAGAAGCAACTTTCCTTGTTCATGGATTCCATACTGCAATGTCAACAGAAGACCTCATTGCTCTGCGCATTCGTCAACTAGAAAAGAGACAGGATGATTTGCAACAAGCTGCACTCACTATACGCAAAACTCGTCTCAGATCTAAAGCGCAGTTTGAGAAACTCTATGCACGAAGGATGTTCAAGAACGAATACCAGCCTGGAGAGCTTGTTCTAGTGCGGAATACTCAGGTTGAGAAAGAGCTGGATCGTAAAGCAAAGCCTCGTTACAATGGCCCTTATGAAGTTGTGCGACGTACTAAAGGAGGATCGTATGTTCTAAAAGAAATGGATGGATCAGTATCACGAAGAGGAATTGCAGCATTTCGCCTACTTCCCTATTTCAACCGCCACTCTATGCCACTCTTGGACGAACTGGATGACCATGATAACGACCTAGATGAACCAGAAGATGAACCTGACTATGAGCATAACGACTCAGATGATGAAGATAACGATTAATGACTTACCTGAACGAATTTTATGCTGACATGACCCTTCAATGTGTTGCCATGTTTCATTCCCTATGACCCTACCTTTATGGAAGCAACTGGGGACAGTTGCAATTTCAAGTTGTCCGTGGATGTCATGCACCAAAGTTGATTGGTAGCATGGACAGGTGTCAATAACGAAGCGAATATTCAAAAAGACTCGCCTTTGCGCCACACAGGCACAGTGCCACGTGGAATAGTAATTAATATTGCCCTTTTTGAACTTGTGGCTGATCAGCACCACCTCTATTAGGCAATCCAGTCACGCTCACCTTTGCTTTTCCATCCGGTACTTTCCGCATTTCGGCATTTTGGCAAATTTTCGCGTCGCCACTGGCTACACATTGCATTGCGCCCTTGCTTTTGTCGTTTCCCTTACTCCCCTTCCTTTGCCTAGCCCCACCATGGGCCCCTTCCTCTCCTTTTTATTCTCACCCGACGGTCGTTTCTGGGTCCCCATTTTAGTTCACCTCCTCGTCACCTCCACCCTCCTCCTCCTCATCTTCTTTGCACCCCCACCATTTCTGATGTCACCACTTCCTATCCGCTTCCGTCGCCGATCCGTTGACTACCACGTGCCACTGCTGATATCAGCAAAGCCCCGGCGGCCGGTCCAAATAGGGCAACAGGTCCATCTTCATGACGTCGATCTGCCATCATATACTATCAAAACATCGGTCGCTCGTCTTGCCTGGTTGGAGCGTGGGTGGGTAATTTTTGAGCTGGAGAAGGTTCATCCCCTTGCGTTGCCCATGTTCATCGCTGTCCCATTCACTTGGGTACACTTATCATTTGTCCATCGTCTTCGCTACAGCTACACCTACCACACGCTGCCTGGGACTCACTTGTTCCAAATTGGAACTACTCCTCTCCCTCCCTCATTTGATCAGGTGGTCCAACACAACCAGTCCATTGGTAAGGCCATGGAACTGTCAGATTTGGACTAGGTGGTGGACCGGTGGCTCCAGTTTCTTTTTTTTCAGCAGAACATTCATTTACAGTGCGATTATTTTTGATTTTTGAATCATTTTTATGGACACATATTTTTTTAGAATGCCTGACTGACAATAAAGGAACTGTGTTGATACTGATAGTGTTTTGCCTTGCTCTTTTTTTACTGCATCTTCCCATGACATCATGATTTTCCTGCTCTCTTTTTGCTATTGGACTTTACTTTATGGCTGTACAAACCTGTGATATTACTCACAGCATTTATTGTTCTATCCCTTTCTTTTCTTTTTTTGACAATCTTATCCTGTACTACCTACGCAGGATTCGTCAGCGTACATTCCTTCCTTCATATTCTTTCTCATTCTTTTTGCACAGCTATACTGTGCATAGCCTACTTCTCTTTTACTATATAAACCCCTGTATTTTACCTTGTAAAAAAAAAACAAGAACTCGATTCCAGACTTCTTCTCTAATCTTAAGTCCACTTCTTACTGCTACTTGTGATCCAGTGTGGTCACAACACTTCCCACTTCTACCACTGTTAACTGCTGTCATCGTCACTCGTCACTTTTGAAAGTGATTGTCATCCCCTTCGATTAGAGTCCTTCTGAGCACTACAGTTTGTGCATCAGGAGCCTGCTATCACTGGGAACCTCGTCACCTCGTCATCCTCGTTGTTCTCAAACCTACCTTGTGCTACGATTAGCAAGGTAGTGCTCATCTATACTCGCCACAAACCCCCTATCTTTCTATAAATTCAACTATCCCTCCTCCTCAAAACCCACACTCATACACCACTGGGTTTTACTTTGAAGGATCTTTATACGTACCACCCCACGAACAACCAGACCACTCCACTGTTCTAGGAGGCAAAGCCCATAAACAAGTTCCGTGGAATCTGGGAGGATTGTGTGTTAGTTTGTTTTGTGTGTGGTTTTCTAACAACAGTTCTCATCATCGACAATGTCCGTCAGTAAATGCCTCTTGTCCTCCGAGTCCGCTTCATACCACCATGGCTGTTCTGACTTTCTGTGTCCTCCTGCTGCATTCAGCCCCATTTCTCCTCCCTGATTTTCTTAAATCCATTCAAACCTCACTGGCCATTCTAGTATCACTCTGCATTCTGATCCTTCTCCTCTAAAAATATACCCAGTCAACATAAATGTCTTCTCCCGCGTCCCATCAAAGACAAGGCGAGGGAAGTGCCTGTGGACACCCTTGGCAGCACTTTCAAGAGGTTCCCAGGGTCTTACAGACAGGGTTTTTATGTTAGCAATAACCCATCTGTAAGACCACCCTCTCTCCAGAGGGTTCCCCCAAATTCCCAATATATTTTTTCTTCTACAATAATTATTTCAAGCACTTGCACATCCATATGTAAATAACACCTCCTAAACACTATAATTAATGTTATAAAAAAAACATAAATTTTGACCCTCTTTACACACTCTGTGAGAGCCTCTGACAGATCTTGCTGTGAGCCTCCCCATCAATCCATCAAGGAATGTTCCAGGAACACTTCCCAAATATGTATGTGCACTATCTTTTTATGGTAAAAACATACGGTGATGCTCTGGTTTAAAGGGCAGATTGTTATTATAAAGGAAAGGTGTTGAGGGGGTAAGCTATGCATTGGCAGCACACTAGTGACCAGCTGTAAGAATCATGATGGCGTGGGTGACGCGGTGACGACTGGCGGTTCGAGTGATAACGTAGTGGTAGGGTGGTCGTCGATCGTTCAGGCGGGGTAATGCTGGCAGAAAGTAGTAGAGACACAGTGACTAGGCATGTGCACCAGATATCGATATTCGTGGTTGTGAACGAGAGTCACGACAGTGATCTATGGGCGGAGTAATGGCGTACTGTTTTATGGAGCTATGGTTGGCTATATAACCTGGATGCAAGCTCAAAACTGGATATGAATATGTTTTGGGAGTGATCGCGTTGATGCCACCGAGCGTGGGAATGACGCGTAGTTGCCCCTGTCTATCTGAACACGACCTTTGAAAGTTTTGCACTCGGTCGTTCGAATTCCAGTCGTACTATCCTTGTTTTGGTCGGGGTCGGCTAAAGGAGACTAACTCACACCCGCCATGGAACTCTATTACATCTTGGCCGAGCATAAGTCTTTAGGTCCGGATATCGTCTCAAAAGGGTTTTATCAAAGCCTTTCCAAGGACGACACTTTCCTCGAGCTGGAGCAGGCTGCCAAAACCTATATTCGCTCTCCACGGTTCGAAACGGACCTAACTAAAGAAATTCATATTGTTGTGTATGAGGAACGTTATCATAAGCAGCTGTGTTGCTCTCGATGTGACTGACACCCCTACAGCTTCTCCACCCCATTCCCGATATGACAGACTGTAGTATAAACGGGATCACGGAATTTCTGGGGGACCTTGACGAGACCTTCTTCAGGGAAAAGGTAATCCGCCGGTTTTCAGGTGAGAAAGTCAGGCGTGGACATAGTGAGGAGGGGCGAGTGTTAGTGGTATTCTGTACGTCTCCCTTTTCGTGGTGTCGTTTCTTCGCTTGATCAACTTCCTCTCATAGACCCCCGGGAGCCACGTCGTGCCCTTGACTCTATCGAGGAGACACAAATCTTTGGTGAGTCTAGATCTGCTGAAACACCTATATACCTGTAACAGTTGTATAGATCGAGAGACGGTCGTTCGGGCAGCTTTCACGCGCGACTCACCTTCTACAGGCGCGAGGAATTCAGTTCTTTGTTTGAAGTAGAAAGAAAGCGAGCTTGATGCCATATACAATGGACGACTCGTCGAGTTGACGGCGCCTCGGATCGAGATCTATCATCTTGCATTCACCACATTTCGAACGGGGATGGCCTCCGATATCGACCCCTCCACTTTTAGCGATGAGGAGCTGGGATTGGCATACGACTTTATTGTCAAGTCTGCTCATTTCTACGCGACTGAGTTTGAACGAAGAATAAGCTTGGACTCCTTTGCCAACTTCGTTCATAAGGATATTCTCGCAGCGATGGAACTCGATGGTGTGATCACAATGCGGCCTGTTGTCATATACAAGAACACCAGCGAAACGGATGCCACGCTGTGTTTCACTGAGCTCAAAAACGGACTTGGAGATGGTGGATGTGATCCCACCCACCAGGCAGAGGCTGATTATGTATGTTTCTATTCAGCAGAGCAGGTGAGATGAATTCTTCTGGTTTGGCCTGGCAAGCTGAGATGGTTGCAGCATCGGCCACTTCGGGCTGTTTCTTGTTGTCCTTCGTTCCTTGTCGGGATTTCTGAGTGTAACATGACCATCTCTGGCGCCGTTTTCACAGATCGCTTCATTTCCCAACGTTTGACGGAGAACATCTACCTTGGTGGAGGTCCGAGATTAAACAACCAGGTGTACAATGTTGCTCGGGCCTTACGTCTTTTGAAAGAAGGCATTGCCGATTTGCACGCCTACTATTCCAGTCTTTTCCCCCTTCCCAACTAACCATCGCACACTTTAAAGGGTCGTTTCGCTTCTTCTGCACGCGCCACTCCTATGAATTCACCATTATTCCCCTATATGACTTCATTCCATCTTTCCAACGGCGACATTCAGCTCAAATACCGTTATCGGCTTCATCCTCAAAACTCGGACAAGATCGTTTTTATGGCCTCTACACATATACCTGGCGAAGACCACGAGGTGGACGTTGTCGTCAAGTTCACCGACACTTACTGCATAGAGGCCCATGCACTGTTGGCGAAGGATGGCCTCGCGCCAAAGTTATTTTACTGGGGGAAACCAAACGAGGTGGCGATGTACGTTGTGGTGATAGAGTTAGTGAAGGGAGAGTCTGCCACTGGCGTTGTCGGTGGACTATCTGCAACTGCGATCAGTGCGCTCGCAAAGGCTGTCCAACTGCTCCATGGTTTGTTTTTGGAGAGTTGCGAAGCCCCAATGTGATTCTCTACAAGTACCGTGGGACCTCGTCTATAAAGCTGGTCGATTTCGATTGGTGTGGAAAGTTGGGGGATGTACGTTATCCCGCGGATATCAACATGGTAGACGAGATGGGCTGGCATGAGGGGGTGAAACGTGGCGGAAAGATATTAGCTGAGCATGACCGACACCTGTTCAAGCACCTCACAAGGACAGACGTTGACTGAGAGGAGAAAAATGACTTTCCCATTCAGTGGGTTTCAGACTGCGTCTGAAGGATGCAAAGCCAAAAAATTGAATAACTCGTTAATGGGCGCGGAAGTGCATCAAAGGCTGAGAACGAGCATTGAAATCACCATGTAAACAGAGACGTTGGGCTGGAAGCGTACGCTGTCAAAGCTTGTATGGAGATATTGGTAGCATGAGGGCTAATGAGGACGGTGTAGGTTGCATTGCATAAGCTGTGTTGTGTATGCCTCCCGTTGGACAGTAGCGCTTATAGTGAGAGCTGAAAACAGCTATTAATGCAGTGATGACTAGTGGTTGGAGCGCCGTTGCTGATAGGGTAGAGTAGCGCGATCACTGATGGCCCGGGGTAGAATAATGATGGCGGAAAGAAGAGACAGCGATCAAGTTTGGTCGACATGGAATATTCATAAGAGAATCAGAAAACGTTGAAGTGGAGAGATGCTGCGAGTGGGAGAAAGCGCATGGTGTTCTATGGAGAAAGGGTTGGTTATATGCTCGACTGACTGTATGCGTGTCTTGGTAAGCCACAGAGCGTGGGAATGACGCGTGGTTGGCAGTTTTGAGTAGGTTGAGGTGCTATCGCATACGACCAAAGCACTCGTTCGTTCGATGTCAGTGTCATCGTCGACCGGCCAGTCTTCGAGGACGTCATCGAGGACGAAAGCACGCGCGCTGTCGAACGCATCGTTGGTGAGTGACGTCACGACGATCAAACCCAACCACGTCATGCGCACGAGCAACAGCACGAGCACCGCGAGCACGACTCGGTCGGTGGCTGCAAAGAGCACTGCGAGTAATGCCAGTGCTGCACTGAGCGTGAGTCGCGTCCGCACCCGCACCCGGTCGCCGAACGCCACGCCTGTCCCGCTGCCGTCGTCTGCCAACAAGCGGCTCTCGTCGTCTATTCCCTTTCTGTCGTCGTCTGCCAACCCACGCCGCTCCTCTGCCCCCGTCCACTCGGCCGTCCCCGCCCCCATGTGCACCGACTCGCCGTCCGCCGCCGTCCGCCGCCCTCAGCCTGGCCCTCGACAGTCGAGCGCGAGTGGGATTGTGTCCCCAAACTCAAGCGCGTCTGTTGCGAGCACGCGTCGTCTGGCCCGCACCAGCTCGCTCTACTCCACCTCTGTCTCGTCTGTGCACTCTCCCTCTTCCCACCGCACCCGCTTGATGTCAGACGTCAGCCGCACTCCACCACGCACAACCACAGAGTCCACCCAGTCCCCCGTCAGCGTCAGCATCACCTCTCCCAGCCCTGCAAAAATCACTTCCAGATCAGCCATCAACCTCGTTTCTCCACAAAACATCAATGCCAACCATCACAGCACGAATGCTGACACCACCCACGGCACCGCAACTCCCCCAAACCACTCCCCAGCCATTCGTGCCTCAGCAGAAAAGATCCAGAAGTCACGCACCGGCTCAGGCGCCTCCGTCCTTGCCCGCACTCACCAATCTCCTCTCACCCACCGCACCCACCGTTCCCCAAATATAAATATGCGCACAGAACAGGTCGCCCTCCTCTCAAACTCACTAGCTGCACGCGGTCGTTCCATCAGCCTCAACTCGGACGAACACGTCGAGGTATGCCTCTCCCCCGCATCGAGATCACACTCTCATAGTCTTTTTCACAGTCACCTCCTCCTATGCTGTCACGTGACTCTCAATCATCTTTAGACGCGTTCATGCCCCCAGCTATATGGGACGAAGACGGCGATGACTTTGAAATCGTCACAGACATCAACGACAGCGCAGAAGATGAAGAGGTCTGTGCAACCTTGTTCCTTTTCTGCGTCAAACGTTAATGCGTATATCGCATTTCTTACCTCCTTTTCTTTCACCGCAGATAACCCAAGCCCTCGCAACCCTTCTCACCCTCCATACCTCAAAAATAACGGCTCTCAAACGTCTCCTCGAGCGCTCACAAGCAAGCGCTGCCGCACAGCTCCACGCTCTTCAAGCTGAAGTCGCCATCCTCAAATCTCAACAGGCCCAACAGAGCCACAGTCGCGACGCGTCAGATGGCGGATATGACTGCGTGTGTGGTGGGCGTAGGAAGGCAAACGGAGGACATGAGATCGGCCAGGAAGAAGGTGCCGAGGACCTGGATTTGGTCAAAGCTTTGAAAGTTTTCGATGAGACTGCCGTCAAGAAATGTGTAAGGGTGATGGGGAAAGAGAAGAAGGGGCGTTTGTCAGTTGTCTTCTTCTACTAACGTATCTACCAGCGATACTGACGTCCTACCTCGCATCGTAGAATTCACATCATTCTAGAATGTACGTCCAGCCCTTGATGATGCACATCTTCTCGCGCTAACCTTTGCTTCCCCCACCAGCCCTCCTCCCAACAGACATCCGTCTCCAAATCCTTCTCCTTCAAAAATACTTGCGGTCCACATTCGACATTCTCTCTCACCTCCCGTCCGAGCTTGGTGTGCGTATACTGCGCGAGCTCGAGGTGAGCTCAGTGGTAGGAGCATGCAGGGTGGTGAGTCATTGCTTTGTTTGATGCCTTTTATTTCGTTGCTTTACTGCTTGATATTCTATCTCATTACATCTTGATAGTCTTTGTTGCTCTTGGTCTTTTTTTTCTTGCCGCAGAGGTTGATTGATATAACCGTCGCTTTCTTAATTTTACAAAACTTGACGAGCCGGGGAATTGAGCTCTAGCTAACTCCTGATGATAGGTGAGCAAGAAATGGTCCGAACTGACGCATCACCCTGCGTTATGGCGTTATCACTGTCTGCGGATCACGAAGGATGATCCGGTGGGTCTCAAGAAGCCAGAAAGACCTGAGGGGTGGTGAGTCAAATTTCCTCTGTTCGGAATGTGCTTTTTCGTGTTCCCGAATTTTGCATTCTTATTTCCGGTAACTTCATCCCAACGAACTTGAATTGGCGGGTCAGTGAAAAAGAAACTGATTGACTAATGCAAATCATTATAGGGAAGTGCTGTACCGCTCATTGCATCATCGCGAGTCCAATTTCAGGCATGCACTGCCGCAGACTATTAGGTTCTTGAATGGACATTCGAATTTCTGCACCACGTTGTTGCTGAGAGGTGAGTGTGTTGGTTTATCTATGGTTTTAGCGCTGCATTTTTCGTCCTTCGGCGTCCATTGGAGTGGATCGATGATCTGATACATTTCGATCTCGTGCGAGTTGTTGAGTCAGGTGGAAGGCAGTATAAGCATTCGCGTCGCGTATATAAATATGGGGTTGTTCAGCTGGCTAACGATTCGCCTGTTGTTTTGTCCAGGTAAACGCCTGATCAGTGGGTCGTACGATGAGACGATCCGGTTCTGGGATATAGAGACTGGCGAGATGAAAAAATGCATACAGGTGAAGAAGCCTGTGAGTTGTGTTGATTTCCTCGCAGAGGAAGAGGTGTTTGTTGTCGGGTTCCATGATGTCGGGTGAGCATCGATATATTTCCTTCCCCCTCGCGCACCCTTGCTTCACTCACATAGCTAACCTCCCGTCTTCCAGCCGCGTCCACCTCTACTCCTCCCTCACCTTCACGCCTCTCCAACAGCTCGCCGGCCACCTGAACGGCATCCGCGCCGTCGCCCTCTCCTCCAAGAACCTCGTCTCCGCCGGTGCCGACAAGGCGCTGGTGTGCTGGGATTGGAGGGCGGGGACGAAGATTGTGCGGTTTGGACAGCAGACGACGATCAATATTGGGGTACAGATCATACAGGGAGACGGGGGTGTCGCAGGAGGGGAAGGGGAGAGGGTGGTTAGCGTGACGATTGATGGGATCGTGAGGGTGTTTTCGATTAGTGAGTGTCTTTTTTTTAATAAAAAAAATTAGGTTCGGTCGATCGTTGGGCTGGGTTGGGGGGATTTGGTGGATTGATTCGGGGGATCTTGGGCTCGTGTGGGGGGCGTCGAGGCTTGTTGTAGCTGATGTTAATGCTGAGCTGATGCTGATTTTATCTACCTTATTATTGTGTAGAGCGCAGAGAGATGGTTTCGCAGTTTAAGCTCTCGGAGCTTGGAGGCGGCGATCCTGTGCTCAACGCCAAGTTGTTCAATGTGGGCGCCGCACCGAATAATATGCTACAGTGAGTCCCCCTTCTTTTACTGGAACGACGACGTGACGGATGAACTCACTGTGTGCGGTAGATGGTTTGCAGCGAAGGGGACGCAGATGACGGTACGTTTATCCTTCTTCGTGTTAAATCTACTGGTACTCGTTTGCTGACTCGGGTTCGTAAAGTGTGCCACGAAATCCGTGATTTTGCATCTTCAGTGGACCGAGCAAGATACCAAACTCGCTCCCGGTGCCGCGAGCGCCAACGGAGGCGAGGCGAGTCCCGCACCACCAGGGCCAACGCCTCTCCAACCACGTACTCGCACCTCTTCCACCCTTGCTCGTTCCACGACATCCTCTTCTCTCGCGCGGAGCATCACCTCAAGCTCTATCACCTCTACCACGACGCCTCAACGTCGCCAATCGCTCGCCGTCTCTACCACGTCGGGCAACGGTTCCGCTGTAGGACGGAGCTCGCTCGATAGAGGAGGAAGGGCAAGCCTTGCAAGCCCTCTGACGCCTGGGACGCCCCTCAGCCCCTCACCGCGCGCTGGCACGCCTAGTGGGCGGAGGAGCGCGTTTGGACTGAGTGGGCTGCCGACGCCGACTTCTGTTAGGGCTGGGGCGGGTACGCCGTTGATGGGATCGCCGTTTGCTGTGAGGTATGGCCGTGCTGCGATTTTGACGGCTCCGCCGAAGCTGGTGGCGTTGGTGGAGACGCCAGATGTGGCGGTTGGTGCGGTGGACCCGAGGAAGAGGCGGGTGGTGACGGCGACGAGGTTTAGTTCGAGGGCGGGGGCTGATCGGAGGGTGGGTTTTCTTTTTTCTTTTGTTCTTGCCTTGGCTTCAGTGTAGGGACTGATGGTGATGGGCGTTTGTTGGTCCACTGATAGATTTTGATGTCTACGCACCAAGACAAGCAGAGTATACGCGACGCCGACGAGGATGAAGATGAAGATGGTGAGGATGAAGGAAGTGAAGGCGGCTTGAACCTCGGACCGGTCTCTCCTCCTTCTGTGGATATCGACACGGATATCGTACAGTTGAGTGGTGCGTGGGCTGCACTGGCGAATGTAGGTGCCGGTGGCGGGAATACGAAAGGACTGCTTGGGGCGCTGCCCGCCAAGTTTGCGGGGCTGGCGACTCCGGAGAAGAATCCGATGTCGATGCAGTTGAGCCATGAGGAGGTGGTGGTGGGGTGTGCGGATGGTACTATCTAGTGAGTTTTTTCTTTGCTTTTGCTTTTCTCCCTGTTGTATTACTTGTGCATTAATGCGCTTTTTTTTCAAGTGTGATGAACTTTGTGGGATATGAATACCAAAAAGAGCGGGAGAAGCGCGTGGTGAGTGATCAAGAGGACGATATTGACGAAGATGAAGATGAAGAAAGCGGTGGAAGTGAGGAGCAGGAAAATTGAAGTTGCCTATGACTCGTTGCAAAGATGGATACAAAGGAAGCAAAAGGAATGAAGGAAGACACAAACCACAAAATAGGAGACGCGCACATGGATTGATACCACCGCTCGTTTTCCTCAATTGCATTATCAACAAATGACCAAAATCCACACATTCTCTTAGAATATCATCCAACTCTCATTTTTTCTTTTCTATCTTAGATTATGCACTAGACCAGTCGTCGTTATTTGATTTCGTCCGTTTGGAACACGTTTTGTATCAGCTTTTTCGTACTCGGCCTCGTTCAATTAATCGTGCCTTCCTCGAATAGTGCTTACTTTTTGAGACATGATAGTCAAGTCACACGGTAAAATGCAAACAAGAGCGAGCCTAGCAAGGCGAAAATTGATTGATATCCTGTATACAATGTAGAGAGTCTAAAGAAAATTCACTGCGATAACGTCCATAAAAATGTTCTGCCTGTATCTTCTCCAGCGGCGAGGCTCTCCCTATTCCATAAACACATTAGTACCGGAACGGCTCATGGCTCTGAGATGATTGACACTTACCCTATAAATTTGAGGGCTGTGATGGCAGGCAAAGCGTGGGCCTGTCTTCCCACCGACGGTCTATGCTTCAGAGTGGTAATCGTCACAAACTCCCATTCGGCTTTCTCTCCGGGAGGCGTGCCATCAGCGTTCCATGTACGAAGGGTGATCGCGCCATCGGGACCGCCCGTCGCGAGGACGCCAAGTTGCGAGTACTCCCTTTCGTGGAACGCTAGGGATGTGACCGAGGGCAGGAGCGAACGGGAAAGATTGGGCGAGTCAAGGGCAACCTTTGCTATAGGTCGGGCATTGATGGTGTGTAGGCAAAGTTGGGCACGAGAGCAAGTGGCAATGTATCCCTGGAACAAAAACTTGGGTAAACAAAAGTGAAAAGACTCCTGAATGAACGTAGGGACGTACTGTGCTTTCGTTGATTGCAACCAAGTGCACCTCTGCCAAATCAGAACGTTGGTCCTCCTCTTTATGCCAGATGGATTTGGTGTAAATGCCTCTGTTGAGGTCCCATAGTGCAGCACTGCCATCCTTGGAGCCGCTCACAACGATTGACCATGATCGCGAGGCTGCTACGCACAATACCTTGGCAGTGTGTGCGCGCATCGTATGCGTTATCGCCATATTGGTTGCTACATTCTTTCCTCCAAAGCCAGGGCCACTTTGTCGAGCCCGAATTATCTGCCAGAGACGCACCGCGTAATCGCTCGAGCCAGTGACCAGAGTATCCGTATCTGCAAAAGCAGCGCATGTACAAAATACCGATTCCACGATTTGTATCAGCTAGTTTTGCATTTAGTCAGGAGAACCCGTAAGCTGTGTGGATTGCTACGTACTTTTCCATCTATTAGCAGTCGTACAGAGCCATCTGAACTTTGCTCGCCGGTACCCCATTGTACCTGCTCATGTGGGCGCATTGGTGTATTCAGGATACCAAATCGAGTTGCGTAGATTTTCATGTTGGTAGGCTCTACCGCGATATTACCCACCGGCGAGCCTATTTCTGTGGGGGAAAGTCAAAAAATGTGCTTCGGTCTACTGAGCTCTACTTACCAGAGACAGGCTTACTCTCCTGAGCTAACAAAAGAGCATCCTCCTCTATCCCGCGTAGCGTGCCAGCGGGTAAAGATGAAGAACCCAACATATTTCTCGTCGGATGGGATGCATTGAACAACTTGTGAGGCGTTTGTCCAACTGTAGCGTATTAGGATGCAAACGATCGGATCTACGAAAGGGAGTACGTACAATTATGAATGATGCCAACTGTTGCCTCTCGCTCCAGGTCATCTGTGATCTTATCAAGATCTCGAGGTGCATGAGTATCGTCTAAAGATAGATCAGACATGTCAGCTTACCTACTGACCCTTCATAACTTAACGGATGAAAAACGTTCACTGCTGCAGGGTCGCGCTGTTTACAACCCCAGATAAGATCGATCCATGCCGGAAGGTTTTCGCTGACATAGTCACTCTCTAAGGCCTGAAAAGGTGCTTAGCATAGTGGAGTAGGTCTAGGACCTTGATGCTACGTACGCGGCGGTGCAATACAACAAATAAGAGAGGATCTTTCTTAGCCCATGGTGGAAGCTTGACATCATGGATCTTATCACCAGTACTTTGCTGCACTCCAAAATCATGATTCGATGAATTCTCTAAAAACCTATTGCAGGTGATTAGGTTTTGAGAATCAAAATTATGGAAGATCATACTCGGGAGAAGTAAAGAATTCGGCGATCAATTCTCGAACATCTCCACGATTATCCTTGGAGGCCGAGTCGAAGGTCCTTGCGATATCGCTGCAAAAGATGTTGAGAATCTATACGTCCGCCGATAATGAAAACATACGTAAATAGTCTGTCTGGAAGATCCCAATCCCCTCCCTAGTTGTTGCAGGTTAGTACTCAAAAGACTCGTAATGCAACAAGTATCCACCTGCAACGTCTTGAACATATTCGTATATGGAGCCATTCTTATCAGAAAGTGACAAACAATCATGGATCTGGAAAATTGTTAATATACGTTTGCTAGAAATCTAGAAGTATAATTACGAGCTAAAATGTGTTCCGTAATGGAATGGTTCTTCACCAACACTCTCTAGGTTCATATACCGAGTCTGAGCAGCTTCACGTCGGCCGTCCGTTAATGCACCCATGGGCTTTGTGAGGCTAAAGACATCGTATAATCAGAAAGGATAGTCGCCAGCCAATCCATCTTATCACATACTCGCGGAAAGACTTCGATGATGACAAGTCCAATGTGTCATTCGTGTAGTCTTGAAGGACCCAGGCTTTAGGGGCAGGATCAATGAGCTAGGAGAACATAAACGAGTGTGTGAAGAAAATCGCACGGAATATGGGATACTGGGTAGCATCACTGGGTGTTCTTCCCGATATCTGGTTGAGTATGCTAATATATGCAAACTACATTTTCACGATGGATAATTACCATGAGTGGCAATATCTGGTTGAATAACGCACGCACGTTGCTAATTTCTCTGTTTTGCCATCTACGTTGAGCGTCTGACAATTCACCTATGCGAAAGTTTGCCATAACTTTTGCACCAACTCTTCCAAGTGGAGTTTTGTGGAGAACAATGCCTGCTGCAACTCCATCGTGAGATTCTCGCTTTTCTAGAATGGAATTTAGCCGCTGGTCGGCAACTTGTCGTTGGGACTTGTCCAAGAAAACGACCAACAGTGAACGACTGTCTCTGAAAAACAATTCAAGCCTGGAACAGATTTAGAATCCTGTAGACAATTGCGTGACTAGAGCTTCTCACCCGACATCTCTAAAAAGGAATGTTCTGTCGCTAAAACTGATCAATTGGTCAAGACTCCTATCAAGTGCGTCCGCGCCGGCGTCAACAGACTAACGAATATGGAAGGAGTGAGGTCCTTACCAGCGTTGAGCTCTTTGAAGACCATTTAACTCGACAATGCTACCAGGAATAAAGAGAAGCCTTTTCGGAGCATCGTGTGCATCAATAACTTCACCGCCGTCACCTTCCACAAGACCGTCTAACATGTAAATATGTGATTGGCCAAAAATCAACAAGCCGGCTATCAGAGACAGGTTAGAATTTGTGACTCGATGGTTATCGGGTGTATACTGACGAGAGGAGTCTACTCCAGCAACTCTAGCCACTGTACTGACTGCCTCAATAACATCTCCCGGCTCCAACTCATGTCGCACTCTTCTATGCTTGTCTTCTGAAACGTCTTCTGCCAGTTGGCGCTCATCTATATAAGTGTTAAGGAGATTTTCCACGACAATTACAAGTTCATCATACCATTCGTTTCAGTCGACGATATTTCTTGACTCTCTGACCATGAGGAGGGCTCTATCTGATGGAATGATGCGATATCCGAGTCAACGTCTGCGAAGCTAGTCATTTGTCGACTGCTCTCAAAATTAATGCTGGAGTGTGTAGTTTCATCGATTGGCTCTAGCTTCTTCCTTATAAGGAGGCGGGATATGCATCTATATCTGATGATATGATAATGTCTAGGCCACTCACCGAATTCGAAATGGGCCTTCCGTTTCGTCTAATCGCCATGAACGATGTTGTGGGGTGGGTGGCCAAATGCTACGCTCGGAAGACAGTATAAGAGTCCATTGGTTGAAATGAGAAACCTGTCTTCGGAGCTCGTGCCTATAGAGGCAGGGAAAGAAAGTTAGAAATCAGGCACTTCGAGGTGTAACGAGATCAATCACGAACATATCCAGGACAGTCTTGCGAAAGCGTTTCCGCTCAGAAACTATGATTGTATTACGCCATTGTTCGCCTCGATTTAACGATTTCAGGACACTCTGTTCTTCAGAAGCAGTGAGACCCCCGGACGGTGAAAAACTATTCTTCGACGTGTTGATAGAAACAGTTTCCTTCTTCCCTTCTGCTTGAATAATGCCTAAGATCTAAACACAATAAGTTATGCGAATATCATGAGTTTCGATACATACTTTATCTTTTGTAGCATTTGTTACGACGTTGTCCATCGCAACGAGAGCGCTCAAATGCATCAACTTCTCACTCAACCTTTGAGACAGCTGACTGATCTCGCTAGTTGCTGATTTGGCATGTACAGATAACACCAGTGTATCAACTAGGATCTGTGTAATACTCTGTGACTTGAAAATACGCCTGAATGAAACACTGGAAGAATGGAGGCTAATCAGGTCCTCAAGAAGGGTCTCGGTGGTGCTTTTGACTGGCTCTAAAATGACGTTGTGGACACTAAGAAAATCAATGAAACGGAAAACAAACCTTCTTGGTCCTCGTCCACAAAAACAGAAGGGGACGGTGCTGCTTCAATACTTCTTTGAAGTGCTGTAAGAATCACTGGGATGAGCTGTGGACAGCACATGACGACAGCCTCCGAGTCAGCTGGAGCAGCAGTGCTTCCTGTTGTTACACGCCCTAAGAGCACATCGAAAGCAGCTTTGTGAACATCCTGATCCCAAACGTTCGGTAAAACCATTCTAAGCACAGCCCATCCATGAATTAAGTCGAACTTCCTAACAAATGACGAAGAAATGTCGAGACTAATTCCAATGAGAGAAAGGACTTGAACAGCAAGACATGAAGTAGGCCTTCCGCCAAGGAACAATAAGCAAATACGGTGCAAAGGTAAAACCGCAGCAAACTTCGCATGCAACGATGGCACTCGAAGTGTAGATACAAAGACTTCGAGAACTTGCTCCGCCACCTTTTGACGCTGGCTCCGGGGAGAGTGGGAAACGACTGACCGAGGAGATGCGTTCCCCTTTTGACCTAGGACTTGTTAAAATGTAGGAGTAATGGAATGGTGAGGGGGAAATGAATCACCTTCATGGAGATTCGCAGCAAGATATGATGTAATTGGTTTGATTGCATCCTCAGCCGAGAAAGAGGCTTGCGCGACCACGAAAAGGGCATTGATAACAAACGGTACCATATCAGGCTGATACCATCCTGACTGAAGCACAAATAAAAACCGGCGAACGATACCCATTTTTAGGAGCCTATGTTTGGCATTGAACTTTCTAAAGCGGCTTGCCCTCAGAAGGAACGCAAAATGTTCTATGTGCACACGCTGAACTTCCACGTTAGTTTGCGACCAAAGTTCAAAATCGAGAGCAATGGCTCTATATGCCACAGTGTTCACGATGGTCGAATGGCTATATAACTGTAAGTACTAGAGTTGAAATGAAGCTGTAAGGAACGCTGACTCAGGTGATCGAAAGTTGAGACCGAGGAATTCAAACAACGTTTCAAAGCTTGTGATGTTGACCAAAGAAGTCTTTGAACGGAGAATCTTGACCACTATATCATATCCATCTATGGTGGAGAGGTTAGGGAAGGTCAACTTTATCAGCCAGTCATGAATACCTACGTAGCTTCTCGATTTCTTCGGAATTCTGCCAGCTATTACGAAGACTGTCGCATAGAGCTCCGATAGTTCGTGAAAGCTCATGAGATGTCTTGAAATGACTATGAGCAGACCAATAGAGTCAGGAAATAGCCGCCTACCTTCGCCAGGTCGAGAAGCCGCAATATTAACGCTACTCCACCAATCTTCCACAGCGACAAGTCAAGGGGCCGGGAATGTACTGCCAGTACACTTCCTTCAGCCACAAAGCCACCCGAACGACCCCACGTAGACAAAGAATCCAGATAATGGTCTCTAGTTTGATTAGTCGGGAAGTTCGATGGCGTTAAACAAAACACTATAGAAGATTCGCTAATCGAGATACCGTCTTTGACTGCTTTTCTTAGGGTCGATGTCTCTGTTGTGGTATTTTTTGATGTCTGCGTAGATAAGTACATGTTGAGCGACGTAGAAGCCTCATATGTCAAAAATCGTATCAGACTTCGATCTTGAAAACGGCCACTGTATCTAGGACCCAAGTGATGAACGAATCTGGGCAAGTCGTCATCTATCTTTGTATAAGTTCTGTGTTCCTGGGCTTCCAACATTATAACCTTACCGAAAGGTAGAGATAAGAAGTACGATGAAGCAATGGACCAGCTCATTGTTGCATCATGAGACATATCACCTATAATATATGTGGACTCCAGTCCTTCTGTTTTGGGATATGCCGCCTGGAGCGAGTCACTGAGAACGCCATCCATGAATAACCCTAAATTTATGTAAGTCAAAGCATTCAAAATAATATCACTTCACATACGTATCGTTGGCGATGCCACTTTATGGGGATGATGCACAAGTGTTATATGGGTCCAGCGTGATGTTGATAATTGTGATTTTGAAAAGATTACCGAATCAGAAGTTGCGCTGCTCTTAAATGCCAGCCGTCCATCACTGCAGACGTGTAACTGTAGAACAGTAACTGCGCCCAGTTGGACACTAAATATATCGTGATGATGGTGAGGTAGCCTTTCGAGCCAAAGCCACACCTGTATAGGTCATTGGTACATTACGACAACACATGCGTCTGTGATTCTTACCATAAATGTGAAACCAGATGAGGGCAATGATTTCGTGCTCGTTCGACTTGATACGAGAGCCGCAGTGGAGTCGAGACAGAAATGCTCGGGCCATCTAGATTTCATTCCAGAACGGATAATTTCCAATGCATCCATGTCAAGAGTGTTGTCATCCTTGACTGCTCTTCGGAAAACAGATCGGGCATCATCCGTTTTTGCACTTATATCAAAAGTGCGCTTCAGTAGTTTCTGCAGAATGCGAGCTTCTTTGTTCATGGAATCTCCCTTGCTTCCACAGTCCTGGAAAAATGATAGAAGAGTCTCGACAAGACCTATTCTACACAGAACGGCATTGTTCCAGTGCGTGACGCCCAACGTATGATCCAGTAGCTTGTAGGTGATATACCGCAAGGGAGCATCATTGGTTATAAGGCGACATAACGACTCCCAGAGGACTTTGAATACACCAGGAAGACGGATTAGACCTAACTGAGGCGACAATGCCGCGAATTTGGAATCCATCTCTGAAAAAGTTTGTATCGACGAGTGCGATATACTAAACAAACCTGAGATGGAAAAATCATGGAAGGCCAGGCATAACATCAGTCCCAGGACGTTGTCAGAACTATGAGAGTTAAACACTAAGCCTTGCACAGCTTCGGACAGTGTTTCGTAGCCAACGTGATCCTTACAAGGTTTCATATCCGTAATGAGCTGCGTTTCATATTAAACATCATAAATAAACACCACTAACCTCGAAGTACCGAAGGTTTTCTGTATGATCTCGTATTGCTTCCGAGGCGATACGAAATGCATATTGCATACATGCCAGAGCCTCATTGACCACTTTGAGTCCAGATTCGAACGTATCGTCTTCGAGGAATGGTGGCAATGTAGACAAGACATGTAAAATGACCAGAAATCCATCGGAATCACGAAACACGGCTTTGGTGGATGGATCTTCGTGCATAATTCGGTCCATATTTTCGAGTAACTGATATTTTGGAAAATGAACCCTAGTGATACGACACACATGATACTACTCACTCTAGACCTAGTATAAATGTCACTAGCAAACTTGAGATCTACGACGCTTGTTTGCACCGACTGAACTAGCGCATCTGGACCTAGATCTTTAGGGATTGGGTAGTTCAGCCCGTTGTCTTCCGCATCGTGAACTTCATCGTCTGCGTTGGATTGTACAGGAAAACTACGATGGGTGAGCAAAGGCGAAAGAAATGTCCGCAGCATGTTACGGTTGAGCAATTTAGTACAACTCAAATGAGCATTATCCAGTTTGCGAACTTGAAAGTGGGTTGTGAATACCAGGAAGAAGTCACACGGTACAAGTTTGAGATGGTTGTCTGAAGAACGCAGGTAGATTTTGACGTGCAAGCCGTGGTTAACATCCAAAGATGGATGAAGAAATGGATGCATAACCACGTGACCTAGACCACTTAAATCACACGCGTGAAAACACATTGGATGGATTGGATGCCAGTGAGACCAAGAATCAATACATGAGAATAAATGAAATAGAAGAACATAAAAACAATGGATACATCGATCGTCAAGATCAGGGACGTCGCTGGAGCTACAAGTCACGATGCCGATATGCGCCAGCGACTATGAATGCATGAATGATAGTCTAGTTGTAAGAATAGAGAATATATCATATTCGTCACCTCAATGGTGGCAAGATTTTTCCAAGTCGGTGCTCACGCTATCTAAAGCATGAGGAGTGTCGAGAGGTGACTCGCACCGAGGCGGAAGCTGACCACTTGCTCCTCTTCTGTGCACCTGACGAGCTGTTATATTACACGCAGAAGCGGCAAGTATGATAATCTGCACAACTCAACAACATGTATCAAATGAAAACAAGAGGCGGAACGTACTGATGAGAAAACAATGGCCTTCCACCAAACGTAGTCCGGTCCGAGGATAGCACCAGTGATAGGTGGCCCAACCATTGACGCGACTCCGATAGGTATCAAAGCCACACCCATACGCTTTCTAGAAGTACCCAGTCAGGCATACACATAATCAATGATAAAGCACATTAAACCAACCCCATCTCGACTCCCGGAGGCGTCAATTCAGAGATCATGGGCAAATAAAGAGCGATCACTAAGGTCCCTAGTCAATCTCTACCATAGGTTAATATTGAATTAACAATGACTTACCAGATCCAAAAAGAAATCCGTAGCTTACAGCGTCATGAGAATTAGGGGTCAGACGAAGTGAAACAAGAAACCAAGACATACAATATAGAGAAAAGAATCAACCCCACTACATTGATACAACCCAGCATAGCCAACTCCACGAGTCCTTTGGCGGCGGTTAGTATGTGAAAACTAAACGTGACCGGAATAGCCTTACCAGTTAAAACCAGACAAGGGATGTATACGTTAATGGCACCTACGCGGTCGGCTAAATGATTGGGTAGCAAGCGACCAACAAAACTAGAAACGTTCATGATGGCAAGACAATAGAAAACGACAGTCTTGTCCACTCCGTGTACTTCAGCGAATAATTGTAGATAGAAACCGGGAGTATTTGAACCGAGTGACAACAGGAAAGCACTGGTGAGTGTAAGCACATATGGCATGTCCCACACCAAACGTGCAGGTCGAATTGGAAGGTCAGACTGTGTAGATGCCGGTGATATGGATTTTGTTCGAGGGACGAAAAGGAGTGCATTCCCCAGCACAAACAGCCCTAGAGTCATATAAGCGGCTGCTCGTATGCCTTGTGTGAAACCAAGCTTGTAAAACAAATGGTTTAACATTACTGGAAAAGCAGTTAGGATCACTCTAGCCTGCAAGAAATAGTAACTTACTGGTAAACACTATGGCACCAACTGGAGCGGCGGCAGCCACGATACCCTGACCATGGTGTTAGAGGGACTCCTTCAGTAGCTTACTATTGTTCTCACCATAGGCAGGGCTTTTCGGGCTTTGAAATGTTGAGAAACGAGTGTCATCAAAGGAAGGTAGATCAAGGCCCCGATACCCATCGCGACGCCTTGAGGTAGGAAGACCTATTCTCAGATTAGATACTGTTCTTCGAAGCAGGGGTGAAATAAAAGCACCTGATAATACTGATTCGGCTTGACAATAGATAACATGAAGAAACTGATTTGGGCATGAGCTGATGCCTACAATAAAGCACAGTACTACATACCTGAAGCACGAGAGCATAGATCCGAACAGAACTGCACTTCGGACATAGCCTTTATCAAAGCTACAGTTCATTGGTTAGTAACAAAACAGTACGCTGTAAAATTACTTACAGTTTTCCGGCAACTGGAGCGCAGCCAAGCTCGAAGAAATATTGTATCCCGCCTATCCAACTAATGTCTGACGCAGAGAACTTGGTCAACCATGTAGTAGTGTAGAAATCTTGGAAGACTCCAAAAGACGTGATCTATGATATCATGAGATTATTATAAAAGACTCATCAGAGAAGACAATGTTTCTCACCACTCCGATTGCATAGAGCTGGAGACAAAAGGCACCAGCAACTATTAGCGAGATAACATGAGCCAGGCCGAGCAAGTCAATGTCACCAAATAGTTACCAGTGCACCAAGCACGGAGTGCACCATCAGCATACCGGGAAGGGTTTTGAACATCCTGTTTTTCTTGATTGATAGAAACTTCGGAGACATTAGTCGCAGGACTGTTTCCGCCTATAGCGCAAGGGGAGGTAGAGGTCGTCGTCATAGCTGACAATAGCTAAGAGATACAAGCAACCGAACAGTAGGCACTACTGAATTGTTTGTGAAGACTCTAAACTGTCAGCAAGAGAGAGAGCTCTCAGAACCGCATGCGATGACACTCCTTGTGTATCGGCGAAGAAGGCTGCAGGCAATCAGCTTCTTTTAGTTGCCACGATTGCTCAACCCTATAGCCAGTTTCTCAGCTCCCTGCTGAGTTTCTGCTGTGAAAAAGAGTGTGTGAAGGGAATGTAAAACTCAGAGGCAATCACTGCGTTTCAGAATTGATGTCTGATGTGGCAGGGGGGGCCCGAGCGGCCGGTGGCATTCCATATGCAATGCGATGGCTGCAGAAACACCGAATGCCCGATCATTTCCACCGTGTCACGAGCCAGCACATCGATATACATAATGCAAAAGCATATGCGTTCAAAACCTTCGAATGTGATAGGCTGCGTGAAGATCTTATTCAGAAGGCAGCCGCATCACGACGATAGAGGAAATCGTGTGCAGCGTACTTGGCAGGGTACCCATATTGGCCTTAGTACGATATCCTAAAAGTTAAAAAATACTCAGATCTATGTTCTATGTGAGACATACCGATCGCGTGGTCAGTAGGCACTCACCTGTCGACAGAATTAAATTTTCGAAACCTCAGGTCCATGTTACCGCAAGTCTGCGGGAATCTTAACTTGACCGTTTGACAGCCGCGTTCCCAGTGACTCCACATGCATGTCAGAAGCGACGACGGCACTGCTCTCTGTCGTACGCTACAGCCGGGAATGTTTCGGGGGATATCTTCTGTTCAAACTTTATGATACTTGCACAGCCCATTTGCTCAGTGGGGTATTGGCATTATGTACAAACGCACGGTGCCCGGGATGCGTCTGGGAAACGGACTTTGATAGGATCAGATGAAGCGTGCACTTTACAGCGATGGACCGGTACAGTAAAGCCAACTTGAATATGTCGTTGTCACCATCATGGGGATATTGTTGTTGAACATTGTCAACCTGAGCAGGAATCCGGGTCACAGGAAATCTTGTGACAAGTAACAGAATGACCTGTGACAACGTGATTCCTATCCCGCGAGCATTTTTCACCACTCTTTAATTCAAGTTCGTTACCAGCTTAATAATCAGTTGAACACCATCAATTACTCTGCTCAGATGGCGAAACTGATCCATCATATCAGACGACCCCAAGTTGGCAAGATTGAGCTTGTGCAGATGTAGAATTGGCGTTATCCTCGCAAAAGACTCAGATCACTGCATCAAGGTAAGTCACTGTGGTGCATGTAACTGGCGTTATCATCTCACCTTGCGGTTCCTCCTTATGACAGCGGCGACGGCGTGGCGGTGGTGGGGTAGCATGCGGACTGACAGGACTTCCTAACGCCCGTGTGTGCAGCTAGGACCTCAAAATCCCAGGATCCAGGTCGTTCCCCGAGGGTCTTCACTGTGTGAGGTCTTGCGTAGACTCACAGGGTGCCAATGCTACTCGAACTCAGTCCGACACACGGCTTCCGGACACACTGCGGTACTTCAAACCTGAAGCTCAATGTGCAGCCAGTACCCCTCAATTACGCGCGAGACGGGTCGTGCTCGTCTATAAGCTCGTCTGCACAAACTGTTGCTTCCCTAGTTTGTCGAGTGCGCCTGAAACTACAAGTTCGGAAAAACCAGGGCGCTTGCAGGGGGCCTGTCACAATTATCGTAAGTTTCGGGATCAATCAGTCGAGACCTCAAACTCTGACCGCCGCGCAAGTATTTACCTTTTTTAGCGACCTCGCTACGATACTTCGCTGTTCAGGGCGGGACCCCGGCGGGACATATCTAGATCCTGAAATCCGGTTAGCCCACTCTTCGCCGCTTTTCTGAGTCTTCACAGGCTGTAGCGGTGTAGCACTATTACCAGCTGCATAGCAAGGCTTCGCGGAACGACCGCGGAAAGCGCTACTCAGAGTGATTGTGAGAAAGCACGGGGAGAGTTTAGTGAACGGTTCTTTTTCTTTCAGCGGGAGCTATGCTTACGGACGGAGTGAGTGACCACATGCAATCATATGGCACAATATTAGAAGTGGCCATGGAAAGAGATTACTCTTTCCGCACTAGCCTCCGTCTCATGTTTTGTCTCCTGCAGTCTGCGTTCTCTTACTTCTCTGGTGCTGATCATGGGTCTTGTGTAGCTTACACCTCAGAGTCGGGCAGCGATCATGATCACCCTATAAGCCTTGCTCTGCATAATCTCATCTCCACTGGTGGTGATGCCTGGCCCCCTCGGGCTACCTTCGAAGAGACATGGCCTCCCTGTCTAAGGCCTTATCATCACGTCTTCCAGCGCGTAGCCCCTTTCATTCCCGTTGAAGAAGCCTCATTAGACGATGAACATAATCGTCACGTCATCGAAACGTTCCGTGCTCGCGTGCGCCAAGAATTAGTCGACAGTGTGTGCTTGGAGGACGTCAAGGTTGCTTTACTTGAGGAAGAGGGGACCTCCGAAAGGCTCTCTACTTCCGCATGGCTAGGCTTCTTTGCTTGCATATCGATGTTAAGGCATGCCTATCGGTTCGTCGAATCACTTTAAGTTTGAACTCACCAACTGATGCCGGATCTCCATGTAGCTGGGGTGTTACTCCTATAGTCCGCGAAGCTCAAAACGAAACATCGTTAGACTTTCCGCCAGAGCTGGAATGGCCTTCGTTGGCTCTTCGTCAACGCTATGGGCATACTTCTCCGGGAGGCTGCCTTACATCGAATGTTTTATGCAACCTTGACGATGAGAAAGAAGTAGTTTATAGTTGCACCGCTGGGATGTCAAATATCCATCGGTCTGCTGAGAAGGTAAATGCATGGTTGTTCCGTGAGATGGAGGACAGAGTAAGAGTTATTTTACATTTTAACGCGTCTTAACAGTTTGATTGGACACTACTTGTCAGGCACTTCCGCTATACAGAGCTATGGGTGACGCTGCGCGTTTTCTCGACTCCGGAGATATTGACTCGACAGTGGAAGCTCTGAAGATTGCCAATCAGTCCCTAAAAACCGTATTCCAATATTTCTACGAAAATCTCGTTGACCGAAAGGTATCGCAGCAATACTGGATGGCTTATGTACAGGGATTCCACGCATGGACGCTGGATGGCATTGACGGTGCTGGAGGTGGACAGGCATTGGTCATCAAATCGCTTGACGCGTTTCTTGATATTCAACCCGTGCCTGAACCAGAGGTCGAGGCTCTTCACTTCCCTTCCCCTCAGAGGGACTGGCTGAATGCCCTGAGAAAATACAACATTCGACAAGCTGCTAGCCATGACCCAGAGGTAACCAAAGGACTGGAACACTTGGTTCGTCAGCTGAAGGTATGTCTGACTCCTCTACCCAAGTCACTAGGCTGATATGATAATGCAGACATGGCGAATGGGTCATCTGCGACGCATGAGACCATACGAAGGTGTTGAAAGACCAGAGAGAAAGAAAATGACTGCTGGGAAATCTGTACTGGAGCGCTCTCGTGCCCTTGATTCTCAAGAGGCACTGCAATTCCTGCAAGATCATCTTGCAACGCGGTTGGCGGAGACAAGGTGACTGATACGATGACAGCATCTTGTTATTTGCGCTGGCAGACCCCGTGTTCTACATCATCTTCCCACTTCATAGATTTCTCTAGCATATTGGTGTTTTTGTTAATGGTGCAATTAGATTCGTGTGGCTTTGAGATTGATGATGGCGCTGTCCCAGTCGTAACCTGTGCTGCCTTGTTGGGCAACATCAATGATGCCGAGAGGGTGGCATCAAAAACATGGTGAATTGGATGATGCACTTTGTTAGAATCAGAAACCGATGAAGACGGGCTTTGCTATAAGTACTGGTTGTTTTTCTGCATAGAAGCATTCTGCATGGATAATCTGATTATCAAAGGTCTTCATCGGGCATCACGTCGACGACACTCCTAAAGTTCAGCGCCAGTCATTCAAGTTGAGACTGGATCGCAGCAAAACTGATATAGGACGGGCAGATAACAGGCAGAGTATATTGAGTAGCCTAGTAGCCTGAGAGAATCAACCTGGTATGATGCATGATGCGCGATGCTATCTCCATAAGAACTTCTAACAATGTGTGTGTGATCCTGAAGAGCATGCTATCAGAAACCGAATTGAAATGAGAAAAATTGGGGCTCGAAGTGATACTGGCGTATTCAAATGAAGGATTCGTACCGTGACCAGATACATGTCAATGCCGTTACTTATGACTCCCGGCAGGATGCGGACTAGATTGCTGCAGACCGGGTATAAATGAGATCAGACAGGCGAAGGAACACAATATGGATTTCTGAAAATCACTCCCATGGGGAGCTTTGATGAGTATAGTTTCGATGACAACCGTTAGCATTGTGGTCGAGAGTAAAAACAAATCGACAAGTAAAAGATGCGTGACTTTGACATCAGACGGAAAAGCCCATAAACATAAACTTGCACGATGAGCACTGTAGGAAAGGTGCAAGAGAGCGATGCGGGTGAAAGAACACGCAATGGGAGCTGATCGTATGATTCAGATAAATATGTTATCATATCACCATCACTGCAGACTGGGAAGGGCCCGCTGAACAGAATGTCTAGACCGTATAGCTGAGAATAATATGGGCCATCAGATTTATTTAATTGTGAGCTGGAGAAAACGATAATAATAAATACGGTTGTTGATTTAAACAAATTGATGTTCGATAACTGGAATTACGACAGAACGGCGTGGCTACTGCGTGGCAAACGACATACCTCGGATCTGGGTGCCACAAGGGTCGTCGTTCACTGAAGCGAGCTTCAAGTTACAGGCTGTTACAGGTTGAATGGGACGTAGTACGTCCCATTCAACCTGTAACTACGTGTGTTGGTATTAGAAGGTTCTAGTACGATAGCCTACGCTATACACCTTACTGGGCTTATCGGGTCCCAGCGTCTGCCATCATGGTTCTCGAATCGCCCTCCGAGAATAACATTTACCTGAGCTGCCAGCTCGTAAAAACGTTGCATTCTATTACTTCTAGGTTTCCTAAACGTGTGAGGTCGGCTGCTGTCTTTTCTGATTTATCCAAATCCTAGCTGATGAACCTCTTCCGGATAAGCCAACTTTTTTTCCCCGAAAAAACGTGCTGTGTCCTACGCCCCCTCGGACCCCTCATCTTCGGATTCCCGTACACCCTTCGGGACTCTATAGTCACAGATCGATCTCGTACACCCACGCCATACGCCCCAGCAAGGTTTTGGGATTATTATCATCAGCCGCATCACCTATCAGGTCTTTCAGTATAAATGTGCCGAGCACGGCTAAATTCCAACGGCCACTGTCAAAGGTCTGCAAAGAGCCAACAATCCCTTTCACCTTTACATTAACATCACCAGTCATGAACTTGACAGAACTGGTCGCCCTTCAGTCCACCCTCAACGAGGCCCTCGACGCCATTCAGGCTGAAATACGCAATGATGGCCTCCCCGAGCTTTCCACCACCTCACAAGAACCACACCCTCTGGATCACTCCAACGCTTCCACCTCGCCTAGATTATATGAAGCACGCCGCCTCGCTCTGGGTAAGCCTTTTCTTTGTACCTTCGGCTACCTCTCTGATGAAGTTATCCATCGATCCGAATACCACTTTGTCTCTGCAGCATCCATCGTACGTCTTATCTCACTCAACCTCTTTTATCCTGGCACAATCACTCACATCCAAATTCCATCTCTCATAGGGACAACTGAAAAACCTCCTCCAAGTTCCCTACGAAAAGGTTGTCGAACAATCGTGTGCAGTGTACGACACATCATGCCTCGACATCTTCGTCAAAACTGGAATCGTGGATGCTCTTGCAGAGACGCCCCATTCTGCGACTGGTCTTCACGTTCTTGAACTGCAAAAACAACTTGACCTCCCCGCCCCCAAGCTCAGGACCGTAATGCGGTACCTAGCTTGCCAAGGATGGGTGCATGAAACTCAGGAGGATGTTTTCACACTCAACCGTCCCGCACTTGAGCTAAGAAAAGGAAACAATGGCCGGAAATGGGTCCTGTGCGTCTGTTTTTTCGTTGATCCTTGAACCATCATGATGGCGTCTAACTTCAATCTTTTCGTAGTACACCTGGAAAACCCAAAGTTGCCAGCTCACTTTTAGATGTCATAACCCACCCGCAATGGAAGCACTCCAGATCTCCCAAAGAGACAGCCTTCCAGCTCTCACACAAGACTCCCCTCACTCTTTTTGCTTACCTGAAGCAGAATCCTGCTGAGCTAAAGCAGTGGGCAAGCTCTGTTCGAGTAAGTACTATTGATAAAGCTGTCAGCTTGAATTTGACCTTTATCTACGTCCAGTCCCTCGGTGATGTTTACCAGCCTGCAATAGTCAATGACTACCCTTGGAAGCGACTTGGGCCTCGCACAATCGTTGATGTTGGTGGCGGACAAGGGAATTTGTCAATTTCCCTTGCGAAGTGGTAAGAGTACTGCTTCCTAAAAAAAGAAGAAAATTAAAAACATTTTACCATAGTCTTCCAGAATGTAATTTTGTGATCCAGGACCTGCCCGAAGTAGTACCCATCGCCCAGGGTAACATTGACCGTGACATACCTGAACTTGCCGAAGAAGGTCGCATCGTCGTTGAGGCTCACAACTTTTTCCACACACAGCCACGCTCGTCAGAGGATATAGTATATATGTTTCGATATATATTGTACGTCTTCCGCCTTCTATCACCGTTCCTTTCATAGCTATTTTTCGACCTGAGTGTGACAATTTTGTACTGACAATTTTGTACGCAGGCATGACTGGCCAGAAGCTGATTGCGTATGGCTAAGATCTTGCTCCCCTCTGTTATTCCCTATTAACCTGTTCCATAGATAACCATCCTGAAGAACACCAAGGCCGCTGCCGGCCGACGGGTAAGCCCTCTCCATCCTCCATCTCCTTAAGAAGCTTTTGCTCACTCTCATATCTCCTAATCAGTCCAAAATCCTAATTGTCGAATACGTATCCACCCCTTCTACCATCTCATCTACTCCTTCTGGTGACACCATCAGCCTCTCCGACCTCTCCGCTACTTCTCACTCCCACTCCCACTCCAACTCTAATGGTGTCATTAACGGGAACGGGAACGGTGTGGTGAAAACAAAGAGCAAGGCTTACCGCTCAATCACCGCGCCCGCCTACGTACCCGCCAACTTTGGCGCGAACGCAAAGATGCACCTCGCGCTGGGCGTGCACATGATGGGTGTCTTCAACGCGCTCGAGCGATCACTCGTAAGTCTCTTTCCCGACACATCTTATTACACACTGCTGATTCAACACAACCATGAACAGACCGAATGGCAAGAGATCATCGAAGCAGCCGGTCTGAAGATATCCGGAGTATACAGCCTCCGCGCTAGTGTGTCGGTGATAGAGTGTGAACTCGCATAATGCTTGTATTCACCATCCACCATGACCGTCCATGATATCCATCTCATACTCGTTGATCGTCCCTGTCGTTATTCTTGTCGTTGTTTCTTATTTTGGCCTTTGTTGGGGGCTGGAGTTGGGCGGTCTGCTTGTCGATTGCCAGAACTGCCAAGTTACGAAAATAGAAAAACTCGAGCTTCATGGGTTCGCTTCACTTGTTTCCCTCCTTTTTCTTTACCTCTATTTCTTGTCTCCTATACCTTACTTCTGCATCTAGATTTTTTGGCTCTGGCGTTAACTGCGTAGAACGCCCTTGAACATTTAACTTACGGAATGTTCGTGTACTATATCCCTTCCAAATATATCGCTGGCCTCGAGGATGGAAAAAAACGTCCAAATTTGACAAAGTTACAGCGTCATGCTGGATTCTCAAGTGACATCGCGAGCGCTCTGATGAAGTTCTATGAATTCTACGTTCTGATCATGGGCTGTGTCAGACATGATGGGATGATGGATGATGGTGATGTATCTTTCATATCCAGTTTGTGGGTATCCCGGTATGAAATATAGCGTTACAGGTACGTACTGTCAGGAATCTTATCTTTGATCGGCGCTGTCCGAGCGTCACGGCGCAGATTGTCTAGATTGCACAATCATGAGACTTCCTGACTGCATATATACTGGGATTGCACCACCAGGCTGAAATATGGATGCATATGGGCGCATGCTTCAGGCGAGTAAAGACGGCGAGTACTCGTGATCATCATGCACTCTCTTTTTCCCTTCAATGTTCTGATGGCCTGTGAAAACCTATGTGATGGCTGTAGGAACCAATAAACACATCTATATGTAGAGTATGAGTGAATTATTGTAAACTTTAGTCTTTGTAAAAGTGCTCTTACCGTGACCTCGGTCAATGACTTGGCAGCAAGAGCGTTCGAGTCTTATCGGACTTTTCCTTTCGCGCGGGAAATCAGGACTATATACAGTATTGGCAGTGTGGCTGCTAGAGGCTCTAACTTGGACTTGCCAGTGAAGCGCCAGAAAAAAGATAATATATACACGAGATTGAACGAAATCGAACCATGACTCAGGACTTATGGCCATTTGCACACTGGTTAAAACGACGTCGAAGTCCTTACCTCACTCGCGATGGAGAGACCTTCTGAGTTTTATATTCCCAATATTATGACCAGCTGGCCTTGGCCTCAAATTCTTAGCCCTCACTCCCAGGAAACTTGGGCGGCCTCTCGTGCTTGGTTTCTCGACTTCAAACTGTTCACGCCACGAGAAATAGAAGTCTACGATGCAAGCCATATCGCTAAGTCTGCATCGTTGCACACAAAGAAAAAGCCAAAAGTCAGATATAAGGCCTTCTAGGTCTCCTAAGCACTTTGGCCTTCGCGTTATCGAACAAAGGTGAGAGCCTCAGTATACCCCCGAGCTATATATATGAATGGTAGTACCGGCAGAAATTGTTCGCAGTGGCTGCTGCGATCTAATGGCTACCCTCCTTATTTTCGACGAATACAGCGATCGTGAGGATGAAAAAGGGGTTAGAGCACTGGCCAACATGTATATGAATGTCTTCAGAAACCCAACGAAGCCCCGACTTCAAGGAGAGCCAATTATAGCGAGATAGTTTGGCAGTAAGTGTTGTTCATGACAGTAGCTGAGCTCTCTTAATTAGATTCCGGGAGCGGGCAACAAGGGGAGCGAATCCTAGGTACCAGCAGCGATTCATTGACACGTTTCAAGAATATACCGATACGGTCATACAGCAAGCCGGGGATCGCCAATCCAACCATCTGCGTACTGTTGACGAATATTTCGCTGTTAGACGCGGAACATCGGGCGTGAAGTCGTCATTAGCACTAATACTCTTCGACTCCGACTTCGATATATCACCCGACCAAGTTCTCGATCACCTAGTTGTGCTTGAACTCGAGATTTGCGCAACTGATTCTATCATAACCGTCAATGTCAGTAGTTATTTGGGAGCTATTATATTTCGAATCTTATGCTTCTACAGGACATCATTTCATATAATCGACAACAGGCTCGCGGAGACGACACTCACAATCTCGTTACCATCATCATGCACCAGTATCGAATGGGGCTACGAGATGCCCTACAGTTTTACACTTTCATGAAGGCATGACCCGGAAGTGCATCGAACTACGGAAGAGCCTACCACCATGGGACGAAGCCGTTGATAACCCAGGTGCAAAGATATCTCGACTCTGTAGCATGTTGGGTGGGAGGGAATGATAGCTGGGCATGGGAATGTGAGCGTTACTTAGGTAAAGATGGTCTGAAAGCGAAAGAGGGAGCGCCAGTCGTTTTGCTACCGAAGAAAGTTTAGTGATATGGAGATATGCAATACTTTTCACTGTATCATAGCACATCACAAAATACAAATTGATTCCTTCCCTGCCCTTACCTTCCTATGAGTACTAATTCCATAACTTAACCAACCCCAACGTTTACAATTTCACAGACCAAATTACAAAGTCACAAAATCATGACCACTGGCATTGACGGTCCGTTGATCGACAAACCAACCGACATTAATGTACATACATAGTAGAATCAGTAGAATCAGTAACGCAGTAAAATATCACGTATCAAATCCACTCCAGATCCAAATCCCAGCATTGTTGTAAGCAAAATATAGGGGTAAATCCGATCGCCTGTCGTGGCGAATTGAGGTGGTGGTACAGTAAGGATCGTCCTATCTTCCTTCCTTCCTTTGCGTCATAAACAGTCTCACATCTCCTGATACGCAGGCAGCTCCTCATCCTCATCCTCCTTCTTCGCCCCTTCTCCTTCATTCGCACTCACATTCTGATTCGCACCACCGCCCGCAAGCACCCTCTCCCTTTCCTCCTTCTCCAACCGTTTCTTCTCTTCTTCCGCAGTCTCATACCCGGGCGTCGCGGTCGTCGGAGCACTCTCATTGGCAGACGAGGAAGCAACGCGCTCCCTCTCAGCCCTCTCCAACCTCGCCTTTTCCTCCTCTGCAGTCGGATGCGCAGCCTCCGTCGTCGCCGCCTGGGGACTCGGAGTCTGCCCATAGCCACCATAGCCACCCCCACTCCTCACCCCCGCATCCTCCCTCGCCCCTCTCACATCCTTCAACGACCCACTCTTAGGCCCAGGACCTGATGCAGAAGACGCGCTCAACGGGACACCCGTCTCAGCGATCGTAGGCTGAGGTGGGATTGTCAGCGGCGACGTCGTCTGAGCTGGAGCGGACGACGACGAAGACGTGTCGACAAGGCCAGGGGCAGAGGGGAACGCGCTGGGAGAGGAAGAGGGGATGGGAGCTGGGAGAAGCGCAGGGGCGTTGTTGAGCGCAGACGGGTTGATAGGCGGGGAACGCGTCCTCTCTGCGTCCTCCGCCGATCCTCCCTGCTCCGTCCCACTGACACTCCTGGGCTGAGGCGGCGGCGGGGTGAGTGGGATCCCAGGCTGGGTGTGGTCCGACTCGGATGCGAGACTGTCGAGCTCGTTGGCGTGGCTCTCGCCAAAGGAGCGGGTGTCGCCGTCGATATCTGAGCCACCGCCGTGGGAGGAGGGAGAGGGAGAGGGAGGGGGAAGGTTGATGTGGCCCGTTTTGTAATTGTCGAGGGCGCGTTGGAGGGAGGCGCGGGCTGCTGCTGTGGATGGAGCTGCGGTGTAGGGGGAGGAGGGGGAGGGAGGGAGAGTGGGGAGTGCGCCGATGATGGATTTTGAGGCTTGTGAGAGGAGGACGATTTTCTCGCCGTACTGTGTGGGTCATAGAGAGTGAGTGAGCAAGTACATAAGAAGGGAGGAAGAGGAAGGAACTTACCTCGCGCATGGCGTCCCACTTTGCCAACTCGCTCTCGCGGAGAGCCTTTCTCTTGAGGAGCTCGACGTCTTTTTCGGGCTGCTCGTCGGCGGCTTCTGCGCGGGAGAGCTGTTGTTTGAGCTCTGCGAGACGCTGTTCTGAGCCTTTGAGCTGATCATGCTCCGTACGCGCGATCTGGTTTTGAAGGCCCTGGCGCGCTGCGCGACGGGGTGCGAGTGCGTTCTCAGCATCTCTCAAAGCCTTGAACGGCGTCCTCGCGGCATCCAGCTTGTTCGCCAACGTGCCAGCCAAAGACCCCTGGACAAAATTGAGATAGGCGAGTCTGTCAGAAACGTCCTTGAGATCTGCGTCCTCGCCCTGCCCCCAGGTATAAAGCTCCTTGCTCTGCGCCTTTGAGTCGCGGGAAAGGGCATCGAAAGAGAGAGCTACGCCCTTTTGGACGGTGATGATGCGTTGCACGGGGAGGGTGGAGGTGGCGATGTACTGTTGACCGAAAGTGCGGATTTGGTGCTGGAGGGACTCGAGTGCATGGGATTTGTAGGAGGAGGAGGGGGGCAGGGGATGGGCTTGGTCTGCGGGGGGAGGGGGAGAGGTGTGGGGGATGTGGCCTGCAAGCGGGGTTGCGTTTATGGCGGACTGGGCCTTGTCTGCAAAGGACGAAAGGAAACCTGGGACGGGCATGTCTGTGGTAGTCGTAGGCGATGTTATCGATGGAAGATACTTATACACATAGGGGAGGCACTGCTGCACATCACGTAAGCACCTACCCCGTACAACCCGACGTCATTCCCCGCAGCAAATAGCACTTACGTCACCAAGCTTCTACTCTGCAATTAATAGCATCCCAGTGGAACTATTGGTTCACTTTCATACATAGTCTTACACACTTGATGGATAATGACAGTGTCAAGTGTAAGCCTACTACACACTATTAATTCACAGGATGCAGTGTAGGGTGCAAGTCCTGTTTTGCTGTCATTTTGCTTTGTCTTCAACTTCCCATATTGTTACATTACTTAATCAGTATTGCAAGGAATACAGAAACAATACACATGATAAAAGGGGCAGAATAATGTTAATAAAGCTATTTGATGTCATGCACCCAAGTTGACATCAGTGGAATCAGTCGCCAGCACCTTGCTTTGTTTGGCTGGTCAATAAATGTTTGTCAATGCCCATAACAGGATACTTGACATTGTAAGGCAATGCAGACCACACCAATCATGGTAAGTTGTTGTCACCTCTGTACCACATTGACCAGGGTTTACAATGTCTTGTAGTGTCCTCCTAATGCATATTTAACTCTATAGTGTTGTTTTTCTTTACTTTTACTGTTTGAGGCGACTCTAGCATACAAGATCTGATTCTATAATGGTACCTACTGTCATATCCATGCCACAGGCCATGGTTTCCAGACTTCTGAAAAGTCAGAGATCCTCAAGTCCAAACTCCCAAATCTTTGGTACTCTCGGAATTACGCTCCTCGTGCTCTGCCGCTTGGCATATGCCATAGCGCATAACATAAGATTGCCTGATAGATTAGAACATAAGACATAAGGAATAGCAATAGTGGTCTTATGTAGCCCTGTACCCCACCCCCACATGGTACTCCGGAATTACAGTGACTCCAAAAACCGTTGCAATGTTTGGCCTAAATGCGATGGATGTGCAAAGTGCACCACCAACTTTGCTCAGCTTTGGTGGGGTTGACAAAAATACTTGGTCTTGGCTACGAAATGGTTCCTGGGTTATGTGATTTGGCCCAGTGGTTGTGAAGATATGTCCATTTCAAAACAGCAATACCATTGCAACAGTTTTTTCACTTTTGGCATCAAGGGAGATATCTAGGGAATATCAGTACTTGGTATAGCCTCCTTTTGCCTTGAGCACCACCCAAATACTCCTAGGCATGCTTTCAATTAAGTTGCAACACTCTGCAACTGTTATCTTCTCCCACTCCACTTGAATCCTCTCCCACAACTCCTTCATCCCATTAGGTGTAACAACCAAGAGTTAATTACTCTGGCGCACAACTAGAACAAACTATAAAGGTAGTGATGAGGGAGTGGTTACCCCTTAGGTAGGACTGAGTTAGTTGTGAGTAAACAACAGGAGGACTCGCTGAGGAGTCTCCTTGATCTATTAGGGTATATATACTACTACAGGGTTGTTTGTACATGTGTACTGTACAGTTGATAAAAGCAGTGGCTGATGATGTCATGAGCACAGCCCATGTGACCAGCTCCACTGCGTGAGATACTTGTAGCTAAAATAAGAAGGAAGGCCGCGCCGTGCGAGAAAGAGGAGTTTGAACAAAAGGGAAAGTGCCGCATGGCACAATGTGTGAAAACTACAGTATAAAGTTAAAAAGGAGAATGAAAATTAAAGGTCCGAAAATTGTGTATCGTAACATTAGGAGGGTATTCATACTCTGCAAGCCTCCTCTTGAGATAACCCTACCCATGTCCAATAGGATTAAGGTCAGGAGACTGTGCAGGCCTACGGTGGTCGTTTGGTTACGGTTCGATTTTGAACGCCGATCTAAAATTTAGTAATTTTTTTGAAGGCCGATAAACTGTACAAAGATTATATTGTAAATTTATAGATATGTTAATGATGATCAGCGATAGGTTAATTAAGATCGAGAGAGCTTCCTTAGAGATTGCGAGACCAGAAAAAATAAATATATTGTCACAGACGTGCTTTCAGGGCATACAACTGAAGTAGTACAAATGAAGACAGCACGGCCGACTCCTGTGCCAATAAGAGAGGCTTTAGCCCTACAGAAGAATTCAGTGGGATGAAAATGATGAGACTCAGTAGATACATACCAGCCAGAACGGTCCCGCAGCACTGCTCTCTAGGACCTCAAAGATGACACCATAGTAGATGTGTGTACACTTGGGAGGGGGGATGGGTTGGACAGGAGCCGCACCAGTTGCTGGAAGTGGAATGAGGAGGGTGATTGGACCATGGGGAGCAGGCACAGTAACAAGGGAGGTGGCGGTGGCAGGAACAATGGCTGCACCTGACAAATAAGACAGCAGAGCAGACACACCTGGCTGGAGCATCTGCGCGTTGACCACGGGGAATATGGACCAATCCTCGGGACTGAGTGTGCAAGAGCTGGCGGACAATTTAGGGTGAGTGCAATGGATGATAGTTGCAAAAAGGACATCAGTGTTGGTATTTGACAGGCGTGAGGATGGAAACAATTAAATCTGAGAGGCGAGTTAGCGAGCAGGGATGGTTGACAAAAAAAACGACTTACTGGTCCCAGTTTCACCACTATCATTATCCCCATGAGCGTATTATCAGTAAGTACAGAATGTAGAGAGAACATCCTGACCTGTATATGATCCCTTACAGCGTGAGCCAACCTAAACCAGAGCCCTATATGCAAGGTGCATGAAGGGAGTAACAATACCAGCATTCAGAGCTATGAGTCGAGTCAAAAGACACAATGTTGTGGATAGGCAGGGTAGTTGTAGATGTCATAGCAAAACAAAAAATGAGGAAGGCTGCCGAATTAGGAAAATCAGCTCACATGACCATTTTGCGCACATGGATCTCAAGTCAGTGCAGCAGAAACTTTGTCAAGTTATCCACAAGTGTTCACAACATTCACGTTTGGAACAAGGAAACAAATACAAGGACATGGGAAAAAGGGCATGAGCATGAGCCGTTTGCAAGGGAGCACCTCTTCTGATCTGTTATGTCAAAGTGCCAACCTTCAAGGTCAAGTCAAAGATGCTGGAGCTCAAGCCTCAAGCCTTCCATCAAGTTCAAAGAAGAAATTTAGAAATGAGTTGCCCGATTATTTATTGTAGTGCTAACTTACGAAGGCTCAAATGAGCTCCCTACAGATCCTCCAATGCATCCTTGAAGAAACCGGACCTCAAGCTTCTGTCAAGTTCCGAGTCAAGGAAGCAACTGACCACAAAGGTTCGGATCCTTTTGCTCACAAACTGGGAGGATCGAGGGACTCCAAGCACATCAATCATGCGGCCTTGAAGAAACCGGACCTCAAGCCTTCTACTGACTTCAAGGAAGTACGGTCAGCCCACAACTTGATCATCTGCTAACTACGATGAGCCGAACGACTGTTCCGCAGATTCTAACTTCAATAACAAAGATCCTCCATGACGTCGCAAGGTCCCCAGTATTGCGGGCACTGGGAGTATTGAAGGACTCCAAGCACACCAGTCATGCGGCCTTGAAGAAACCGGACCTCAAGCCTTCTACTGACTTCAAGTAGGGTTGGCCCAAAACTCGATCATCATCTGCTAACTACGAGTATCCGAACAAAATTCATTACAAGGACTCAGATTGGAGGCCGGTAATTTGATAATAGAAACTGTAATTCTATATTCATAATTATAGACATTACATTGCAAGAAAATGAGACATGTACTACAAGACACTAGCTAAGGTAAATCAATCCCAGGTTCCATCCGGATCATCCGTCCATTCATATTCAAAGTCAGTCTCTGCTTCGTCTGATGAGTAGCATGCGGCATTATGTGGTGCGCCTCCCACAGCGGGTCTCCCTTGCCGGTGTGGTGGAAGAGGTACAACCGGCATGAAGTCTTTTGCGTTGTCGGAAATAGCAGACTTGGCCAGCATAGCCTGGAATTCGATGTTGTTTGGCTGGCTTTGAAACTGCTTGAGCAGGTGGATGTAAATGTCCCATACATTGTCCCAACTGACTGGTGGGTAGTTTGCGGCATCTGAGAATGTGCAAGCTTGTAATGCAAAGGCTGGAGGGACTAAGTTGAAGACAGCATGATCAGGGGGTGCATACTTGTTTCGCACTTCAATGAGATATGGTGGATGGAGCTTAACCTGGACAAGCATGCATAAGTAAACAGGGTGATAGAAATGAAGAAACAGAAACTTACAGCAAAGTCGCGCGACTCAAATTGTTCCGGCTTGTTGAAAATATCTATAGGGTGTCCGTGAGGTAAGAGCTTGTGTGAGTTGTGTTGGGACTTTGTGTTGTTGAATCTCTCAATGAAGCAATCAAGCTCCTGCTGGATCCAAGGGATAAAAACATAATGAAATACTAGCCTACAGATTTGTGTTAGTCGCATTACAACAAGGGCAGATAGAAGTCACGCCACCGTTCGAGTGCATCATCTGCATCATAGAGCCCCTCATTGACTCCCCATTCAATGAGCGCCTCAAACCCCGGTGCCCACCGTCTTCGGAATTGACCCCAGAAGATCTCGGGCTTGATGTTACAGTGGGATCCTTTGAACATATGCTGAAGCGACTTGTCTAGGGCTGAGTCTTGCATATGGCGAAGTAATGTATGGCCATTTGCAATGCCATTATTTTCAGTGCCGGGGTTGCTTTGTGTGATTAGAGGCATCCCTGCCACGCAAGAGTATGATCAGAATTTGGAATGCCTGAGGTAAATGTACTTACCACCCAATCTCTCCACAACGTCACAGTACCACCCACATATCAAACAAGGATTGTGATTTGTCCACCAAACCTTCAGCCAGAGGACACAGCCAGAAAAAGGCTCCAGCTCAACATGAAAAAAGAGCTGGAAGCGGCACCACTTATCATGCTGGTCAAAACACCACAACTTGTTGACTCCTGCTGTCCAGAAATAGCTATGTTTGAGTCGTCGTTTGAGCCGTCCTTGTACTTCGTCTGGATGGTGTAGATTCATGTAGTCCAGTATGACCTGTCTATTATAATGTCATTGTGAGTGTCGGTATGTACAATAATATAACTTACCGGGGCACCATAACCTTTTCTTCTTGTTGCAACATCTCCTTCATATCATGTGATCCCTGTTGAGGAAACTGTGCCTGAACCCGTTCAATGGTTGGTCCAATGCTATTGACTGTGTGTGCCTGGCCACGAGAGCTCTTTCTTTTAAGCCCCAGAGCATTCTTTTTTTCTTCAATAACGACAAGCTGGTTTAACCATTCATGTCAGTATATCCTAGTATCACACTTAGTAAAAGCTCACGAAAAAGAGTGGTGATCTGTGTCATAGTGGTCCTTGAGTTTGGTAACAATTTTGGGGTTGGAGTACCCATCTGCTACAAATTTCTCCACCAACAGTCGGATTATAACATCAGGAGCTGTGGGGAAAAGCACATAAAGTAAGTATGACAGTCTTGGGTTGTCACTGCTACACATCTACCTGGGGTTACCTTGTATCCATTGGTACCTAGAAGGTTGGGCATTGTTTGAGGGAAGTATAACGTGCTAGATGTAAAGGAACAAAAATATTAGTATTATGCTGTTGACCAACTTGAACATGTGGTAGGCACGAGAGAATATTGTAAAACTTACCACGTAGGATGCACAGTCTAATAGTACACTTCCTATTTGATCAACCGCCTGTGCAGTGTAAGCAGGGTGGTGTCTGTTATGCAGATAATGCTATGGGGAGAAAGGATATGGAAGATTATTTAGGTAGACGGAATTGCAGGACTAACCGTCAATTTGTTTAGCTGACTTGCCGCTGCTTCCCCATTTGTTCCTTGCTGACATTATCTTGGGTCAAAATTTCTGTGGCCTCATTTGACTCAGAACCATATCTGATCCTCATACACATGTTGTGTGCTTGAGGATGGCTTGAGGATGGCCCGTTAATGAGTTGCCATCAAATTCTCAGGAATTCACAGAAGCCTGGGGCTCGACTTGACTCAGATTGGACTGCAACTCATCTTGAAGAATCCATATAAACCACGCTAGGAGGGTGAAATGGTAAGTAAAATAGCCATCATGGAATTCACGCCCACAACTGAAGGTCCATCAACCAAAACTTGTGGCCGTTGTTGTACAGACTTTGACAGGTCAATCCACTTCTTGTACATCAAGGGCAAAGATGGATCTGGTCACCACTGCTGTCCAGATTGTGCTGCACACTACCAACTCAAGCGTGCCGAAGCTGGAGGAGAGCCTGGTAGAACGTTGGGCACACCAGTTGGTATGGTTATTTTATTTTGATAATCTAATCTTAAGTGCTGATAGGGCTTGGATCAATGATCAATCTAGACTTCACCAAAGTAGCTTCTCGATCGCATGGCATGGATGTAAATTCCCGGCAGGCTCTTGTTAGAGCTTCTTTGGCAGCACAACATGGTGGTGAGTAAATTTTCACTTGTCTGTGGTCGCAGTACTGACCTGGTCACAGAACAATCATTCCCTAGGCAGCATATTGGGGTGGCTCATGCTGCTAGCAGCAATATGCCTCCACCTACCATGCCTATGTCTGCCGGTTCCAGTGCGGGTAGTATTTCTCAGGCTATAGGTTACACTCCCAACCATGCATTCCATGCACACCACCGCAGCAAAATGCTAGCTTCTACATTAGCACCTCAACATCAAGTTATGATCAGGATAGCTCTTCACCATGTGAAAAATGAGGGAAAGTCTGGAACAGAGTTGGTTGGGGTGAGTCTGTTACGATAACACAATTTCCGGACATCTCCTTTCCTTTTTATTCTCCGCTTTAACCTTATACTTTAAAATGCCACGCGGCATTTCCCTTTCCCGCGCCACGTTGCCTTTCTTTTACTTTTGGACTTAACTCTCTCACGCAGTGGAGCTGGCCATACGGGCTAGACCCTATGACATCATCAGCCACTGCCTTCATCAACTGTATAGTACACATGTACAAACAAACCTGTAGTAGTATATATACCCCAATAGATCCAGGAGACTCCTCAGCGAGTCCTCCTGTTGTATACCAACTAACTCACTGCAGCCCAAGGGGTACCCACTCCCCATCTTCCACTACCTTTAAAGTGTGTTCCTGTGTGCGCCAGAGTAACTAACTCTAGGTTGTTACATTAGGACTCGCTCTTTCTACTCTCTCGCACGTGTGTGCAGAAGTCCCATCATTTGGGCACCCGGACTCCAGGGTTAAGGAGATTGGTTAGCGGTTAGGAATATCCCATATAGCAGATAGGTGCGCTCCTAGCGACGGCCTTGTAGTGCTTTGGGAGAAGAACCCAAAACCTGTGATACGCGGCCCCCAGCGTTAAGGGGAGTACTTAGCTCAGCAGTCGGTGTGGAACCACTGTTGATTAGACTTAAAATACAAAACTTTCACTTTCGAATACCTCTGACCAGGCCGGGCACTTGCCTCCGCCAGTCTGGAGAAGGGTTGACAGCTTAACAAGCGGACCACCCCCTGACAACCGTTCGGACCAGGGTTTATTACATTTACATTTTATATACTTTTCAAATACTATAGTGTGGGTAGTCGGAGATTGAGATCCGATACTCAGCTGGGAAGAGGTTGATCCGCAGATAGCAAGCGGGGACCCCCAGTTACCTATTTTTACATTACCCAAAGAGAACAAGTCGACATGTCGTCGCAATCCCAAGATATGAATCAGCTACTGCATGCAATGCGTGTGCAGATAGCTGAGTTAACCTCGCAACTCGCCGAGATACAGGCCAACCCCCCTGTAGCAACCCCCTCGGTAGAAAAGAAATTCAACAAGAAAGTCGAAGTCGTCGCTGACCCTGGCGCCTTCGAAGGAGACCGAGCGCGATTCGCCGAATGGTGGATCAAACTCCAGATTTGGGTCAAGGCAAACTGGGAAGCATTTGCCGACGACTTTGAGGTATCCACTGCGGTGCTATCTCGACTAAAAGGACCTGTGGCGGGTCGATACGCCCAAGTAAGACTCCAGGAATGCTACACCGCGGGTGTGTGGCCTACCTGGGATGATCTCAAGAAGGAGATCGAAAAATACTTCAAACCACAAGCTGAGCGTGACTGGGCTCGGCAGCAAATCCGTTCGTTCAAACAGGGAAACCTGAGAACGGACGATTACGTCACCCGGTTCCTGGCCCTCTCCATCCAAGGAGGGTTAGGTAACGAACACGCAGTAGAACTGCTGGAACGCAATGTGAACCCTCGCATTGCAGAGCAGATCTACCTGCAGGATACGAGAAGTGACGACCTGGCTCTGGCAGCCGAGGAAGTCAGACGAGTTGGTAGGGCCATGGAGCTCTACGCTATGCACCAAGGTGGCGGGTCCACCAAACAAACCACAATACCCCAGAGGCGCCCTGGGTCATCAAACCAAAATTATAATCACTCTCACGGGTTCAAGCCGTTCGGGCTGCAGCCAGGACAGGGTGCTCCTATGGATATCGGCGCGGTCCAAGGCGGACAAATGCGCAGATTCAAGGGCAGCTGTTACAACTGCGGCCAAGAGGGACACATGTCCCGAGACTGTAGAAACGGGGCGCAGGCCGCCCAACAAAAAAATAATCAAGGGCGCCAGGCGCGCCAATTAGAATCCGAGAAGCCGGACGATCGGCTCAACTCTTTGGCCGGTCGTTCTTACGACGAAATCCGGGCCTTCTTCTATGACCAACAGGTCAACGAAATGAAGGCTCAGGGAAAAGAATTTGGGGCTTAGGTCACTTGGGTGCCTTAGCTCCTAGTAAAAATGAAGTAAACCACAACAAAGTGGCCCCTGCTCCGGGGTGTTGCACGAGCAATAACGGAATGACGGGGATGGCTCCCCAATTTGTAAATAAGTTTTTAAAATTGTTATCAGAAGTATGTACTTGTATAAAGAAATGTGACTGCAAAATTTATGATACTACCGCTGCACCAGCGTCTCCCTTGGAGCGTGGCCCCGGCGAGACAAACACTAGGGTGCTTGATTCTGGTAAAACAAAAATAGAAAAACATGTGTCATTCAAAATTCCTTCTTCTTCTTCTTCTTCTTCTTCTTCGGAGCCACCCTTTCCCGAAATCCCAAGACGTGTGTTGATGCGCACGTATTTATTCCAAAAGGAGATCCGTTTAGACGTTGGCGTGGAAAACCTTGCCAGGGGCAAAGTACACTCAACGAGCGCACTGCTTGATTCAGGCGCTAACGGGATCTTCATAGATCAGGTCTGGGCGGAGCAAATTGGACTCCCCCTTGTAAAATTAGAAACATCTATTCCCGTCTATAACATTGACGGTACGCTTAACGCAGGTGGCTGTATCACACACAAATGTTCTTTTGTGGTCGAATACCAAGGACACAGAGAACGAGTCACTGCCGAGGCTACCCAACTAGGGAAAATTAATTTAATCTTAGGCTGGACCTGGCTATTTAAACACAATCCTGAGATCAACTGGCAGACAGGGGTTGTCACATTGTCACGTTGTCCCCAGGAATGTGTAAACTTGGGTAAACCAAATCATGTCCGTCACAATGAGCGTCTCGAAAAGTTAAACGCTAGTCACGTTTACGAGCTCAGATCTTTAGAAAAGATCGACGATGACGATGATGAGGTGAAACCTGAGGAAGAGATTAAGAGGCTGGTACCTCCCGAGTACCACGACTTCTGGAAAGTCTTTTCGGAACACAAGTCAGAGCGCTTCCCAGAGGCTAAGCCTTGGGACCATGCTATAGATTTGAAAGACACCTTCAAACCAAGGAAGGGACACATGATACCACTCTCTGCTCCCGAAAGAGACGAGGTATCTAGTTTCATAGACGAACAACTTAGGAAGGGTTACATCAGACCTTCCAAAAGTCCTATGACGTCCCCGGTGTTCTTCATTCCTAAAAAGGATGGTAAGAAGCGCATGATTATGGACTATCGTTACGTGAATGAGCACACAGTTAAAAACGCGTATCCGTTGCCTTTAATTAGTCAGCTAGTAGACAAATTGGCTGGCGCCAAGATTCTGACTAAAATGGATCTCAGATGGGGGTACAATAACGTACGAATCAAAGAGGAAGATGCTTGGAAGGCCGCGTTCACGTGCCACCGAGGATCTTTCGAACCCCTTGTTATGTTCTTTGGGTTGACCAATTCACCGGCGACCTTTCAGAGCATGATGAATGAGATCTTTGCGGATATGGAAAACTGTGTCGTCATTTACATTGACGATTTATTAATATTTACAAAGTCGGACGATGAGGCTGAGCATGACAGGATCGTGCAAGAAGTCCTTCGACGCTTACAGGAACGGGACCTATTCGTTAAACCCGAAAAATGTAATTTTAAAGTGAAGGAAGTAGACTTCCTCGGTATGATCATAGGCCAGAACAGAATCAGGATGAACCCTGAGAAAGTTCAAGCTATTTTGGAATGGCCAGAACCTACTCGCGTCAAAGGGGTTAGGGCTTTCCTAGGCTTAGGCAATTTCTACCGAAGGTTTATTGAAAACTTTGCAAAAATCACGAGACCGTTGAACGATCTCACCAAAAAGGACCTTGTTTGGCATTGGGGCGCCAAAGAACAGGAAGCTTTTGATAAGCTTAAACAGGTATTTACAACAGCGCCCATATTGGCATTCCCTGAATTAGACAAAGAGTTCCGGCTAGAAACCGACTCTTCTGACTTCGCCACTGGGGCTGTTCTATCAATCAAATGCCCTGATGATCTTTGGAGGCCTTGTGCCTATTTATCGCATAGTTTGTCGCCTACAGAGCGCAACTATCAAATATACGACAAGGAGATGCTGGCCATCATTAGAGCTTTAGAGCACTGGCGGCACTACTTAGAAGGTGCTAGGCACCAATTCGAAATTTGGACCGATCATAAGAACCTGGAGTACTTCATGACGGCCCGAGACCTGAACCGGAGACAGGCCCGCTACGCGGTGTACTTGTCAAGGTTCAATTATAAATTAATTCATAAGCCAGGAAGCTCAATGGGGAAAGCAGATGCTTTATCTAGAAGAGAGGATCATGCCAACAGCATTGAAGATGACAACAAAGGTGTCACCCTGATAGATCAATCAAGGGTCGCCAATGTTAGAATCGGGCAAGATTCCGACCTCCTAGAAGTCTTTAGAAAAGACATCTCCCCGGAGGAAAAGGCGCGCCTTGACGGCAATGAAAACTATTTATGGAAAGACGGGCTCTTTCATTTTAAAAACAAAATCTATGTGCCTGAGTCCGCAAGGATCAAGGCAATAGATAGACATCATGATACTCCAGTGGCTGGGCACCCTGGATGGCAACGAACAATGGAGTTGATCTCCAGAAACTACATGTGGCCTGGCATGGTCAAAGACATACAGGAATATGTAAAATCCTGCCTAAGATGCGCCATGGCCAAGAATTCCCATCAACCGCCAGCCGGTAAACTCATGCCGAACCCGATACCAGCTGGCCCCTGGCAGGATATATCGGTGGACTTCACGACGGATCTGCCCGAGTCAAACGGGTACGATTCAGTAATGGTGGTAGTAGATCGCTTCTCCAAAGAAGTGGTATTCATACCTACCAACAAAACCATCACCGCCGCCGGTACGGCAGACTTATTTAAAGATTTTGTATGGTCAATCCATGGGTTACCAGAAACGGTAATCTCCGATAGAGGACCGCAATTCGCTAGCGAATTTACGAAAGAATTATGCCGGATGCTGGGCATCAAACCTAAATTATCCACGGCGTTCCATCCGCAAACCGATGGACAAACGGAGAGACTCAACCAGGAGTTGAAGCAGTATCTCCGTATATTTATTAATGACAGACAGACGGATTGGGCCAAGTGGCTAAAGATAGCCCAGTTCTCATACAATATTAAACAGTCGTCGGCTACAGGCAAGGCACCATTCGAGGTTACTAGATCGTACCTCCCCAGAATGGGTGTAGAACCTGGCAAGAGCAAAAACGAGGCTGCTGGGAACATGGCAAAAGACATGAAGTCTGTCTTGGACGAAACGCGCAAAGCGCTATTTAGAACTGCAGAGCAGATGAAAGACAGGGCAGAGCGTAGACGCTCTAAGGCCCCTGACTACAAGGTCGGCGACCTGGTCTGGTTAGATACCGACCACTTAAAATTAAAAGACCGGCAGTCTAGAAAACTGACCGAAAAGTGGATTGGCCCTTACCGGATTAAGGAAGTCAAACCTAATGCGGTGGAGCTGGAACTCCCAAAACGAATGAGGGTGGTACCCACGGTTAACATTAGCCGTGTGAAACCCTACAAGGGACCGCTGCCGGGACAGCGCGTAGACCGGCCCGGTCCGGTAGTAGTCACCCAGGAAGGTGAAGAAGAGTTCGAAGTCGAACGGGTGGTAGATGCACGCTTGAAGCGTGGAAAATTAGAGTTCCTGGTCCTATGGAAGGGCTACGGAGACGAGGACAGAACGTGGGAACCAGAATCCCATCTGGAAAACTCCCGCGACGCTGTTCGCGAATTTTATGCTAGGAATCCCTCAGCTCCCAGGAAGCTTAGAGGCATGGATTCAAACCTTTTTAATTCCCTCTTTCAACCTATGCCCGAAAATTTTACCACTACCTCCGGAATTTGGTCTCGCCTGGAAGTCAAGCCTTAGAAGGGGGGTAGTGTTACGATAACACAATTTCCGGACATCTCCTTTCCTTTTTATTCTCCGCTTTAACTTTATACTTTAAGTGCCACGCGGCATTTCCCTTTCCCGCGCCACGTTGCCTTTCTTTTACTTTTGGACTTAACTCTCTCACGCAGTGGAGCTGGCCATACGGGCTAGACCCTATGACATCATCAGCCACTGCCTTCATCAACTGTATAGTACACATGTACAAACAAACCTGTAGTAGTATATATACCCCAATAGATCCAGGAGACTCCTCAGCGAGTCCTCCTGTTGTATACCAACTAACTCACTGCAGCCCAAGGGGTACCCACTCCCCATCTTCCACTACCTTTAAAGTGTGTTCCTGTGTGCGCCAGAGTAACTAACTCTAGGTTGTTACAGAGTCCACCACTTTGTCTTGATTTTCTTTGGATGCTCACACACACTTCTTTTGAGAATATTGAGTGAGACATTACTGTACCACTTTCTATCAAATGCGGCCAACTACGTGAGACTGTGATTGAGAGCCTGAATCTTCTGTGGGTTGCCTGGTCTTGTGGCCATCAGCTGGTGCTCGACTCCTTACAGATGCTCAAGGCTCCATTGCTACTAATTTACGGCCCTGAAGAGCCTCAGCAATACTCCGAGCGGTTAATTCATTCTCCATGACTTTTTCTTTCACAGCTCAGCTAAGGATAATACCCCAAAGTTTTCACCCAATATCAAAGTATCTATCATCCTCCTTATGTCGAAGGAAGATTTCGAAGACATCTTGTTATGGAAGGAAGAAGATAAACATGCCAAAGCACAGATGCATAACAAAGATGTTCAGAGTCCGAGCATATCATCATCTGATGATGATGATGTGGGTGGTCCAATGGATAGGGTAGTACCTGCCCTTTTTATTTTATTTTACTTTGTCATACTCACAGCACTTACAGATATTCCTTGCAGCAACAAGGGGTGGAAAACAAGCCAGAAAGAGTCGCACAAAAAAGAGACCTGCTCCTCCCACATCTAACTCTCTACCCATGCATAGCAAAGCACCAATTGCAGAAAAGGTACGTCCTTGGCCATTACATTTGAAAGCAATACTGACTTTGTGTAGCTATCCAACCGTTATGATACCAAGACATGTACTGATTTGACCTCAAGCTTGTTCCGAAGCAAACCTCGCCCACTCAAGACACCTGAACTATGCCCCCTCGCTCCCTCAACCTCGAGTTCCAGCAGCCAAGTGCTGCCGTCTAGAATATTATGAAAGGATATTACGCAGCCAGATGTCCCATCATTCAGTGTGCCTGACAAGGCTGTTCTCCGGAGTGTCATGATGGCACAAGGGGATGTTCGGCGCCTGGCTAAGCCTATTTGTAAGTAAATGTATTATTTTCTCATCACGTGTACTAATGCAAAACTAAAGTAAGTACTGACATAGGAACCTACATTTTATTCCTAGTACCATCAATTATGTTTACTGATCTTCTGAAGAAACGGGTGCCTTTTGACGTTATGAACAAGGTTAACCACCCTATAGTGACACTGACTGCCGACTGTAGCTTAAAGGCAATGTTGGGCCCAGCCAGAAGTTTCAAAACATGCCACCCTGCATTGTTGGAACAAAGTGAATTGAAGCAAGCGGGGGATACCATTCTAGGGGTAGAGGCTATAGTAGCCAAACATTGATTTTACAGAAAAGCAGTGGAAGGGGCCGAAAAGAGCGCAATAACCTCGAGTCCTTCAGGAGGGCGTAAAGGGCTAGCTGTCAAGGATGAGCTAGTGAAGATGCTCAACAAGGCCAATTGCCTTTACTGGGCAACGAGCCTGATGGCTCTTGTTTACAGCTTTGTCGACAACAAACTCACTCAGAGGCCCCTCGTTTCTCCTTCCCCAGTGATCCCCCAACTGCGTGTGGTCCATGCCGCTTTGGCCATCCCTCAAGACACCAGAGAGTCGCGCAATGCTGTCTATCTTCTTGAAGAGAAGATAAGTGGCCATTTTGTCAAATACATTAATAACAATTGTGCAACTCCACGAGACCACCTTGCCCCTCCCAAACTGGAAATTGCAATGTTTTTGTGCTTTGCACAGCACACACAGTATCATTTCTCGCAAGGTCTTGTATTTGTCTCAGACTTTCAAGGTACATTTATCTTTCTCTTATTTACAATCTCTTACTTAATTTTGCTTTTCAGGATCTGGTGGAATTTTAACGGACTGCCAGATTATTACAACTAAGTGAGTCCTTATCTCTTTGCGTGTTCTGTTTTCATCTTTTCTTTCAGTGATTTTGTGAACAACTTTGGTGATGGAAATTGGACGGCAACCTTGGACAACTTCTCCTCGTTGCACAAGTGCAACGAGTATTGCTTATACTTCGGACTCCATTCATTAGCAGTTGAAGTATGTATTCTGTCTCTATTATGTTTTATTTCTCTAACATGTTTTTTGTACATTTCATAGGGTTCTGCTACCATAAAGCGAGCATTCGAGGAGGCTGACATTATGTCTAGTCGAGTTTGTGATTGAGAGGGGTCTTTCATTGTTGCATATAGTTCTACTCTTTAGATAATGCCAACAAATCAAATCCTATGTTGAAGTGCACACTCGTTTGAAATTTGTAATTCAAATCACTGAATCACTAATTCACAACACTGCCCACTTTGTTGATCGCCCATCAAAAATCAATAGTTTGGCCCAAATTTTGGTTAATATGAATTTAATTTCTAGAGGGACAGCGGGATTTCAAAATTATTATGCCGGACGTCGGCTTGCATCCAAAATCAAACTGTAACCAAACAACCACCATACAGGCCACACCATAGTTCTAAACTCCTGCTCATCTAGCCACTCCTTGACATTTTTGCAGGTATGCTTGGGGTCATTATTTTGCTGAAAGATGATGTCAGGAGGATTGAAACCATAATACTGCAGGGTGTTTAGCAGCTCATCCTTCAAAACCTGAAGGTAAAGGTCTTCATCCATGCTACCATCTATTTTAGCAGCATACCCAACTCCCTCCCAAGTCATATAGCCCCAGATCATCATGGAACATCCTCCAAACTTAATAGTTCCCTGTACCAATCTATCACTGAGCCCCTCACCTGGCTTTTTCCACACCCACTTGCGTCCATCTGACCCCAGGCAATTGATTTTGGTCTCATCAGACCATACAACCTTCTTCCAATCCTCCACAGTCCAGTCCGTGTGAGCATGAGCAATTCCAACCTAGCCTTACAATGCTTGGCAGAGAGAAGAGGGTGTTTCTGCTTGGCCACAGCCTTCATGCCAGCCTTTTTTCAAGTGCTGGCGGACAGTGTTTGGGGAAAGAGGTTGGTTGATGATGTTGGTAAGAGCTTTGGTGATCTAGACAGCATTTTCTGCTTTGTGAGTGGAGATGAGATGCATAGCATGGTGGTATCCAAAGTTGATTGGTAGCATGGACAGGTGTCAAAAATGAAGCAAATATTCAAAAAACTCGCCTTTGCACCACACAGTCACAGTGCCATGTGGAATAGTAATTAATATTGCCTTTTTGGAACTTGTGGCTGATCAGCACCACCTCTATTAGGCAATCCAGTCGCGCTCACCTTTACTTTCCATTCAGTATTTTCTGCATTTCAGCATTTCGGCAACTTTTTGCGTGGCCACTGGCTACACATTGCGCCCATGTACATCGCCGTCCCATTCACTTGGGTACACTTATCTTTCGTCCATTGTCTTCGCTACAGCTACAGCTACCACACGCTGCCTGGGACCCACTTGTTCCCAAATTGGGACTACTCCCCTCCCTCCCTCGTTTGACCAGGTGGTCCAATACAACCAGTCTATTGGTAAGGCCATGGAACTGTCGGATTTGGACTAGGTGGTGGACTGGTGGCTCCAGTTTTTTTTTTTCAGCAGAACATTCATTTACAGTGCAATTATTTTTGATTTTTGAATCATTTTTATGGACACATATTTTTTAGAATGCCTGACTGACAATAAAGGAACTGTGTTGATACTGATAGTGTTTTGCCTTGCCCTTTTTTTACTGCATCTTCCCATGACATCATGATTTTCCTGCTCTTTTTTTGCTATTGGACTTTACTTTATGGCTGTACAAACCTGTGACATTACTCACAGCATTCATTGTTCTATCCCTTTCTTTTCCTTTTTTGACAATCTTATCCTGTACTACCTACGCAGGATTCGTCAGCATACATTCCTTCCTTCATGTTCTTTCTCATTCTTTTTGCACAGCTATACTGTGCATAGCCTACTTTTCTTTTACTATATAAACCCCTGTATTTTACCTTGTAAAAAGAACAAGAACTCCATTCCAGACTTCTTCTCTAAATTCAAGTTCACTACTCTGCTGCTTGTGATCCAGTGTGGTCACAACACTTCCCACTGCTACCACTGTCAACTGCTGTCATTGTCACTTCCCACTTTTGAAGTCATTGTCATCCCTTTCGATTAGAGTCCTTCTGAGCACTACAGTTTGTGCGTCAGGAGCCTGCTATCACTGGGAACCTCGTCATATTGTCGTTCTCAAACCTACCTTGTGCTATGATTAGCAAGGTAGTGCTCGTCTATACTCGCCACAAAGCCCCTATCTTTCTATATTCCAACTATCCCTCCTCCTCAAAACCCACACCCATACATCTCTGGGTTTTACTTTGAAGGATCCTTATACATACCACCCCACAAACAACCAGAACACCCACTGTTCTAGGAGGCAAAGCCCATAAACAAGTTCCGTGGAATCTGGGAGGATTGTGTGTTAGTTTATTTTTGTGTGTGGTTTTCCAACAACAGTTCTCATCATCGACAGTGTGAAGGGGTTGAGGGGTGTCTGCAGTTTTCTGAGTGAGTAAGATATATCAGTCACTTTTATCTCTGATAACCATTAATAGGTTTGTATTTCTGGTCCCATTCCTTTCATAATACCATCAGGAATAGCTGATCATTGCATAGAACAGGACCAGAGCTCCAGAACTATGCTCAAACTTTGCATTAATAGCGTGATTTGACTGCAGCAAGGTTGTAAAATGGGCATGAGAATGTTGTCCACAACATGCAGCGGGTAGGGCAAGAGGTGCAACTGCGCTGCAGCGCAGTTGCGCCACATTGTGTCACACAGCATCAGAGAACCTCTCAGCAAAAAGTCTCAAAATGCAAGACTCACGCAAAATCTTCAAAGTTTTGCTATCCTACCAAGATGCTAAGATTGTCCTAACCTGTCTAGAAAGTAGCCAGGATCAAAACATGCAGCTGAAAAGAAGACTCCAAGATCTTCTCTCACTGGATGCCGGACCTCCTATTCAATTGCAAGGACCGGATGGAGATAGGCCGCTTCCCCAGCACAGATGCCCTAGAAATGGTGTGGCTTTAGTAGCCGGTAGCAGATGGAAAATTGGCAGGAACATTGCACGCACCTCAACTGCATCTTTGGATGCCATCATTTCTACCATGGCTACAGCTCATTTCAACTCAATTTCCCTCAGTCCTGCTCGATGGATCAATGATATCAAGGCCTTTATTTCCTGTGGGACTTGGCAGGGATCTGGGTTCAATCATTTGGAGGACGCTGTTTTGCTCTGCTCTTGTTTGATTAGCCATGAGGTAGGCGTGTCTTTCATGATGATGGTGAGCAAGAATAATCTTGCTGTGAAGACTCACAGGTAAGTGCAATGTTATAATTACATTTTGAATGTACACGCTTACACAAACTTGAGCCTGCTAAGTGCTGCAGGTCCTTACCAAAACCTCAAGGGCCTTGCTAGATGTCCCACCGAGCGTGCATTCTACCAGTGGGTCTTGACCGGCTGAAAGTACATGAAAATTGCTGCCGGTGGGACAATCTACTCTTTTGTCCTCATCATTGGCCTTGACGTGCATTGGACATTGAGTAGGGTGGGCTCTAGGGTGCCATGAGAGGTTGTAAAGGTGCTGAGGGTGTTACGATAACACAATTTTCGGACCTTCCCTTTACTTTTATTCTCCGCTTTAACCTTGTACTTTAGCTTTCACACATGGTGCCATGTGGCACTTCCCCTTTTATCCAAACTCCTCTTTCTCGCACCGCGTTGCCTTTCTTCTTATTATAGACACAACTCTCTCACACAGTGGAGCTGGCCATGCGGGCTAGGCCCCATGACATCATCAGCCACTGTCGCTATCAACTGTATAGTACATATGTACAAATAACCCTGTAGTAGTATATATACCCCAATAGATCCAGGAGACTCCTCAGCGAGTCCTCCTGTTGTATACCAACAAACTCTCTGCAGCTCAAGGGGTAACCACTCCCTCATCATCTTCCTTATAGTGTGTTCTGTGTGCGCCAGAGTAACTAACTCTTGGTTGTTACAGAGGGACCCTGGAACAGATGGTAAGTCGCTGTGTCCTCCTCCCATCAGGAAAAAGCCTTTTGCTATAGGGGTTTGTACATATGTGCAGATAAAGCCTATTATAGCATCTATAGCACTTATAGCACTATAAGAGCAACTATAGTACAATCAAAGTCCCTATAGTACTTTAAGAGCAACTATAGTATGATCATAGCGACCATAGTGTTATACAAGCAATAAGAGCAACAGGAGCAACAAAAGCAATAATAGTATTATATATGCAAAATTTAAAATGCTATATATGACTACCATAATGTTTGATATGCATATTTGCTACTAAAGGTATTAAGATAAAATTTGTGACAAACATCCAGAACATTACTATGAGTCCAATGATGAGGACATGTATCCTGCAAACCACCAAAAGCAGGGATAAATTGACAAACCTGTCTAATACTGGATAAAGATATGATTTGTCCTGGAGGAAAACCTTCAGTGTTTAGAGGTACCTTGTTAACAGTGTACATTAAGTGGTCCTTTTCAGCTGTGGATTTGAGGCTGCTATACCACTCTACATATGCCAAATGATGTTTTGGCCAATTATTGGGGGATGTGTGGAAACCGTATAGTGTTTCAGGTAGTTTAAATATTACTCTCAATCTCCCAATTCTTGTTCCTTGAATACAGTCATTAGTATTAGACATGCTTGTGGTCATAGGGTAAGGGAAACATTACCTTTTATGCCTGTAGCTTCACAATCAGGAGAACTCATCACAACCACTGTGTTAAACTGTGGCAATAGATTGTTTTTTCCACTGGCCCTGCTATTATAGCATATAAACGCAATAAATTGCATTTATATCTAAATCATGTTTTCCTGATGTTACCCAATGATAGTAAGTGTGACAACACCAACAAGGTACAATCTTTGGGCACTGGAGCATAACCTCAAAGGCTACAACTCAAAGGAATAATGGTGCAACCTATCAAATAAGTGAGGTTGTCATACTAATGTTGGTATACACTAGAAGAGGACTCACTGAGTCCTTCCCCATGTATTGCTCAGGTACTGTACAGTTGTAAATAAAGTTTAAAATCCAATGTCTAGCATCTGACCAGTCACATGGTGAGTCTAGACACTGGTTAGGTGATGTGTCACATGATTGGTCATGTGACTATGAAAAGTCCAAAAAGTAAAGTAAAGTAAATGATCACGTGATCAGTCACATGACTTGGAAAATGAAAAGTAAAGGTACAAAAAAGTAGAGTGTAAGTAGGTGCTGGTACAGTAAGGGTCATCAAATTCCTTTCCTTTGTGCTGAACCATTTCTTCCAGCCAAAAGTTTGAAAGCTCTTGTACCAAGTTAACCTGGCAACCTGTACATGTTTGCCAGCCAGTTGCTGAAGATGGCTGATACCAGCACCAGGGAAAAATCCCATTTAAAATTGCAGAAGAACTCAAGCAGATACTGTGAGTAATAGGGATTTTCCCCCCCTGCAAAGGTAAAGATCCAAACTTTCTGCACCTCCCCGACTCTTCCTGTGGCACCCGATGATATGGCCTGACACATTTTGTAACAACCAAGAGTTAGTTACTCTGGCGCACACAGAACACACTATAAGGAAGATGATAAGGGAGTGGTTACCCCTTGAGCTGCAGAGAGTTTGTTGGTATACAACAGGAGGACTCGCTGAGGAGTCTCCTGGATCTATTGGGGTATATATACTACTACAGGGTTATTTGTACATATGTACTATACAGTTGATAGCGACAGTGGCTGATGATGTCATGGGACCTAGCCCGCATGGCCAGCTCCACTGTGTGAGAGAGTTGTATCTATAATAAGAAGAAAGGCAACGCGGCGCGAGAAAGAGGAGTTTGAACTAAAAGGGGAAGTGCCACATGGCACAGTGTGAAAACTACAGTACAAGGTTAAAGCGGAGAATGAAAATCAAAGGAAAGGTCCGAAAATGAAAAGTAAGGTAAATGGTCACATGATTGGTCATGTGACTTGGAAAATAAAAGTAGAAGTACAAAAGTGAAGCGTAAGTAGGTGCTGGTATGTCTATTGTAACACATTTTCCGCCACAATACGCCATTCCATATGAATGAATAGAATGGCATTAGCCAATGTGAGGTCCTGTTTGGGATGCTGGGCTTTTTTGGTGGGTTCTGACAATTCTGATATGGTCTCAGTGTACGCATCACTGTCTGTCTTGCTATGTACATCACCACATTCTTCCACATGGCGTTACAATTTCTACTTCACTTCTACTTCTTTCATGGACTAGTTATTTTCCTTTACTCATCGGTTATACCATTGAACCGATGACTCATATTCCTTCACGAAGCTTCTAATATCTGTGCATTCATATTATGTTGTATAGTACTAGTCCTTCAATGGACAGGCCTACCCTAGATAGGACCTAACTCCTATCACCAACCCCCTTACCTATATATATAGCCATGTACACATAGTAGTATTTCCTCAATACAATTCTATGCAGTTTACGCTTATAAAGCTAGACTCTAAGAACCAGACTTCCCCTCAAAGAACTCTGCTCAGAACCGCTCTCAAACTTATCCTCGGATAAGCCTCAGATAACTCCTCAGACAAACATCAGACTTTGTTAAGCACTTTGTGCGTAACACCATCAGGAAAAATGGGGGTAGCTATATAGAGCTCTATAGCACTATAAGTACTCATAAAGCTGTTATAGTGGTCAAACCTGTTATAGAACCTCTGCCATCTATAGAGCCTCATATAACTCTATAAATGCTCTTATAGATGTTGGAAATTGTTGTGTGGCTGATTGAATAAAATTAACACAAACAGGATTTGAACTCTCAACCTGCTAGTCAGCTCTTGGGTGACTAAGCAATTTACAGCCACACATCACATTTATCCACTACACCATGAGAGCTTATAAAATGTATTATACAGGTGTTATATATTGACCTTTTATGGACTTAGATTATTTTTTTACTCATTGTCACTACTTATATTTGGATAAATCATTATTCTTATTTTGTGAGTATCAGGGATACAAACTACTATTTCACTAATACAGGCTACACAATTAATTAATACTGGATGATTTATTAGCCCTTTTAAGCACCTTGAACTATATTATAACTATGACCTTTACAGCTATAGGAGCTATGTAGGCTGCTATAGGCTATAAGAGCACTTATAGTGTCTTGCCTATAATAATATACTTGACTCCAAACACTTTTGGCCTCTTTCTATTATTGAACAAGTTTATTAGATTAATCCAGAGTTTGAGGGAATTATAGATACTTCTCCCCTTGGTCAAAATTTTGCCTACTACTGTGCTATAAGAGCTATAAAAGCTATAATTGCACTGATAGTACTATAGTTTCTATGAGTGCGTTTATATATATAGGTGGTGGCTATATAGCGCTATATAGCAAAAGGGTTTTTCCTGATGACATGGCTTTCGGCACCATGTATGATTGGTTTGACCAGAGGCACCCACCCACGTAGAGCCAATTTGCATGTTCTCATGCATGCTGGTGTCTATTAAAGGATCCTGTGCATTGTTGTATGCAAGAGTTATAGCATAGCCTCAAAAAAGAAGCATGGCTGCCTTTAGTAGGGCAGCAAATGTAGGTAGGTTATTCTGTTATTTTGCATTGGCGAAGTACTGAAACATATCTTTGCAACCAAAATAGGTCCTATTCAAGTCCTTGTTAGTGTACTCTAGTGTAAAGGTAACAAGTTCACACTCACTGCCAACAGGTTAAAAGGTGAGCATCCAAAGCCAATTCTAAGAACATGGAACCCTAACAAAAATCTACTTTTTTCAGATTGCTTGGTGTAGGGCTATTTATTTTGTATGCCAGGCAGCTTAACATCAAAGGGTTGCGGGAATAGTCCTTGCCCCAATGAGTACGGAACACTTGACTAAGGTCAGTCTATTTTGTGTGCCAGAGTTCCAGCATCAATACTATTGAATGTGTGGATTCTAGGTTCCCCGTATGCATGGAAAGATATTTTTTTGAGCCTGATCAGTTGATTGAAGGTTTTTCCATCCCCACCGGAAATAACTAAGTGGTCCCCCAGCGTAGTATCATCAAGATTAAGCTGGGTTTTGATCAAATTATGCACTGTCTTTTATTCCACTAACATGCATCTCATCTGCGCTATTTGTAGCCAGAGGTATGATGTTTGTTTTTTGAGTAGGTGAGATCTGATGTTTTTGGACTGTCGCCCACATATTCTGAATGTCTCATTGATATATCTCCAAAGCTGGAATAAAATCAATCAAAGCCTCGAGGAAATGAAGAGCCATGACTTTCTCCAAGTGGGGAAAATCAATATCTGCAAGTATTATATCAGTGGATAAGTGCTTTCTTTCTCCCAGCTTTTGTCTTCTAACAAGTTCTTCAATGTTTAGTGCTGAATGATCAAAGTCTTGCATCTCAACAGCTATACCAGCAAATCCTTTAACCATGTAACTTTCCCTCCCAATTCTAGGGTCCCGGATTCTTGAGTACACCTGTATATTGTTGCCAACAACCGAAAAGAAATGTCCTGACTCTGGACAAATTGCTTCTCTCAACATCCCATGCATAGCATGGGTCATTGTCCTAAGAGCCTCATAGGCTGTATTGTAGGCTATTGAACGGCCTAGGTGACTTTTAACACAGAAAATAGACCTGTGTGCTTTTGTGGAAAAGAGATAGAGACTTTGAGCCAACACAAGGATATTTGCTCAATTTGACCAGATGAAAGTGAGTGTTACAAGCACATCAATAGTTCCCTGTGATAACTCAACATTGCTTCACATTCATGTTTATATCCACTCACCAAGTGTGTTGTACAATATTTCCTGAAAACTCAAACAGTTCCTGACAACATGCCTTAGTGTTCATGTTTTTGCTGTATTGACACCGAAGGGGGGCACTTTGCATGCCACCATTATTTGAAAGCAGACCTCATTTACAAGATATGATTGATTGTCATCAATATATTGAATTAGGTCAGTTGGTGCCAATAACACAGATGGTCAACACTTTTTTTGCCAGAAGTCAAACCCAGCAACAACTCAGTCAATCTCTGCCATAACAAGCTCAGCAAACATGTAGACATTGGGTCTCAGGACTCAGTACTCAGTACTCAGGCCTGCATCTGCATAATGGGCTTCTTGAGGAGCTCTTCAATAGATAATCATCATGAGGCCATAGTAGACAGCTGTTTTACCTCCTTTGGTAGGCATTACTAACAGCTGTGAAATGCCTGTAGTGAATAGGACGCTCTATGCATAGAGATAATCCCACCTCAACTGTCGTAGGACGCATGTGAGAATTTTCCCTTGTGCGTGGGAAAGTCCTTCCTCTCCTGACGTCGGACTTTCCCATAAACTTGTACTTACTTGTTCTCCTGATGATCTTACACCTCAGTCTATTATTCAAAGACTGAGGGTGAGGATATTCTTATATACACATTAATAATACATGACACTGAAACTACTATAGTCTTTTAATTCTCATTCTAGTCTTATAACTTCATCAATGCCAGCAAGTGAATGACACCAGCTATTTATTTGAAGTGGGCAAGGCCCATTCCTCCATCGGGGCATCCAAGCATACATCATGCCTTTGACAATGGTTTGGCCTTCAAGTGACAAGCAACTGAACTGATTAGAGAAGGTGGTCGGATTATTAACATGAATGGTCATATATACAGAGGATATAGGAGTGTATGATTATGTCTACTTTTATTCCAAGTCCCTCACTTTGGTGAAAATGCCGTTCTGTGCCGACACAGACCCATGATGCCGCATCAAGCCGGGCATTCGAGCATTCGGAACACCGTCTATTGACACCGAATGTGAGGCTCGTGCTTGAAACCCAATCCCGCTTTAAGCGGCGCAATATTCATCTTGGCACGAATTCAACAGAAGCACTGGCAGCCTTCAAAAAAGATATCTGATGCGTACACGGGTCCCCAGAGACAGGTGCCAAATGTATTGATCCACTTTCCACAGATGCCAAGGTCACCGAGAGCTTTCCCAAAACATAAAAATCAGACCACGCCGGCAAGCGCTGTCCGACGTACTAGGACCTTACCAAGCAAGCGGAGCGTACAAACGCTTTCTCTCTTATCACAACACCACAGCACCACAGCATGCAAAGTGAAACTTGAACCTAATATCATTTTGTCGTAATAATATTAGCCATAATACACGGGGGATATACGAATCACCCTCATCCTCCAGAGCGACACCGATTTTGATGAAACAAACAAACAAAAAAATCCAGGAAATAACAATAAGTCTATTACAAGGGGGACGGAACGTGCCTGCGTGTAAGGAACGGAACGGACGCGAGTCCTCGCTCAATGATCTCCATTTCCCCATATGGCCGCACGCCACAGCGAGCTTTCCAGGTATATACACATACAGGTCTACACCTCATCGTAGCTCTGCATCTTCCGCGAACCCGATAAATCGTCGTTCGTGAATGGCGTTCCGTCCTCGTTCGTCTCCGTGAGCTTGGTGATGTGCACCTGAACGCGCTTCATTGAGTATTGTTGTTGATCCTGCAACATCTGGCTGTGGCTCGCACTCCGCCCGGTCGTGCTGTGCAGCCCACCGTGCCTTTTTGAAATGCCAACACGGATGATAACCATGTAGAAAGCGATGGAGATGATAGGCATAATCTACCGCCAATGAGTCAGCACATATGCATCAGGGATAACGGAGGCCCACAGCCAGGCGACATACCATATCAAGCAGAACATATTGTCCACGGTTGGCGGAAACGAAGCATACGAGTGCGCCTAAGAGAGTGACGGAATATAAAACACCCGCATCAATGATGATGAGCAGCAGCGGGCCCAACGACGACCGTCTCGAGCGGAGATTCGAAACGTTACGGTCAACGGACCAAATGCGGAAGGCCAGAAGAACTACAACGCAATACATATGTCAGCGCACACGTCGTAACATCAACCCCAATGCATATAATTAATTAAAATAGGATTTTAAAAAAATATACGTACTGGTGCCTATGAGATTCGTAGCGAGCGTGGAGGCGTAGTATGCTGTAATCCATTGGCCTGTTTCTTTAGAGAAAATGTTGTTGGAGTCGGTAGTCGCCTTTGAGAGCGTGTACACGCAGCCTATGCCGGTAGCTGTAACGTAAACGCATCATGAACAGAAGGAGTTAGAACGCCGTGTGAGCAAACGGAGAGCAGTGGCATCTCACTAGCGACGGAGCACCACATGATCATGGGGAATATGATGATGTATGCAGACTGCCAGACAACATAGCAGCGATAAATCTAGCAGGCAAATCCAAAGTTACGGAATCAGACAACAATTGAATTGAATATGACCAGGGGAGGATTGAGAGTGTACTTACAACGACACCGTCACCAAGGAGTGTTTGTAGGGTATAGATGACGTTCTTGTAGACGAAACTCCACTGAGCGACATCCGCGAAGAATCCGTTAGGTCCACCAGGGAAGGTATCGCGATACTGCACAAGACCTTCTTCCACACGTATAATGTCCATAATCATATGCTAAATTACACCGGTTCAAGAGTAATTCAGTCGTAAATTGTCAGCCGTAAATTCCTCCCCTGCGCATTTTTGTGGGACGTACGACTGTGCTGAGAACGAGCAAGGCACTGGCAATGGCCACCATCTTCATGTTTACGTCGTGTTTCTTGCGACCGTTGGTTAGAGACCAGATGGTGCCAACATACATAAGTACAGAGAATCCTGTTCACACCACCGTTCAGCGTCAGCTATCAAATAACCCACCGCAAAAAATCTGGTACTCGCCATAGAGAATACCCTCCAACACCGTTGATGCAATGGCCGCCGTGTCCAACGGGATCCCAGATGCGGTTGACATGCTCGCTGCAAGCTACGTACTATGCTAAGACGGCGGTAAAAGCAAAGAATAAGAGAATGAAACGAGTGGAACAGAGGTGAGACCGAAAAAGAGAACCGTTCCGGAAAATGCACCACATTCTTATATGACACAGCATTCAATGTCCAAACTCGCACGTCGTTGGCTGGTTATCCACATAGTATTGCAGATCAATTTATTTGCCCCTTCTCGTCTGGTCTTCTGTCTGATTGGCTTTGATGCCTCTTTGATGGTGCTTTGTCAAAAGAGGCCGGATTCGCCTATTGTTTGGAGTGCGGAAATCACAGCAAGAGACTACAGGGATCTGGGATCTGGGGCACGCGTATCGCTGATTGAGATTTGCGACAAAGATGAATTAATAGCTGTTTGATAACTTAGTTCTAGACTAGCTCGCCAATAGAGCTTCCTTGCTTGCTCCCGAGCGATACCGCAAGATACCGCACGTACGTTTGTGTGGGGGCATGCTACGGTTACGTCGACTAAGTCTTCGATTGAGACCAAAATTAAGAGGGATAACGTAGCTTTGATAAGGCCCAGTGTGGTCAGCGGGCTGGCCCGGGACATCTGGAAAAATAGTGAGATGTCTTTGATTCTACGCGCTTGCAGAACAGGTGACTACTGGACTACGAGCTGCTTTCGATTGCAACCGTTCCGTTGTCAGCCGCGCGGTTCTAGGCAGAGAAACCGCTGATGGCCAGGTTCAAGTGTTTAGGCAGCTCGCTCTTCGCCGATGTGTACGTGTGTAAAGTCACTAACAGTGATGCGATCATGGTGGGCTATAGAATGAAAGAAATGTGATGTTATGGCATGGTGAAACTGTATGAGGGTGTTCTGGCAGTGTCAAGGTCTGGTGGACGATTGCATGGTGTCACAGTCGGACGGCATTCTCCGGAGTGACCCCGTGGAAATCCCAGAAACTTGTGATATATCACTCGTCTCAGGCTTAAGCGACTGGACACCCTTCAAGTGAAGATACTCTCGTCGCTCTGTCGCAACCATCAGATCTTCGTTCACTGTAACTTGAATACCAGGTCTTCTATACAGATAATAGCCTGATTTGTATCATGCGTTTGATGGACTGATACGCAACTCAAAAATAGCTCTCCCTTGCAGCTTCTTTTTCTGTATGCTGCAGCCTCTTCCAGCGTAAATCGTCTCAGATCAACGTCTCCATCGCTTCTGGGGGGGAGAGCCAAGAACCTTGGGACACTATGGGAACAGGGTGCCATTGCCAATATTTTACCTCAACTTTCAAATCGGCATGACGCGCTTATCGCACCCATCATTGATGTTGTCGAGTTCCTGATGGAAACATACCACACGAATAACATCGGAGTCCTGTCATATCTTTCAGCGACTTTTAAATCCGTTCCAGAATAAGTATAGGTCTTTTCATCTCTCGTACGTTCCTCTTATAAGGCACTGCGGTCTTTTCAAACGTTTATCGCTGTTACTCACATTTCTCCCACCCTCCCACTTCTTTCTATCCCACCATGGCTCTCAAATTCCACTCCGTAGAGGAGATCACCAAGGTATGTCTGATTTTTGCCATCTTATCATACTTGCAGTTTTCTGTCCCAGCTCTAATTTGCGAGACACGTTGTGCTCAATACTTATCTTCTATTAGATTCACACCAGGTTGACGGAGACCTTCCAATCAGGAGTCACTGTCCCGCTTGCCTACCGTCGTAAACAATTATTGCAGCTTGCCCGCCTCGTCCAGGAAAATGCTGAGGCTATCATGGGATCCCTGAAAGCCGATTTGGGACGGCACAGACTGGAGGCCGCCTTGCCAGAAGTCGGTCCTATGGTCGCTGGTGCTCTTCTCTCTGCCCAAAAACTCGAGGAATGGACGAAACCTGAGAAACCCGAGGTCGAGGAATGGCGTAGCTCTTGGGATACGACCATCTACAAAGCTCCCAAGGGAGTTGTCGTTAACATCACGTATGTCTTAGTTTCCGATAGGAATGGATCTAACACTGATCTTATTCCTTCTATTTTATTTTATTTCGTGAAGCCCCTGGAATTACCCCTGGGTCATTTCGATATTGCCCCTCGCTGGTGCCATCGCCGCCGGCTGCACATGCGTGATCAAACCATCAGAGCATTCTCCCAACGTCTCCCAATTAATGGCTGACCTCGTTGCTCGCTACCTCGACCCAAACGCCTATGCCGTCATCTTGGGTGCTATTCCCGAGACAACCCACATCCTCTCCCTCAAATGGGACCACATCTTCTACACCGGTAGCACGTCTGTCGGTCGTGTTGTGGCCGCCGCTGCTGCCAAGAACATCACCCCTGTCACGCTTGAGCTTGGTGGAAAATCACCTGTCGTTGTCGATGGTGACAACACGGACCTCGAAATTGCCGCAAAGCGAATTTTGTGGGGTAAGCAGCAGAATGCTGGTCAGGTAAGTTCTCGTGGCTTCTCCAGGCTGATTGGCTCTGACGTCTTTCATCGAAAAGATTTGCGTTGCTCCCGATCACATTTATGTTGCGCGTAAGCACCAGGATGCTCTCGTTGCAGCATTCAAGAAAGTCTACGCAGACTTCTGGCCCCACTCTAAGGGTGCTCTCGACTCCGCCTCTGAGATCAGTCACATGGTGAACGACAGCCACTACAAGCGTATCCAAGGGCTTCTCAGCAACACCAAGGGCAGCATCGCCGTCGGTGGTGGATCGACAGGAGAAATTTTGAGAATCGAGCCTACCATCGTGAAGGATGTAGGTCTCCAGGACCCCCTGATGGGAGAGTGAGCATGCAGTTTTATTAGTTTCGCGAATCCGTCACTGAAAGGGAGCACGTTTGCTAGGGAGATCTTCGGTCCCGTTCTTCCTATTGTCCCTGTTGAGGATATCGAGGAGGCTATTACTCTTATCCAACGAGGGTGAGCTTTTGAAATACTGGTCGAGCGTTTCTAACACGGATGATAGCCCTACTCCTTTGGTACTTTACGTCTTCACCGACAGCGAGGTCACCAAGCACAAGTGTAAGATATTGCTTTATGTTCTCCGTTCTGTTCCTTACTGATAACCCCCCGCAGTCGTCCACAGGACCCAGAGCGGTCAACTCATTCTCAACGACACTTTCGCTCAACTCGGTGTTTATGAAATACCATTCGGTGGACAGGGTGACTCGGGCTGTAAGTGTTTACACATCGTTTCCCTAAAATTCATTTCTTGACTTACATCACTTTGCAGACGGCTCTTACCTCGGGAAGCATTCCTTCGACGCTTTCACCCAACGCCGAGGATTTATCAACGTTCCTCTTGCGTAAGACCTTTTCCACATCATCCCGAAGCTACAGCTGACATTCTCCTCCCTGCAGGGCTGAGCCTTACATGGCTTTCCGATACCCACCTTATACGGAGGAGGCGTTCCAAGCGCTTACTCTGCAGGCTCAAATGAAGATCCCAGAGGCCTAAAATCTAAGCGCACTCTTCCCCACTGCCGACGGTTCAGTGATACCCTCTATGATGTGACGAAATAGGAAATATTAAGGAATGGGTTGTTTGTATATGGTGCCAGAAGTAAAATATCATACTGTGTTTGTTTGTACCAGAATATGCGTTAAACGATTGGATGAAAATGCGCCAGCTTGATTTGATTATCGCGTTTAGCTGATGCGATTCAGGTTTGCTGTTGATATTCCTGTGGACTCGAGTTCGGAGGCGAAATAGTAGGCGGCCATCCAACTTACACCAACTTAACGCGCAAAAACTGCTGTCTTCAAGAGCTTTTTCGCTCGGCTATTAATATAATGTCTGATGGGCAGTCAAAGTAGATGACCTTCAAGTTGAAGCTCATTGACTTTGACTGCTCATTGTTACGAAATATTATGTCACAAACACCAACCGAGCCTCGTTCACGTATTTCATTAAGTCCTCGTGTTCATAATGACAACACTTCTAGCGTTCGGTCCCCACACGATCGAGCCTTACTCGGAGACGCAACAAAAGTTTGATGACGATCCAGGGATGAGCCAAAACCTGCATGATGCAATCCCGAATAAACTGGCAGACGAGCCTCGAGGTTGAAGGCGAGATTTTACAACCGCATCAACAGATGGCCCTGTAACAGAGAAAAGTAGTCGAGACAAAAATGGATTATGCAACCCAGCCGTAAACAAGTACAGAGTCGCTTCTATACATCGACTTCTTACCAGTATACTGTGATCACACTCACATCAGATACTGTCATTGTCTTTCCCCCCTCTGTCTTCTACGCCAATCAGTTCTTTTTGGCATTGATGATGTCGACGAACTCAGGCTTCAGCGATGCTCCCCCAACGAGGAAACCATCCACGTCAGGCTGGGTAGCTGCAGGTATGTTGTCAGCACACCTCCATCTCAGTCCTACAATTTCAGACGATACGCACAAAGTTCTTTGCAGTTGGCAGCTGTCACACTTCCACCGTAGATGATCCTAGTGCTCTCTGCCACGGCAGGCGATACAGCCTTGGCGAGGTACGAACGAATATCGGCGTGTGCTTCCTGGGCTTGAGCAGACGTAGCCACTTTGCCAGTTCCGATGGCCCAGACGGGTTCGTAAGCCACCACGATTTGGCTAAAGACGAGACGTGATCAGGACTCCAGCGTGCTCAAAGATTTTTTCAAAAGCTTTACCTGTAGTCCGACTCCTTGAGGAGGTCGACGGCGGCTTGGAGCTGTTTCTGAACCACGATGGCGGTCTCGCCAGCTTCGCGCTCCTGGAGAGTTTCGCCGACGCAAAGGATTATTTTGAGGGATGCGTCAATGGCCGCACGCGTCTTTTGCGCGACCAGCTCTGAGGTCTCGTGGAACAATGTGCGACGCTCAGAGTGACCTGAAAACGGACATTAGTTTATTGAGATAAGATGGGGAGAAATTGTAGACACCGAGAATAACATAGGGTATGCCTGCATCGACGAGTTGCACCGGGCTGCCGGATTGAAAGACAAGTAAGTATACTGCTGCTAGTTCGCGATCAACCGTAGAAACTCACCTGATCTCTCCAGTGAATGCTCCTGAGTTCTTGACGTAGCAGTTTTGTGCGGCTACTTGAATGTCCTTCCTGACGATCTCCTTGAGAGGAATGAGGTACAACGATGGGGGTGCGATGACAACCTCTAAATGCGAATGAAGAGAAAAGGAAAATCAGATACTCCAAAATACCTGTCACTAAGAATACCGAACAATCTCACCGGTTGAACCGTCTATGTTAGCCTCGTTGAGCACTTTCACGAGAGCCTGCTTTTGCTCCCGCGAGCCCGGGTTCATCTTGAAGTTTCCACCAACGAAGAACTGACGAGGCATCTTGATCTATGATAATAAAGGAGATGGACGTATAGCTAGAAGTGGGGAGTGGTGTTAGAAAGGACAAAGAGATCTGGCAGCGCTGGAGTATCTTAACATCGATTACTTACATTTCTTTGAAATATCAGTGATATCACGTTATCTTACTTTTCACTATCGCCCTTCGGATCCAATAACCGATAATCAACAACTCCGAGTGTCCGACCGTGTCTCGTGGACAGAGCTCAAGCAGAACACCTGACGCCTAGCTATGCGCGACGAAATAAGTATCTCAGGGACTTGCAGTACTCATGAAGCTGGAGATGCTATGTGAATTCAGTATGGAACCAGCAAGTCAAAAGAAAGATAATCGTGACAGCTCTAACATACAACTTCACTACCTTTACATATACTACAAAATCCCCTTCACACTAATATATTTTTTTATACTGGTGCAGGAGCTGTCCTGAGGTAAGATTGCTAAAATACTTTTGAGTCATAATTCACTTAGTCAAGAAATAAATTCACCTTGTGGAACGTAACCTCAGGGAACAACACCTTAGCTTCATCGTTGCTTACTGATGGGTGGACGATAACATCTTCACCCTGCTTCCAGTTGACGGGAGTAGTGACTTTGTACTTGTCACCGAGTTGCAGAGCTATTTAAACTGTTAGTTTCACACTCTTTTTATACGGTATATAGGTCTCACAGTCAATGACACTGAAGAAAAAGAAATCAATAAATGAATCAATATACAAAGAATGAGCTACCCACCGTAAAATCTCGTCGAAGTTCCTGCCAGTGGCAGCAGGGTAAGCGATTGTTAGGCGTATGACTTTTTTGGGATCTATGACGAAGACAGTTCGAATCTAGGATTTGTATGAGTAGTTGCCTTGCTAGTTTAGTTAAGAAACATACGGTGAAGGGCAACCCCTTTGCGTCACGGTTAGTAGCATCTTGCTCATCCAACATGTCGTAAAGAGTGGAAATCTTTCGGTCCTCATCTGCAATCTACATATCTGTAAGTTAGTCTCAACCGATAACGAGTCTGAGGAACAAATACATACAATAGGGAATTTGACGTTGGTGGGGCCGACCTTGGCACCGAATTCATTGATGTCTTGAACCCATTTGTGATGGTCCTGAAGGCCGTTGGCAGAGATACCGATGACCTTCACGTTGCGTTTGGCAAAGTCGTCTGCGCGACGAGCAACTTCCCCTAGCTCAGTGGTGCAGACTGGCGTGAAATCACCGGGATGGGAGAATAAGATAGCCTAAGCAAAGTCGTTAGACCACACGGCGATATCGTATATGATGTCGAAAACATACCCAAGAGTCACCGATCCAGTCATGGAACTTGATAGGACCTTCAGTGGTCTCAGCGTCGAAGTTTGGTGCAATGCTACCGAGACGAAGGGAAGACATGGTGGAAGTATAGGTGGGGGTGGTAAATGAGATGTATGGGAATAAGGCGAGAAGATAACCCGAACTGTATGTCTTCGAAATGCTATCATCCTTTTATAATCCAATGGCTTGACATTATCGAGAAATCATCATCGAAGAATCATTGCGCCTTTAGTTCCCACGCTGACTGAATATTAGGGGTTATCGTAAGAGCTTGGGGCCACATAATTATTTGGCGGGTGCTGAATGAATGAATAAGCTCGTGGATGTATCCTGTGGTCATTACCACACCACAACCTCTGTCGTGTGTTGAAGAATAAAACTACGACAGCGATGGCGAGATTTTGAGGTTAGTGTTGGAGTAAAAGAGAAGAAGGTTGCGCTGACATAAGCTGCGGTTCTGTCATGTGATCAATTCAGTAATACTAAATAACGACATTTGAACGCGATCACTCTGATTGCAACTTTTGATTCCAGCACCGTCAATCACGATAACCATTCGAATAGGCGCCTTCTGTGAATTTACCATCTATACATATATACATATACGACTTTTAGCCAGCTGCAGCGCAAGCTTAAGAAGGAGAGCTATGGAACATTAGTACTGCTGGGGACTCGAAGCATTGTCGAAGAATCAATATCAAAGCCTCGGGGAAGCCATATAATCTCAATCTCTCATGATTTAATCTTCCTTGGGTAAGGAAGCCAATCATTACTGGTCATTAGGTCTTCAGGTACTTTCGGTTTGACGATAGTTATATTAGTCCTGTAATCCGTCCGGCAAAAAACGCGAGGTGTCAATACTTTACGCTGATTGTGCTAAAGTCTCTCAGGCTTGACCTAAAAGGAGCAATATTAACACAACTTGCCACCTCCCAGGTAGGGTACCCACATCACTCATGCGATCCTGGACTTCTTATCTCATTTCCTCCGCAATAGCTAAAACGAATCCAGAGCGTATGTCACTTACTTGACACACTTGATACCTGTGGCGTATCATCTTACCTCCGTATGCTCTCGAAACGCCAGTTTTCGGAGTTGGTCCGTTGCACCCTGCTTGTCTGGTATTATACACGAAAGGATTAGGACTTGGGAAATAGGCTGTCCTACCTTGACATATCACATCTACAAAGCAATACAGGAAGCAATGTCGCTTTCTTCAGCAGGGAAATCAAGGGTTGAACACTTCATGTATATGTGGTGCGTAGATATATCTTTCTGCTTGACTTGGGATAGGTAATGATCTAAACCTGTTGTTTGTTCGGAAAGAAGCAGAATTTGCTTCGAATTGCCATCCCCGTATCTCCAGTTAGCGGCTCCTCTTAGTCGCGTGCCACTGAAAAGATAGTGAAGCAAGGCATCCGAACAAAATATATGTTCACCCGACTCCAAGTATAATGTTCCCAAACGTAATGATGCATTAGGACGTTGGAGAGAGCTTTATCAGTGCTTCAGCTATACGGCTGAAAAGTTAACCCTGCCAATTAGCTCGAGAGCGTGAGTTTTGGGAGGCATTGTCATAATCATGACAGTCAGAACGAAGTTCAGATGAGGGATACCAGTGAGTCCGGTGGGTTTGTTGAGGTACGTACAATCAGCGTACAGTTACGATCAAGTTACATAACCAACACCAACTGATAACGATACAATGGTGCGACACTCACAGTTTTTGCCTCCGTGATCATACGAGAGACTCAAAGCCGTTTCTCTACGATCATGTTACCTAGAGCTCTCGGTAGCGCTCGTAATACTTGCATTTGCTTTCAATATTGGGGCCAATGGCGCGGTCTTACAAGCGCCCGCCGTTGCGGGCACAATCATTTTGCGACTTCGAGTTTCGTATCAAGTTAACACTTGATACTCCGTGGCACACACAACGAGGCTTCCGCGAAGTACGTTGCTTATGTTAAATACCTATTTTCATCCCTTGAAACTGACTTTTGGGAGTCCTTGCTAGCAATATATCTCTCCCACGTTGGTCATTCGTTAGCTACCAATAGTCCGAACCCGAAAACAGCGAACTTAGGTCTCACGAGCCGAGGATGTAACTCACTATCCTATTATTCTCGCTCGAACTTTATCATTGTCTTTACTTGCCTCCTGCAACGCACTCGAGTCGTCAACGGCGCCCGGCACCGCAACATTCCTGCACCGCCCTTTGCCATCAAGGTCGTTCTCCGGACTTGGATCACATCCCCATACGAATTGTCTCCAACAGGACACGTGTCGTAACCTGTAAAACGCAATGTCCGATGTCCAAATGCCTCCTGGCTTTACATGCATCGAAATACCAAGCTGCCATCTTATGAGCATGCCGATGCTCATGTGTGCCAATTTTACAGTCACCACCCATCACAACGCTGTAATCTAGTATAGTTTGCAATCCCATGCTTTGATTGCTCTTCAGCTAGACTTGATGTTCTGGCTGTAGGTATCGGCTTGCTCTCGCCGTGAACGGAACGTGCATCTGAGCACACCGGCGATCCAAAATTTCCTACATCTTACACAGGTAAGATTACATATAGTATCTATATCTTTCGTCTTAAAGGGCAGTTCAGCTCAACGGCTTCTCTTACTGATTTTTCTCCATTCTTTCAGTTTGGGCAACATCCCCTAGCGATATCACGAATGATGTCTTTTTTCAAACGTCTTGTGCTTTTGACTTCCATGACCATGTTTACTGGCGCGGCTACAGCATATTTTGGCAATGGTAGATCTTCTCCACGTTGTTCCCAATAACAGTCTGATCATGTGTGTTTTCGTCATCGCAGCCACTTTCTATGATACTGGTCTCGGTGCTTGTGGTGTTCAGAGCAAGGACTCTGACTTCATAGTCGCCCTCTCCTCTGAATTGTATGATAATGGAGCTCATTGCTGGAAGCACCTCACCGTCACCTGTCAGTGAATCATTTTCTTATCCAGTAAACTGACTGACATTTCATCGAACACAGATGAAGGGAAATCGATAGATGTGACAGTCGTCGACCGATGTGCTGGATGTAACAAGTACAGCATTGATCTCTCCCCAAGTGCCTTCTCTGCGTTGGCTCCAAAGTCGGTCGGGCGTATGGTTGTTGATTGGAGTTACGCTTAGTTAAAACTGCAACCATCTTTGTTGTACGGATATACCTGCATAGGAATATAGAAGTATAGTAGTATTAATAATAGCTTAATGTATCGCAATATGATGGGTATTTTGTGTGGTTAAAGAGCTATTACCGTTTTCTCCCTGAAAGACCTGTTGGTAGTCTTTCATTACTGCAGTTGCTATATGTGGCTGGTCTACACCTGCGGGCCTCGAATTTTGAAATGAAGACAACTTTGAATCGTTTTCTTCTTTAAGTTACAGTCAACTGCTTCGCTGGAATTAAGGCGTTGGTCATATCGTGGTATCTTGCTTACACTACGAGCAATTGCCAAAATAGCAAGTTGCAACAGTCTAACACCAGAGATGCAAATGGAAAACTTTCACCGGTGTGCTCCAAGATTGAACAAAGAATCAAAAGGTAAAAATATACATGTTTGGTCTTTATCTATTCTTCACTGCTAGTCTTTGTGGGATTGCATTTCCCTGTCGCACAAAGGGAAAGATAAGTGGCAGCTCTGGAACAGCCAAAATTATCTGCAACAGTCAAAGAATAGGCTTACTGTGATTATGATGTTACGGCCATATCCTGGAACGGGATGGTTTGGCTCATTCCATAAAGGAATAGTTATGCAATATTAGACCCATTGTTTACCTTTTCACTCCCAATTATGGTCTGGAGCATAGCCATAGTAGGCTTTCAGTCAGCGCTGTGCTTTTGGTATGTCGCACCGAGTGATTTCGGCGAATGCTCGTAGTGTTAGGATGCCCGGTACATGCCCGATCACTGCCTCCTTGATCATCCCGCCCAGGCCACCGGTATATCTTTGTTAGATCTACCTTCACGAGGTAAAACTTCCCATGTCGACACGATGCGATTTCGGCGGATACAAGCTTCTTTCCTCTGCAGAAAATCTACTACCTGGCCCGGGAAAACCGTAACTTGAACATGTACATAGGGTTACAACGAAGTTTTTCTGCCTGACACCAGAAGTCAATATACTGGTAAATTGAAATCATTATCTCTTTCGTAAGGGCATCATAACGATAGACGTACAGATTCGTGTCTGACACGCTGAAATGCCAGTGATGTTACAGTAATCAAGTTAAGTAATACCTACAACACTCGTTTCTGTTTCAACTTTTATGTTCCATATATCTCACTTTCTCTCTCAACCCGTACACGCCGTGAATTATGGCAAGCATCTACCTCAATGGCGCTCCACTAGTTGAGGTGAAAGTGCTGCATCCGTTCCCTCCCTTTTTTGTCACACTACCTAGCGTCAAATCCGGATATGGCGTAAATATATTAATTTGGAAACATCAAACTTATGGTAAAATTTCATCCTCCAAGATGATCAGGCGGTCTGTGGCACCAAACGGCTTTCATAAACATCATTTTCTACCAACTGCTTTTTGCGCCACTTTCTCGAGTGCCTCCTGAGTGTCTCTGGACGGATTGCTGAATATGTGTAACTCTTTTCGCGCGGACCCCCGACGCCGGGACCATATGATTATGTCTCCTGCTAAGCAGACATCAAGCCACTAACCTATCCTTATTTCATCGCCCACTTTAGTAAGTTTCACTGTAACGGTGCAAGGAAGCACAGGAAAGGTAAAGGCGGCTGCTTGCCCCTGTTGTAATCCCGTGCTTCAGGTATGTGCCAGCTTCATTATTCACAGTGCTTGCTAATGACTTAGGGAGGACCATGGCCGAGCCAGCGTTTCTACACTATGCCGAATAGTATAAAAAACCTATTGTAAGTTCAGCATTTCAGCATCCAAATATTCGTTTCTCCCAGTTTTAAGCCTCCATCCTCTATATCTAACGATGTCTTCCTTCAAACGTGTTATACTTGCATCGTCCATCGCGATACTGACCAGCATGGTCTCTGCCTACTCTGGAGATGGCATGACTCCCTTCTCGAATTGGTGACGATGCTTAGCTGATCGTTACAATTTTTGCTTCAGCTACATAGTACTATACCGGACTCGGTGCTTGCGGTGCTGAGAGCAAAGACACCGACTATATTGTCGCCCTCTCCACTGAGCTCTACGATGACGGAGCTCACTGCTGGCAGCATCTCACCGTTACCTGTCAGTGAAATTTCCTTCAATAGTCCTTATATGTATCATTAAACGGCTACACTTTTCATATATACAGATGAGGGTAAATCGATCGACGTCACTGTCGTAGATGAATGCATTGACTTGTCCCCCAGCGCCTTCTCTGCGTTGGCTCCGGAGTCGGCTGGGCGTATCCCTGTCCAGTGGACCTATGCTTGATTGAGGATGTAATTTTCATTAGCTAAAGGAGCTATAATATCGTAGCGCAGTAATGGGATAATGGTGCTTTACTAGAGTGGCAGTGCGATACATTTTGTTTTCTTGTTCGGAAGTTCCTATTACGGGATAGCAAGTAATTTTGAATAGTGCCAGTTCTCCGTGCTCGGTATTGTTGCTTCACTACGACTGCCTTATCTGGCCCAAATACCTTTATATGTCAAGATGAAGTGTGCACGTGCTTGACCAAACGCTCTTTGTTTGGTTCAGAGGCTGTAGCCAAACAATAGGTTTCCGAGATTGGACTCCGACGCCAGCACATTCCGATAACTAGGCTTTTGTTGTAACTCTTCATCTAAACTTTTTTATGCTTCTCATAGTTCGGTTTGAAGGAATCAATGTAGCTCTATGTGTAAGTTCTCTACCTATAATGATAGTTCTCTTCATTGATCCATAATGATTCATACAATACAACAGTGCACAAATGCAAGGATCAAGTCCGAGGCCCGAGATTTAAACTTAAAAGAGCCGCATCAAACACGCCTCGAAATTAGATGTGCTCATGCAAGGAGCGCCATGGATCGCTTCAAACAAAGTTAGCCCAGGACGGTACCGGTCCAGGGGGTAAATTATGCACTCCGAACTTCGGTAATTATCTCAATATTACGGCCACTACTTGAAGGGTTGATCAATCTCGATTTCCCGCTCATGGATCTGTCATGTAAATGCATGTTCGGCGTCTCACCTAGGCTCGGGGGTCACACTGGTGCAATGATTGGTTCCATGCCTCAAAAGTGGCATAGCTTTCACTCGAGTGGTTACCTGGAGTCGTCTTGGATCGTGCGACTTCTATCTCTGGTACAGAAAAGTTTTCTCTATGGCGTCATATGCTGTCAAAGGCTTGAATATCTGAAGTGGTCTCTCCAAACACGTTATATCATGATCGTTTCACTTCCACTCTTCATTCTTTAACTACTCAGAGAGATGCTCACTACATCAAACTATCTCTGTTTCGGTGGCTATGGCTGTGGATTTTGGCACCGAGCACACTGTGGTCAATGCCTTCGTTGGACTCCACAAATCCGTTGGGTATGTTGCAACTCCATAATTGGTTTCTGCCGCTATAAAACACATGTAGTATAACGTTAGTCTCGGGTTTGTTTCAACCTAGTAAGTTCATCATGGCTTGCATGTGCATCCGATAATTGGCCCGCACACAACGCCGATTATGTTAGGCACCCATTAGAAGGCTTTTACCTCTCATCTTTCTCTTTTTATGCTCTGTGTCTGTTCTTTCCGCTCATCCGGTCTTTCCGATCCAGTCGCAGATTTGGAACTTATACTTACCGCCCAATATGGAATGCAGCAGAGTAGTATAAGGCAATATCCATTGTCCAATATGATTTACTCATCGTTGGCACCCGAGAACTCCATGTTTTTGTTCACCCATCATTTTAAATTTTTAATATTGACCACTTTACTAGGTACCTTTTTAGTGTCCTAGGACTTCAAACAGCTCTAACGGCCAAAATTATCTTTGATGTTCTTACGCTGGACATCGTGTCTACAAGGATCCGCATGAAGAGGTCTTTTGCCAATAAATATCAAGCCACCAACCGTTCCTCCTCTCATAGCCCGCTTTAACAAGTTTCATGATAGGAAACATACACAGGAAAAAGTAAGTCAGGGTATCCATTCTTGTCGTAGTTTCGTGCTTTAGCCGTCACAGCTAGCCTTCTAATAATAAGGATAGAATTGTTTCGAGTTACTAACCCTTCCCTTTGTCGAATCGTATAAAATGCCCCTCGTAGGTTCAACATCTTAGTATCCAAATATTCTCTTCTCTCATCTCCGCTGCTCTTCTTCGCACTCTATCTAACAAACAATGTCTTTCATCAAACGTGTTTTACTTGCATCGTCTATCACGATGTTGACCAGTATGGTCGCTGCATATTCCGGCGATGGTATGAATTATTCTAAATCACCCAGGACGCAAAATTAACTATCATATTTTTCTCTTAGCTACTTATTACTACACTGGTCTTGGTGCTTGCGGTGCTGAAAGCAAGGATACCGACTACATTGTCGCCCTTTCCACTGAGCTCTACGACAATGGAGCTCACTGCTGGCAACATCTCACCGTTACCTGTCAGTCAAATTTCGTTTATTAGTCGTTGTATAGGTCATTAAACGGACACTATTCATATACAGACGAGGGTAAATCAATCGACGTCACTGTCGTAGATGAGTGCGAGGGATGTTCAACATACGACATTGACTTGTCTCCCAGTGCATTCTCTGCGCTGGCTCCAGAGTCGGCTGGGCGTATCCCTGTCCAGTGGACCTATGCTTAAGTGAGGCTGCATGCTAGTATATGGGTTATAGTGTCGCATTAGTGGAATAATGGTACTTTAATAGAATAACAATGTGATCAATCGTTTTGGTGGTTATATGGGTTGCGTGAGCTATTAAGATCGAGAAGTGGCATCAGTCTTTAACTACAGTTCCCCCAGTACAAAGCTTAATAATTTCATATGCTAAGATGAAGTACGCATGTGCCTGATCGATGAGATCTTGTTTGGTCCAGAGGCTGTAGCCAAACAACATAGTAGCGGCTCCTCCGCTTCCGAGTCTGCCAGCACATTACCGTGACAGTCAGTGCCTACTCTTCCTCGTTAGTTAGCTCACATCTGAACCGCTAGGCCTTATTTTATTCAACTTGGACACGGCCTGGAAATACGCGACTTAGGTCAGGTGCAAAGTTGGCTTTTATTCTATAAGCCCTTTGTGCAGCGCGCATAGACTCGGAAATGCCATCACCAGATGCACACCTTGCTGTGCACTTATAGTGGCACCATATTACGTGTTTTTATTTATTTTTATTTAAAAAGCTAGCTATCAATCAAATCGATAGTACGAGCCTGTCGTCTTTGTGAGGTTGTCCTTTTGATGGGTACCAACCTTACTCCTAAAGAGACGATACTACAGGAAAGACCAACCCGCTTCTCACACGCATGTAACCACAGCATCGCAGCAATGGAGGCACGGGGTATACTTCTCATGGCTGCACCGCAATCTCTCCTTCTCGGGTCGATCTCTAGACTGGTATATCCCAAGCTTGCCCTATAAGCACACGTCTTCTGAAACTGAGCACTGTTACAATCTTTTGGACTATGCTGAAAGGTAAACCTTTCTTTTCTGCCTCGCTACTAAATTCAGTGGATCAGGCCTTCTCTTACGACCTGCATGTCACTATTGGAGTGATATACTTCATCCTGGCCTGTTTTTGTGTATAGACTCTCTTATAGTTTCGCCACGAACTATATCCCATTCTCGCAACCGCAGTATCCGGCCGTTGATAACGTTACAAGAAAGTCTTGTTTCTATATCAAGCTACCTTCACCTCGGGCGTTACAAATTGTATTTCGAAGTGCCGTGGTCGATGTTTCGTCTGACCTTCACAGCTGAACTAGCATCACTAATTCTATTTTGTGCTCGTCTCATTGAAGTTATCATCGCTTAGTATACAACATATCATCACCTGTGTTTCAAGCTCGCATGTCTGTCGCGGCCAGCATATGTACGTTTGAGAGTTTGGCCCGCATACCGCGTTGATTATGTTAGGTGCGTACTACAATAGCCCAACCTTTGTTTCCAAACATCCGTATCTTTTCAACCTTATTCGACTCTTATTTGATCGGTTCCGAAGCAGTCGCTGATTAAGCAAGCTATTTGCACAGCAATTAGGACACAGTGAAGTATTCCATGCATAAGTATGATGGTCTTCCGCCTCCTCCAGTGCACGATCAGGTGATCAACGGCGCTGACGGTAACTACGCTATATTTCGCGCTCAGCAATCCGGGCCTCTATCGCAAACACGAGTCTTGCTTGTCCCAATCAGAAGATGCTGAAGTTGAAGCCGCGGAGACGTGCCGTTATAGTTTTCTCGTGATACTCTGATGCCCCAAACCCACTAAGCTGCTCTCGCACTCACCTCATCCTTTCTGTTCTCATGGCCCACTTGTACGAGTTTCAAAACTATCAAGCCGATGCCCGAATACAACAGTCAGCTGCCAATGTCGTCGCAGCTTGAGCATATCCTCCGGTCAACCCGCCAGAAGGCCATGCTAATAGCATGAGCAAAATTACTCCTTGTCAGTGTTTCTCTCCTCCTGGTGAATTGTTTAAAAGGCCCTTTGTAACCTCATCACTTTATTCTATCCCTTCAACTTACCTTCAACACTACCGCTAATAATGTCTTTTATCCTCAAACGCCTTATGCTCGTGTTGTCTATCGCGATGCTAACAAACATGATTGCCGCTTATTCTGGTGATGGTACGTCTTTCTACACGTTGCTCATGGTTTTCGAATCTCATGATTGTCCTTTCAGCTACTTACTACGAGACTGGCCTTGGTGCTTGTGGTACTGTAAGCAAGGACACCGACCATATTGTCGCTCTCTCCACCAGTGAATATGACAAAGGAGCTCACTGCTGGAAGCATCTCACTGTTACCTGTAAGTACGCGTGTTTTCTATATTTTTCCTTATCCAGCTCATGGGGCGGTCGTATTCTTTATTGAAAACAGACCAGGGTAAGTCCGTTGACGTCACAGTAGTCGACGAGTGTCCTGGATGTGGGGAGTACGGTATCGACTTGTCCCCTAGTGCTTTCTCTGCACTTGCTCCGGAGTCTGCTGGACGGATTCCCGTTGAATGGAAATTCACCTAAAAGAGGATACAGCTTGTCATTCATAAAATTCACTTATTGTCTGACTCTATCATAACACTATCGTACCGTCGAGTTTGATATGCTTTTCATGCTTCTTGTATACGCTACTCTTTGGTTATAGTCCTCGTCACGTCATATAATACAACTGCTTTAATCTTACAGGAAAATACATCAAGCATAACAGCAATGAACTAAATATTGTCATGAAGTGGTGATATAGGCCCTATAACGCTTTGCTTACACCTTCCACCTGTACGTTCCATCCTTTTTGAGGGAATCCAGGAGTTGAACCATTGTTGCCATCCCACCCTGCAGCCATCATAGCAATAGCATAAAGTAAACCTCCGGAGCCCGGGAAATAAGGGGTAGGCACTCTGACACCTCCGATCGGCATCCCGACATCATCAAATTGAAACAAGGGATGGAGAAGCCATTCAATAGCCTTTTCGGTGTCGCCATTACGAGCGGCAGACATCGCAAGCATTGGAAAATCCCACCTGTCACCGACATAGAGTTTATCCTAAGTCATCCCTGGCAAGATATGAGGCTTACCCCCAGAGGTTTGTTATGTTCCAGTGTGTCCATACTTTCTCAGCGGTGAGTTTTGCGATGTCCAGATCGACGTCTGCGGTTTTGGGTAACCATCCATACAAGCCGACTAAATCGGGATGATCATTTGTGAAGGTGGGTGTATCCCAGAAGTCGCTGGGCATCCCCTCATAGACGGCATAAAGCCCATCTATAACAGGCAATGGTGCAAGGTCTTTCTTTACGCTTGTCCAGTTACCGGGCACTTCTTCACCCAGTTCATTCATCCATCGTTCTGCCAGATCCAAACCAAATCTCCAATACGCTAGTTCGAAGGCAGGATTGATGGTAATATTCGGGCTTGTATCTTCGGCAACAACTTCCATCGGAGGTCCTAGGTCATACACTTTTGTACTCTGATTATACCATGCGAAGTCTGCCATCCAGTTTGCGGTCTGGTTTACTATGTTCTTCCACTTCTGAAGCGTTGCTTGCGTAGGAAATGCACGATATTCGTATTCCGCAAAGACAAGGGGATGAGGCTGTTGCCAGATAAGTAGTTCATTTATTTCTCCAGGAGCAGATCGTCCCGATGGATCTGTCATCTTGGACCAGCGTGCACCAGTGTCCCAGTGTTCTTGTACCTGTGCCCGCTCGATAGAACTCTCAAGAAACTGGGAATAGATGCTTATTGGACGGTCGAGGAGGTCCCAGTTCCCCCAAAGAGCCCAATGACAAAGGTGCCAAAAAGCCCTGGGAAAAATCAGTGATACGAAATTTATATACATAAGGTCAGGGACTCACATCTCCATATGAAATTTACCGTACTAGATATTCGTGGTCAACGAGACTATACAGGACAATAAGAGAAGTGCGTACCCAACCAGTGTTCACAAGTCCGGACTGGAATGTGCAATGTGAGAACTACAGTCACGATAAATATAATGAGCATTTGTCACATACCTCTTGAGGAGGGGTGCTACCTGCTTCATTCACTCTCATAAGATACCTGGACAGGATAATCCTTCTCTGTAGCTCATAAGCCCGTGGATCTGTTGAACCTGTGAAAAGGTCGACGAAGCCGCTGTTTTCCCAATAATTGCTCCATGAGTCTGTGGAGGAGTGTTCTACATTGTCGAATGTGGGTACAGAGACCATACCATTCGGAGAGTACAAAACAACGACTTGAAACGCTGAAGAAAGCAGTTTGGGCTGCAGAGTATATCGATGCGTTGTAGGAGAATCACGGGTGATATTAAATTGATCCCCGCCGACAGCAGTATAAAACGTCGTATTGTACATGGTGTGGCTGATTTGGGCGTTGGCACCTCTTCCTAGACCTCCTTGGATACTCAACGAAGTGGTATGCTTGGAAGACATATTAAAATATCCGACGAAGGGTGCCTCAAACTTTGCGGAACCATCATTCCAAGGAAAATCTAGAAATAAGCCCAACCTTCCGGTTTGTAAGAGAGTGGATTGGATTTTGATTCCCACTGCATCGTGATCTTGAGCAGAAATCGTTTGGATGATGATTTTCTCGCCTTGCCATGAGAATTCACTAGTGATGACACCAGTCCAAAGATCAAGTTCTTGGAAGACGTCCACTAGATCATTTTCGGTAACGTTCTGAGGCTGACCAGCTTCATCGAAAAATACGAGGCCAGTGCTTCCTAAGTTGGCGCGATTCGGATTGGCAATCAGCCATTGCTCGATTGAGGGATCGCCTCCAAACATGTAAGTTACAAGGCGATCATGGTTCCACCAGCTGACGCCAGTGTAGTTTTCGATATCGTCCAGAGATGAGTTGGGCGGGAATGTGTCGTTCTTCCAGCCCCAGTAGGACATAATGGCATAGGGCAAGAATGTTTGAAGGCCCGTTACATCTGCAGCAGTAACAAATCAAATTTTATAACTATACATCACTGTCAATCGCTATACCTGCACCAAACGCAAAGTTGCCGTTACCAATTTGCATGGGAGTTGTCAGGCTTGAAGCATTGCGAGACGGATTGTAAAGAGAAACGACGGCTTTACGGTCAATCCTAGCTGCGACATGCAGGGTCGAAACAATAACGAAGATGAGAAATGATGTTAAGGCGTGCATGAGTTCTGCTAGATCCGAGTGATAGTGGTGGACCACAGAAAATATTAGAATCCTAGGGCCCGACTTGTCACGAAGGCGCCGACTATTGGAACCATGAAGACAGTATCCCCCCCCATTATTGCTTTATAATCCGATCTTGATTAACATGTGAGTATCATGATATTCTCTAATAAACAGCCATTCACCTTGTGACGCGCTGTGGCGGACCGGTACTGCCATTTTTTCCAGACAGCGGTTACAAGAGTGTTCTATATGTGACCGCTAGTTTTAGATCTGAATACTGGTGCTAGTAGAGAGAAGAATAGCAATGCCGGTCCGCCACAGCGTGTCACAAGGTGGATGGCTGTTGTTATTTATTGTTCAAGGGCCCCAAAATTAAATAAGTGCAAATATCCGTTTTTGGCGGGGTATCATCTCAAAAATATTGTAGCTAGCTTTTTGTAGCTAGGCTTTAATAAGGAAGAACTAATACTTGTACTGGTTCTTCATAAAAATTTATTATGTCTTCTGCTCTTGGAAAACGGAAGGCAAGGGATGAAGATACCGTGAATGATCATGGGTGAGTGTAATAAGCTATAGGATGGACAGGTGATCTCACATGCTAGTTAGTTCTACCCTTTTCGTGTCCAACCTCCCATATACCGCCACATCCACGGATCTTCAAACGCTTTTCTCAGATTTTGCCCCTGTTCGCACAGCGTTTGTAGTTCTTGAGCATGGCACAGGCGTGTCCAAAGGCGTAGGATACGTCTCATTTGCGATCAAGGAGGACGCTGTTAGCGCATTTGACACGATCACGGAAAATGGCATTACCCTTCAGGGAAGAAAGCTGCGTACACAATGGGCTGATAGCAAGGTGCTTCAAATCTTTCATCTGGTATATATGTGTCTTGACATCCGTTGAAGCCAAAAGACAAGGAAAAGGGTGATGTAGTGAAGGAACCAAAGGCTCGTCCGACTTCGCATGTGTCGCATCCTCAAAAGGTCAACGATCCTTTGGCTATCCGTACTATCGTTATATCTGGTCTACCAACGTCCATAGACGCAAAAACGCTCTGGAAAAAAATACGGAAGCATAAAGGCGCCGAGAAAGTTGATTGGCCTGCCAAAACTGCTGAAGGGGATGAAGATGCTACATCTGGTATGTCACTAGAGACTCGCTCCAGGACAGATGCTGATAATGGACTATATGCTTCAGCTACCGTGATTTTTGCTACGTCTGCCCTCGCTCAAGAAGCAGTGAATAAGCTTCATGCCCATGTCTTCAAAGGCTGCTTACTTTCTGTTACGCTGAAAAAGCGTCAAGACAATCTTGCCACAGTTCCGGCCAAAAGTATGTGTAATACGCTCTGCTATCCTCGGTTTTGCTTAGCTCTGATGCAATTCTAGAAACCAAAGGGCCTGCACCGAACAGAAGTAGCAGGCTTATTGTACGCAACCTCCCTTTCGACCTCACGGAACAAGACTTGAGAGCTATATTCTTACCTCATGGCCCTATCTATTCGATACACATACCGATGACTAAATCTCAAGGCACTCAAGACTCAAAAGAAGAGGCGGATGATTCCACCGCTGTTACAAAAGCCAGGGCAAAAGGGTTTGCATTTGTGTGGATGTTAAGTAAGAAAGACGCTGAGCAAGCACTTGCGAAATGCAATGGAATGAAAGTCAGGGCAGGCATGGCAGAGCATATAGTTTCCGATAAACAGAAAAAGAAAAAGCAGCGAAGAGAAGAGAAGAAACGCGCTCAGATGGCTACTGGCGGTGAAGAAGGGGCTTTGGTTGAGGGAGACCAGGAAAAGATGACAGCCGAGCGTGTGATTGCTGTTGACTGGGCTTTGAGCAAGGAGAAGTGGCAAGAAGAGATATCTAAGATGGAGGGCGAGGTGGAGGATGGAGACGTCGATATGACGTCTATACCCGGCCGAGATGAGGAGGATGAAGATTCCGACAGCAACAGCGAGAATCAAAGCGAGGACGAAAGCCAGGATGATGACGATGACAACCTTGGGGTGCACGAAGATGGCGAAGACAGCAGCAACTCCGAATTTTCAGACGGAGAGGTAGAAGACGGTGGTGAAGCACAGGATCAAGAGCCAGTGAAGCCACAACTTCCTCCCCCCGAAAGTGGGACAACTCTTTTCGTTCGGAACGTCCCCTTTGAAGCTGACGAAGATGAGCTGCGGACTCTGTGCGTCTCAGCATGTGTTCGCTGACATTTATGGCTAACTTTTTTCGTATTTGACGCTGCGTTAGTTTTCGTACTTTTGGACCATTGCGATACGCCCGGATCACTGTGGATCCAGAAACAGGTCGTTCTCGTGGCACTGGTTTTGCTTGCTTCTGGAATAAGGTTGACGCAGACAAAGTAGTCGAGCAAAGTGATATTTTGCGTGCCGAAACGACAGGCTCCCAACCACAAGTATGTATCAGTTTATCCCGTGTGCGTTTACCTACATACTGCTGATAGGTTTGGTATCTTAGCTCAAAAAGAACCCATTTACCCTTCCGTCAATTCTCACTCCTGATCCGTCGTCCATTACGGCCAGAAGTCTCGTCCTACACGGTAGGACTCTTGATGTCGTTCGTGCTGTCACTCGAGATGAAGCTGGAAAACTGAAAGAGGATGGTGAGAAAAGGCGGGAGAAAGCTGACAAGCGTAATCTATATCTTTTGAGAGAAGGCGGTGAGTTTACCCTCTTTAATTATTGCTTATTGCTGGTAGTCTCGTTTCTCATACCTACCAACGCGAACATGCAGTCATTACACCAAATTCTCCAGATGCGGAGACACTTACACCTACAGAAGTCGAAAAGCGTACGTTGTCGTTCAATGCCCGCCGAGCGCTGCTTCGTTCCAATCCCTCGTTATACATATCAAAAACCCGGCTCAGCGTCCGCCAAGTCCCCCTTTTCGTCAGTGAACGAGTGTTGAAAAGGCTTGCCATTCATGCCACTCGTGCCTTTGAAGCGGAGGTCAAGAAAGGTTCAAGGGAAGGCTTGAGTCCCGATGAGCTATCGAAGGATGTGGAAGAGGAGGAACAGGGAGAGAAGAATGATGTTCCAGTCAAGGAGGAAAAGAATGAAGGAAAATCCCAGAAGCAGAAGAAAGGTGGCAGACCGACTAGCGTCAAACAATCTAAGATCGTTCGTCAACAAGACCGCGTGGACCCTGTTACTGGAAAAGGCCGTAGTAGGGGTTACGGTTTTATAGAGATGCATAAGCATGCCGATGCCCTACGGGTTCTGCGTTGGGCAAACAACAATGAAGATATTATCCCGCTCCTAGACAAGTGGTGGAAGGTTGAGCTCGAGGACTTGATAAAGCAAGAAAAGGCCAAGGATGACAAGAATGAATCCCGGGTGAAAAGGATGAAAGACGAACTCGAGAACCATGGCCCAAAGACAGGAAAGATGAAAAGTACTCTAATTGTTGAGTTCTCTATCGAGAACGTAGAAGTCGTTCAAAGGAGAGCGGCGCATCAAAAGGAAAAGTCTGAGGTATGTTGTAATCTACACCACGTCCTCACTCCAATTCACGATTCTGCCGTATTTGTCTGGAGCAGACGAATACGAAGAAGCCAGTGGACACAGCTAGTTCAAAAAGGCACCAGGAGCCGTCTTTCAAAAAACGACGGCTATCTACTGACGGCGGTAAAGACGGCACTGTCTTACATAGGTCAGATAAACAAAAGCCTGACCAAAATATCGGGTCGATCATTGGAAGGAAACGGAAAGAGAGAAAGTCTGGCAGGAAAGGTGGCGGCTAATACTCCCTGCTCAGCTGGCCGCAATTTCATGCTTCATTCTTACGATTTACTATACTAGCGAATTTCTGATCTTTCCCTTGACATTAAATTGATCTCTTAAAGTCGCCAGGGAACGGCGATTTACCAATATCCCTTTGATGCTTTCGTTATTCAACGTCAAGTTGGAGATAATGATTGTACTTGTGTTACGACGTTGAGGGGTCAGAATTGATCCCTATCGGCAGATCACCTATTGCGAAGTCTCAAGCGAATTTCCTCGCTTACGTAGGTATGTCAACAAATTGTCAACGGCCACTTTACAGCCCTCTTCGCATTTACACCGTCCACACGTTGGAAAACTTTTCGTACATCTATCGAGGATAAGTACCATTCAGACTGAAGGAGTCCTGCTCGGATCGATCTGCATTGTTACCCGTTTATGGCAGGGACGGACCGGCGACTCTTCTAAGCGGTTTCCCCTGAAGAATCGTATAGTGAACTGAACTGAAAGTTCAGATATCAATATTTCAACTGTGAGTTCGTGGCGATCGTATTATTTCTTCTATGTAACAAGTCGAGTTATATGTAAGAAACGAGTAGTAGAAAGCTAGCTTGCTCGCGATTTATTACGCCTACAACTGTTCTCCATTCCCGATTTTCAGGCCGAATATGCATATTCCAAAAGTTTGGCTGATCACAGGTACGTTGTCGAGTATCTCTGAAGCGCCATGAATGATGTGATATCGAAAACTCTTACTAGGAACATCTTCGGGTTTTGGCCGCCGCCTTGCTGCAGAAGTAATTTCTCGAGGTGATCGTGTTATTGCCACAGCTCGGTCGCTTGGAAATTTACAAGATCTCACCGAGGGGCCCGATCTTCGCCTCCATCAACTGGATGTCAGTAGTGGATCTAAAGCTGTGAAGTGCAGGATAGATGAAGCTGCAGCGATATGGGGCGGCATCGACGTTGTTGTAAACAACGCGGGAGTGGGGCTACCGGGCCTTCTCGAAGAAGCAGGGTATATGCATTCTCACCTTTATGTTGCATGGTCTGAGCTCCATGGTTCGGTAGGTCTGAACATATGATGCAACAATATAAGACCAATGTATTCGGAGTCCTGGATGTCACAAACGCAGCATTACCTTACATGCGTAAGAGTCAGTATCAAGCTACCAAATAGTTTTGAGTTCTGCTGACCAACCATACTGCAAAAGATAGGAGTGGAACAATCGTCATTGTAGGTAGCAGGTCTGCGTGGAAAACAGAAGTCAGGGTAAGCATTATCATCATCATCACTAGTAATTCTGATCACGCTGTTCATTTCCTTGTATAGGGTCTCGGTGAGTTGTTATTTGAGTCTATTCCAAGCATAAACTTGACGGCTTTTTGTCTTAGGATTCTATGCTTCATCCAAAGCTGCTGTTCAAGGTAATGTAAATCTACTTCGAAACAATGAAAATCTAACACCTGCGTAGCAATGGGTGAAACACTCGCACTAGAACTTACACCTTTGAACATCCGGGTACTCATCGTCGAGCCAGGTGCCTTCAGAACTGAAAAGATCTATGCGTACCCTTTTCATACAGACAACCCTATTCCGGACTATGATGAACAGCGTGAAGATGGAGTGGTAAATTTCGGTGCTGTAGCCGGGAAACAAAAAGGTGATCCGACCAAGGCGATGAAAGCGTTGGTCGATGTCGTAAACGGGGAAGGATGCGCCTCTGGAAAACCATGGCCGCTGTATCTGGTGCTGGGGGAAGATGCAGAGCAGGATATTCGTGACAAGTGTAAGAAAGTGATGGATCATTTGGACGAGTGGCGAAGTGTTGTAAGGGGCACAAACTTCGACTGAAATATAAGATAGAGTATAGATCAGCAGTCATCTTAGCACTTGTGTGATGTCAGCTAGACACTCGAGGTTTCTAACATATGCACATGCGTCCTGTCTGGACAAGAAAGTTATCAGTATCACTTACAACACACATATTTATTGAGATAGGTGTAATAAATAGTGACAAATCTCCGGACATTCCTTATCCTCGTTTCCTCGTCTCCTTATGAAATGAAGCACAAAATCTTGAGATATATGTATGGGTTAGTGCTAGTGCTTGTCGAAAAAGGTCCCATGTAAAGGCTATGAATTTCGTGGCCTTTTGTTGGCTCTACCTCCATTTAAATCCTCGGCTGTCTTATCGATTTGATAAAAAATCGACTCCAATTTCCCAGCTAGATCAGGATGTACGGGACCTGCCGCTGCATCGAGGAGAATCTCGAAGCTGTCCTTCAGTTGAGCCAACTGGTCTTCCGAAAAGGCGGGCTGCGGGTGATTTGTGTAAATCAACATAAAATGCGCCAGTAACAATACACATATACTAACTAGATGTTCGCCCGCAGATGATAGTTCAGCCTCCGAATCCTCTTCTTCTAGTGCTATTGATCTTGCTGGTGGCTTAGGTAACTCGACGACTGGGATATCCGGAACATATGGAATGGGCAATAAATGTTGTTGTATGGGGGGCGGGTCACTAGAAATGCTTGTGGTATCCTGATTTGAACGCCGCACCGTGCTCGGAAAATATGGGTGAACTTGAGCGTGTGTCAAGCGAATGCGAACCAGAAGGTCATCTTCGTCCAATATCGTAATACGCAACCACCCTCCACAATGATATCGTACAAGTCGAGCGCGAGACTTCCGCTTCGAGTCGTCATCATGCTTTCTACATTTACTCTGCTCGCCTTCTAGCTGCGCACAGAAGTAAGTAACAACCGTAGAATTTCCGCCTCTTTTTGTTTTTTTCTGGCTATGCCATCTTAAAACTCAATATCATCACTTGATTATAAGAATACTTACTTCCAATGGTAGTCAGAAGCCTCCGCTATATGGTCACGAATGCGATTTGTGCGATTGTACAGATGTTCGCCTCCTGCAAACATACCAGGGGGAAGAGTGACCATGGTATCAAAATCGAAGGGTTGGGCCTTATTTATCGCCACCAGCTGCAAGAAATTATCCCAGGCAGTGGTCGCAGCTACTAGCCTCCCTCGCATCCCGATATTTCGTGCAGAATCTTCTTGAAAGGCGGTTTGTTTGACGTGCAAGGATAAATTGCAGGTACCTAACACCGATGCCGTTGCCAATAGTCGCTATCCGCGGTGCCTCCACGCGGTAGGTTAATACGGAAAAATTGTAATGTGTCGCTGGGAATGACAACAATTAGGTGGGACAGCAAACATATACGTGGCCCAACCAACCAAACTTAAGCACCGGCTCGTATGGTTCGTCTAAGGCAGAAGTCTTCCCAAGTTCAGCTTTGCTTGTAATCTCCTGAAATTGGACGCTCACCTTTCAATTGCATATCACTCCAGCGAGGTCCTCTCCGGCCAGTTCGAAATACAGTCCCCACTAGATTCTGCTTCAATTAGCTGCCTCAGAAGCGGTGTAGTACACGAGTTAGATAGTTGCCTGCCTGCGGTGGAGTGCACGTTTCGAAGATCAGCATGTAATTGAATTCAGCGGCTGTCCCAAATAAATGAGGCACAGCACGAGGTTAAGGTTTATAACGGCGACTCCTCGGGTAGTTCGTGCTCACAATAAACTCAAGCTGGACGTAGCAGATATAATATCTTTTTGTTGGTATTTTGATTAAGTATGTAAGTAATATCGATAAAGAAGGCATGGTACTGGCAACACGCAAGTGTGTAGACCGGGGATCCAAATCCTGAGGAGATGATGTGTTATCTGATAAAGCGGAGATTGAACTTTAGTTCTACATGTTCCATTCTTACTCCGACGCGTCATATTCTACGTTTGACCGCTCAATTTCAGCACAATCTATGGGATATCTAGTTCTCAATCGTTCAATGACGGAATTACCGTGCAACTACGTCATGGTATATGCAGGCCCTTTATAAACTGCAGAAAAGGGATAACTAACTTTCCAATGTTAACCAGAACCGCCCTCACCCGCACCAACATTTTCGCTTCTCAACGTTGTGTATCCTCTAGAAATTCACCCGTCTCCGCATTCTTGCAATTAAAAAGAACCATGGCTACTCAAACTGCTCTGAAAGATGCTGTAATCCATGATCACAATGAAGTGAGTAGCATATAGTCTACGCTCTTCATAACATTCATTTCTCACTTATGCGGTGGTATCCATAGATGTATCAGTATTATGACCAGTATCAGCAGTCCAAAGGCAATGTCGATGCTCAAGCCCGCTGGGCGCGCCAACTCACTTGGGAAATCGCGAGGCATGCTGTCGGCGAAGAAATTGTCGTTTATCCTCTTATGGAGAAACATCTCGGTCAAAAGGGTGTTCAATTGGCAGATGAAGACCGTGCCGACCATCAGGTACGTAATTCATGGAAGCGCATACAATCACGACTAATTTGGATACGTAGACCGTAAAGGAGCTCTTAGCTCGTCTGGAGACGCTCACACCCGGGACTTCTGAGTATGACGACACTCTGAGCGGAGCCATGGCCGACCTTCGTAAACATAACGAAAGTGAAGAGCAGAATGATTTACCCCTGTTGGAAGAGAAGCTTTCTATGGGGGATAGTCAACAAGCAGCGACTTTGTTCACTAGGACGAATAAGTTTGTTCCTACGCGGTTGGTTCTAACACTCTATGTTGGCTATCTATAGTGCTTATAATGCTCTTCGTGCTGTTTGTCAGGGCCCACCCCATGGCTCCGAACAAGCCACCTTATGAGACCCTCGTTGGCTTCATGGCGGCACCTATTGACAAATTGAAGGACTATTTTGCCAGTTTCCCTACTGAGGAAATGAAAAAAGACGCAGGCATTCATTGAGGGTAAATTATCAAAGGAGTCGGCTTCATGTTTTTTATTTCAATGGTCGGCTATCGTTTCTTTTCCAGTCGTTAACTGAGTGGCTTGGGATGACTATGGCTGTGCGTTCTTGCCCCAAAGTTTTTGTAGCAAACTTTTACGGTTTGTATGGTATATTGGCTCTGCCCAGGCTCCTGCTCTTAAATTATGGTTAGGAGATATGTCAGGTGTAGTGTTGACGTAACACGAAACTTATTCTTGGTCGTTTTGTTTTTGACATCTCGTTCTTGTGATGAGGATGGGTGAGCATGACTTATGAAAATGGATAAATCATCATTAAGCGTGGTATGTTCTTTTTCTATTTTATGAGAACTCGTGTCCTCTGTCGCTCAAAGGCCCATCGTGGCTGATTTTGCAGTGTCGTTATGTTATCGTGATTCTTCGACTCCCATTTAGAAAACACATGTTGGCCACGGGGCTGAGTAGCTGTACACCAAGAAGTTCGATGTATGTATTGTCTACTTCCCCAAAAATATTGCCGCATTACGGAGCGCCGTATGGGTCACGAGCCAAGGACTCAGCTCTCTAGTACCTCCCACGAAAACGCCGATTAGAAGTTGGGAAAATGGTACAAGCATCTTCCTGCGTTTTGTATATAAAGCACAAGCTTATGTTCAACACAAGGCATCGCCCCAAATTTACAGAATGATTCCTGTCACTCTGGTTCTTGGTGTTGCTCCTCTTCTGCTGTTCGGTCGTGGTATTTATGCTGCCATTCCTGCTCAACCTGTGGCGAGGACGCTTGTTGAAGCTGCGAGTGCACCTCCTGCTGCATTGACGCCATCTCCGACGATATCGGATTACAGTACGATACCCATCGTCACTGCCACAAGCGTATCTTTTCCGCCTGTTGGATCTATTCCGCGTGATTTCTCACCTGAAGGCCTTGAAACTTTATGGGACTTGGTACGTATTCGTATGACTGTGTTACACTAATCTCCTAAGATCTTGGATGGGTAAGGTTGGTCCAGTTGAACCTCCCCCTTTCACAACTACTCGTGTGCCCGACCTTCCAATTCCCGTACCATCGCCTCCACCTGCATTATACCCAACTTGGTATGCACCTCAACCAGCCAGTATATTCCCAAACCTCTCTCTACCAAGTGGTTTCATATTTGGGGTAGCAACGTCCGCGTATCAGGTCGAAGGTGCTACTAAAATGGAAGGCAAAGGGCCAACTACATGGGACTGGGCAAGCCGCCAGCCAGACTTTATTCAAGACAATACGACAGGTACTGTACCATGCGTAGATACGCGTATTTATATAGTTGTGTTCTTCCACTCATATTGTTTATACCATAGCTGATGTTACCGATCTTCAATATTATCTGTACAAGGAAGATGCAGCTCGTGTTGCCGCTATTGGTGTCACGGCTCACTCTTTCTCGTGAGTTTCTTACAGAAATATCATCTTTATTGTGGTATTGATCGACACATCCGAAAGGATCTCCTGGGCGCGAATCTTCCCATTCGGAGTTGCAGGTTCCCCCATAAATCAATTGGGGATAGACCACTATTCCGATTGTGAGATCGTTTTTGTTGATAGGTATAGCGCAATACTCACCCTTTTGTATTATGAACCCTAGTGATCGACTATCATTGGTCGGTAGGCGTGGAGCCTGTGGTTACGCTATGTAGGTCAATATAGCTCTTGGCCAGGCTTGTACTCATCATAATCTGAATTTCAGTTCATTGGGATACTCCTTTGGCTCTGGTCGCGTACTATGGCGGTTTTACTTCGCCTCAGATTGTTGACGACTTTGTGAAGTACGTCACAACAGCTTAGGTTGCCACCAGGAAACCAGACTAACCTTGCTTGTAGTTACGCTACAACCGTTTTCCAAGCCTACAACGGCAGAGTCAATACCTGGTGAACTTAGCTTTACTACGAGCACAGACTATAAATATCATATTGATGATGATTCCCCCAAGGTACACTTTCAACGAACCAAGTGTCTACTGTGGATGGGTTGGCAGCTATCCTTTCAGTCTGTGCAGTAATATCTCGTGGTTGCTTTCTTTTCTGATATAGCAATGGCAGATATCTCCCTTGCTCCAGGTGTCAACTCATCTACAGCGAACTACCAATGTGCTTACAATCTGGGTAAAATAATTTTCGTTGCTGTAGAATGATCTGTGTTGATTTGCACATACAGTGAAAGCGCACGCAGGAGCAGTCAGAGCATTCAGAGCCCTCAATATTTCAGGAGAGATTGCCTATAAGAACAACGACTTCATGTGAGGACTGGTTGTTTTTTTTGGTCGCTTGTTTAAATGGAATTTCTGACTGATATTTCGTTAGTGGTACAGCTTGGAGAAGCAACTCTACGCAAGATGCTATTGCAGTAGAAAGGCACGCGGCATTTGGGATCGGCCTATATGCTGATCCGATTTACACTACGGGTGACTGGCCTGATATCGTAAAAGAGACCGTTCCCTCCGATTATTTGCCCAGATTTACCGAAGAGGAGACTAAAGAGATTGCTGGTAAGGATGCTATGTATTCATGATTCAGTGCATGTTTAATAGTCGCACTTTTCAGGTACGGCAGATTTCTTCGCCATCGATGCTTATGCTAGTCAATACATTGCTGCGCCGCCCAATGGCATTGAGGCGTGCGCGACTAACATGTCGGATCCCCTCTGGCCCAACTGTAACAGTGTTATGTTGTATGATTCGAATGCTGGCTGGGCTGTTGGTCCATCCCCTGATCCCGCGAGTAACTCGTGGCTACAAGCTACCCCTCAGAACTTGAGAGGTTACTTGAAGGAATTACAAACGCGTTGGCCAACAGACAAGATGGTGTGTCGCGTTTTCTCTTTCTGAACATAATTCTAGTATGAACTTATCATGGCTTCAGTTTATTTCTGAATTTGGCTTTGATGAACCATTTGAAAACGACCGAACTGAGATGTACCAAATCACGGAGGACGCAACAACCACGAGTCAGTTTTTTTCGAGTGTTATATCCCGATCTCGACTGACATGTGGATATGATATCAGACTATTTCATGACAAACCTCGGTGAAGTTCTTTTGGCGATCCATGAAGATGGCATACCTTTGATGGGGACGTTCTCCTGGGGTCAGATGAGCTTCTAGCTTTGGATCTAGGACTATTGACTTATTCTCTTCTCTGCAGGCATGATTGACAATGCTGAGTGGAATTATGGACTTGAGCCGAAGTGAGCTCTGGTTTTGCTGGTAGTAAAACCGTGCTGACCATCATCTCTTTTAGGTTTGGAATTCAGCATGTCAACTACAGCACTTTAGAAAGGACCTACAAACGTGCTGCTTATGCTCTTTGTAAGTCACAGCATTCTCCAACTATTACACACATCTGATTACATTGTAACTGCGCACAGCTGAATTCTTCCATGCTCACCTGACGACAAACTCTACTGTATGACACGAGATGCCGGCCATAACCTAACGTGGGCGGATTGTGATTTGAATTCATCGCGGTGAGGCAATTTGCGTGTGCAACCTATTTTGTTAGATATCGATGGTGATCGAAAACGGTTTTTTTCTTTTTGTCGAGCACTGTAAAATGAGCAAAAATTTCTGGACTTCTTCGAATCACAGTGAACATTTGTCTACTCAAGTTATATGGAGCATGGCTCGAGTCTCGATTAACAGGGTAAGGAACATGCTAAAGCGAAGCCAACAATACAATAGGATAAGAACAAACAGCAGTAACGAGACTTGGTTCCAGACTGCGAGTAAAGTCTGAATGTAGTGGCCGCTCGGTGGCAACGCCGACGGAAATACCTAAATTGGTAACAAAGGATATTTCGAGTTTACGTTCTTCGCGACGTGTGGCTTCCAAGTTGCACTCGACGATTGGCTTCTCTTATTGTTTCTTGTTCTCATTGTCCGCTGCGGTACAGAATAGCTTCCATTCCATGGAGTCAGCTTTACCACACTCTAAGTACATAAGGATGCGTTTACCAGTCGTGAGCCTACAACAAGTGCTTTCCTTTCTTTCTAACGTCTTGCTCCTCATCGTCGACTTGGTGCAGGTTCACTATAAGTCTATCTTTCCCTACACTCTCACTCTCACTCAGACGAATTCACGTTCTTTCATCGCCCATTCACTATGATTGCTGATCTCTCAAAAGCGGCTACTTTGTATCTTGCTCCCGTATTAATGTTGACAACGCTCCTGCTTTCACTTTTCGCGTATCTCGCACCCACTGTCATGCTGCATAGTCAAGTGGCTTTGTTGACAGTCACGCCGTCTGCAGCCTTAACTGAGCCCGGCTCGAACCAAGCAGTTGACGGACCCAGTCTCTTTCTTGGTGCATTGGGTATGTGTGCCGTTATGAACCAGTCACGAGAGATATCTAATGGTCCACTTTAGGCTCTTGTTCTCGACCAAATAATGAAGCTGGCGTCAGCTGTACCTCACCGTCGCTCTCACCTACATATAGTTAGTTGATATTGACCATATATTCCACCATTGCAGGTCTAACGGTATGAATTAGATACATCCGTCCTACCAAGCAATGCCCCTAGCCTCGATTTATCCGCTCCCCCGACCGCTGCACCCGTTTTCATCGCTATAGCACTCGCATTCTCTATCATTTTCTTCTTTTCATTCACAGCCATATCTTTCCGCCACGTTATCCCAGGCAAATTTGGAGAGTTCTGGGACAGACCCATGACCCAGCGGGGATCTGCATGGATCGGAATTTTTGGGTTCCTTGTTGGTACGTTCTATGCACCTCATGCTTTTGACTATATGCTGATGTCCGTCAAGGCCTCGCATCTTTCCTCATTGTCCGGATGTGGTTCGGAAAAGCTGTGGACGACTTCAATCAGGGGATCGCGTCACAAGGCAGCGGTGGACCAGCACTTGTCGCCAGTACAAGTAATGCCTTTATCAGTTAGTCCACATTCTGGTTCTGATTCCTGTGTGAAACGGCGTACTGACGTGTATGTACTAGTGGTCTGGGTTGCATATGCATTCTTTGGCATCCCTGTCATCGTCTCGCTGGCCAAACTGCATGTCATGGCCACGAAGTAGAGAAGTAGATCACGAACCACAACGTGGGCAAGCAATTGCCTTTCCGGACTCTCCTCAAGTGTAGTACTTAGATTTCCCCGTCCTGGCACCCCTGTGTAGCATACTTTTCAGAACAATCTATCTGTATCAGATTGTGTATTGCATTCCATGTAGAGACTTGCATAGAATTTCCCATTAATCGCATCAACTGGGTGAAAATGTTCTGAATGTCCAAGGAAGTGAGTGTACGGCCCTGGTCGGAGCGCCTGTCCGGGCCGGTTCTTTTACCATTCATGACGTTCGGCATCATCCGACCTCTCACTTGCCGACTGTTAGAGTTGCACTACTCAAGCAGCTTTTCAAGGTCTGAATCGCGCATCTGATGTTTATCATTCTGATTCACCCAAATGAAGCCATTCTAAGATATTATACGCGCCTAGATTCGTACGTTGTGAGTCGCATCGCACTTTTGAAAAAGACCTCTGCGGCTCCGAGTCGCAACTTTTGTCGTTATCATCCTATTATCTCTGGCTTCAATAATGCTTAATCTCACTCAGGAAGTATGAACAGTATCTAGGAACTCTCGTATGTGTTACTTAAATTCTGGTTAAGGGAAAATATCTGATGTGGCAGGTGGCAGCTACATTGCTTGAGTAGCGAGACAGTCTCGGAGCGCGAGTCGAAAATGGAGGAAAGGGGGAATACGTCTTCTTTTGGAACACACCTCAGGATGGAGTATTCCTATTCCTCAAGGAGACACAAGATTCTCATGACATGGTTGAACTCAAGTCTATCCGCCAACGAAAGTGAACTTGGAACACCTTAGCACGTTTATATTCCCTGCCCCCTCCCAAATGTCTGCGAATTCGCAGAGGAAGTCAGCATCATCTCATTATAGCTCCTTCCATCGACTCAGAACCCAAACTGTCTTGGCACACGCGTGCTTTTCGGAGGACTAGCCCGGAACATGCGATACTTTTCAGAACAGTGAGTTTTCAACAGAAGTCTGGGTCGCGTTCATTAAGACACAGCACTCCGATTGACACATAGTACCTCATGCCACGTCTAGATTGCAATTCTTCGAGATGCAGATCAGTGGAAACTGTACATGCGAGCAAGATAACTGACGGCCCGAGGTCAGATGTTGAAGTGTATAAGATCAGAGTTAGTTGCATTATGTCTACTCAATCGACAGTTTGAACAAATTGGCTATGATGATGATGCATTTTGCTGCTGTCTTGTTTTTTATCTTGCTCTTTTCTTTGATTGTCCATGCTCATGACTCGATCAATCGGTCGCCCAGTAATGCCGCACGAAATGCCCTTTCGCTCGCAAATACCGAGACATCCTCGGACCTACAAACTATTATGGCTCGCAGATTATCCACCATAGTCAGTCAAACCAGCGGAGGCTCGTCAATCTCTACGTGGTGGGTTAGTTTCACCGTGCCCGCGTTTCTCTCGAATAATTAGGCTTGTCTTCAGGCTATCTTCACTTGAAAAGGGTGGCCAATGGCCTGATATCAACTATACAGCTGGATGTAATGCACAAGCCGCGAACTGGCCTGCGCAAGGGCATTGGAGTCGCATTGGTATGTTTGTCTCTCGATTGTGTGACATAGTAGTTCTCATTGTTGCATAGTCACATTTGCTGCGGCTTGGCACGGAGGTCTTAAGGATGCTTCGCAATATGCTCAAAACTCCTCCTTAAGAACCGCAATCTCTTCGGCAATGGGCTACTGGTTCTCACACGACTTCACAAATCCTGCCTGCCTTGACTCTGGAGGAACCAGTACTTGCCCATGTGGAACGCCTGGTCTCTGGAATACTAATTGGTTCTCTAATGTGAGCTATTTAAGAAAAGCAGGCCTACTTTGGGGTTTGGCTGAACACGCGTTAGATCATTGGTATACCTGGTTATGTTGGAGAAACGTGTCTGCTTTTGGGTGGCAGTCTCACGGAAACTGAGGTCGCTAATTGCACGCGATTCACGGGTCGAGCTTATGGGACGTTCCAAACTGGAATACGTGGCATGAGTGCTATCACAGGTTCCAATACCTTGGATATAGCCAGTATCGGGGTAGACGAAGGTCTTCTGCTTTCGAATACGACACTCGTTTCGAGTGCATATCAGAGGATTAACAACGAGGTAGAGATACAAACCGTAGCCAAGTCAGATGGAATCAAATCGGACGGCGGATTCTTCCAACACACTTTGTTGTACAACGGTAATTATGGCAAAGACTAGTGAGTCCTGGTTCCTGTGAGAGTCAAAGGTGTCTAAACGTATCATTGCACTACAGCGCTAACGACGTCTTTGGTCTTGCCATAGAAGCAGGTGGCACACAGTTTCAGGCAAGCAACAGTTCAATAGCCGCTTTTACGGATTTGTTGAGCGGAAGCCAATGGATGATCTTCCGCAATACATTAACAAATGTGCTACATTGGGACTTTGTGAGTCTTTTCCGGTGGTCTGTTTTGGCCTATAACTGATATTGTAAGCAGAGTGTATTAGGAAGAATGATCAGTTTTCCTGTTGCAGATAATCAGTCAGAACATTTATTTTCCACTCTCTTCGCTTTTAACGTGTGGACTTTCTAGGGCAACAGCCAGTATCAAAATGAACTTGACACAGCTTCAATTACTAGGAGAAGAATGGCAATCAGATGAGCTCCAACAAGTCTACACAAATCTCATCGTAAACACATCAGATGCGAATTCAGGAGCACTCCAAGGCAACCGAATGTTCTATTCCAGCGATTATATGGTTTGTATTTGTAACGATGATGATGATAGGTCTTGTTCATATTTTTGCGTAGGTCCAACGCGGTGGCGGTTATGTCACTACGCTGAAGATGAAAGCAAAGCGCATAGGAAACTCTGAATGTGTCAATGCTCAAAGTCCTTATGGTTTCCATCTCAGTGACGGTACTGTATACAACTATTTGCAGGGCAATGAATATGAGGACATAGCGGCTGCTTGGGACTGGAATCTTATACCAGGCATAACAGTTGATTATGGGGCGACCACCTTAGGTTGCAGCACGACGAAAAGGACGGGTGACCAATCGCTTGTTGGTGGAGCGTCTGACGGGAACATTGGTGTAGCTGCCATGCGTTACGAAAATCCTTTAACAAAAAGTTTGAATTGGCGTAAAACGTGGTTTTTCCTCGACAACGATGTTCAATACGTGATGGTAGCACAAATTACGTCCACGACGCAGGCGCCGGTGTTTTCTGTCTTGGACCAACGCAAACTTAACGGCCAGGTGTATGTGGAATCTTCGACTACAAAAGGAGTTGTTGGGGGAAGTGGGAACTTTACACAAGTTTCGTCCCTGTGGCATGGTGGCATGGGATACTCATTTGACAGTTCCAATGCTGCGACGAAACTTTCCTTGAGTGTTGGTCCGCGGTCAGGCTCTTGGTCGTCCATTGGCATATCAAAGCAACCGAGCTCCACTGTCGATCTCTTCGCAGCGTGGTTGTATCACGATAACATCAGCGCTCCAGTCTCGTATGCAGTCTATCCCGCCACGACGTACAGTGGATTTCAGCAAAAAGCGCAGAGTTCGAATCTTCGATCGCTTCGCAATGACGGCGTGATGTCCGCTTTGCTGGATGTCACACATCATGTCGTGATGATAGTATTCTGGGAGACGAATGGGGGAAAGGTGGTGGTGCCAGCGGTAAACGGAACAGCGTCACTAACGGTTACTTCGAATGGTACAGCAAACGTTATCATTCATACAGATAGCTGGTCTGTTACAGCGTCTGATCCAACTCAACTTCTCTCGAGACTTACTCTGGGCTTCACCCTTGGTTCGGGGGCAATACCTGCGGGGTGGGGTTCATCGCAGGCCAAATCGTGGACTGTTGAGCTGCCGTCTGGGGCGGATGCTGGTAGTAGTGTGACACTCTCGTTAGCATAATTGCTCGAAGGGCAAACTAGCGTTTCGTTTTTTTGTGATGAAAATATCAATATTACCATAGGAATAGCGCAGTTGTTTTGGTGTTTCATTTTTTCTATGGCTTACCACCTCGCTAAGTAGTATAAACCAATGTATCTTGACTCGGGGTCACTAAACTACTTCTGTAAGAGCTGTTACACTCTATCCGTTTTGTAGGAACCATTTCTGGAACCATTCCCCAAATGCAAAGGTAAAACTAAATAAATATGCCCATATCGTATATACAACGGTGTAATGTACAAATTGCTTGCATTGATAATATATGTTACTTGTCCTTCGTTTTCACACTGACTTCCAAGCGCCAGCTGCATGAAATCCTCACATCACAAGAGATCCTTCGAGTATGTGACGTTGGTACATGAACAGTAATGCGGTGGTAATCGTAGATCCTGAGCAATGATTTAGGGTCCAGGATGCGCGAATCGGTTTTGGTTAGCCCTATGTATGAGATGTGGAAGCACCTTTGAATGTGATAGGTTTGATACTTATCACGCCACAAACTCACGCCCAAGGATTCTCTTCATCATATGCTCCGCTTGTGTCAACAAACCCATCAAGACGAGCAAACGAAGGCGTCGTCTGTGTGCGCGTTACATGGGGCATGTCTTCCTCATTCGCTTGCCCAACTTGTCCCTCCCCATCTTCATCGTCGTCGTCATCCGTGCTTGAAGAAACCACGAACCGGGGAACCTGGATATGTCGCTCAGTTACATTCTCCTCCTCAGCTTCGTCGTCAGGCTCATTCTCCTCGGGATGAGAGTCAGTAGTGCGCCCATACACCCTTGTCAACCCGTCTCCTTCCCTCTCACGACCATAAGGCGAACGCGGGGCGACCAACGGCGAATGGGGAGAGTGAGAAGGAGAAGGTACGACGAGGTCGACTGCATCTTCTTTCAGCAACGGTGTGTGAGTGTGGCTTTGCGAATGGCGTGAGGGAGAGGGCATTGGTGAATGCGCCTGCGAATGAGGGGATGAGCGTGGATGTGACTGAGAATAAGAATGCGTGTTGGGGATTTGTAACGAGTTGGGACGGAGGTGGGAAGGTACAGATGTGTGTGAGGGGCGGGCTGGGCTGGCTCTCGATTCGTTCCTAATTTGTGTTTCTCGCATATTTCGCCCGTGATTACGCCGCCGACCTTCACCAGCTCCCCTACCAGGGCTCCCGCTCGCGGACGAACTTGCAGACCCAGGCGTCGCACCGCCACGTAGATGCGTCCAATCCATCCTCATCTCCCCGTCGTCGTCGCCACCTCGACGTGAGACAAGGCCTTCCTCGAAATCCACGACTCGATCGTCAGAGTTTCTCTGCTCGTCAGAGGCGCTCGCGAAACCCTCGTCTTCCCCTTCATCAATATCATACACATTATTTCGTCCTGCTTTACGTGCTTGTTTGCTCGTGCTCGTAGCTCCATATCCCCTCGCCTTGGCCCCCTTCGTAGAGTTATTGAAGGCAGAGCTGGGGCAACTTTCAAAGCCATCCACCACGTCTCGCTCCCAATACCCTCTCTGTGCTCTATCCTCCTGCGAATACGTGCTCACATCAACGACAGGGTAATTGTAGTCCCCGAATACTAGAGAACGCGCTTGTGTAAATATAGATTCAGTTAAAGGAGACGATGGCGGGGAAGGATACGAGAGAGCGAAAGAATCTGAATTTGAGCTTGAAATGTTCAGTGCTGATGCGTCCGTGTGAAGGGGTGCATCGTCAGTTGGCAAATCTCCCCAACCTCTTCCTCTGTTGTTGAAACGAATATCAGGAGCGTTGTGTACGACTTGCGCAGCATCTGACGCAAGCAAAGGCGCAATGGCGTCCTCGTCATCATCCCTAGCTGACACAACAGGTCTCTCGACATCGGGCAGCCAGTATTTACCCTTTCCACCTTGGACATACCGTAGTCCAGCCCTGATACGCCTCTCTCTACCCGCTCCGACATGCATACCTCCCTCACTCGGTTCGAAAGCGCGGTATGTGAGACCTGCGCCATGCAGAGTTGCGCGTGCGTCAAGGACGACGTCTTTGAAGCCGATGGCGTCGCGAAATGCAGGCCAAAGACGAAGACGGGCTGCGTGATGAGTGCTGACAGGGCTAGAAGGAGAAAGCGGAGGGTTGGTATAATCACGATACGAGAACGCGTACGCATGCGCGATGGCAAATATGGGCATCTCTAGGCACACGAGAATGTCAGTGAGACCCAGGCTGACGTGTTCCTCGTCTTTATAAGGACCCAAATGATTGATGACACCCATGGCGACAAGGGCAGATATACCTATACTTTGCCAAAATGAGAAAAAGAGAATACCTTTTACGCATAGGAACTTGGGGACTGGGCGGAAAGGAGTGAGGAGTTGGGACACGCAGAGCCAGAATAGGGCGAGAGAGTAGAGGGAGAGGCAGATGGATATGTTATAGACGATGGAGACGTAGAGGTAGCCTGAGCGGGCGCGAAAGTCGCCTTCGTTATATTTGCCTGTTGCTTTTAGTATTACAGTGGCAAGGGCGAGAAGGGGTTTTATTTGGACATATTCTGGGGAAGAAGAAAGGATGAGTGAGTTTATATATGAGAGAGCTAGTACTTACGGAGAATGCCGCGTTTTAGGGTAAGGAAGGTGTATGGATCGCTAATGTCTATCTCTGAACGGAAGAGGTTGATAGGAAAAATGGCCTGTTTTGGAGGAGAGCCGTGCATGCGGATAAGGAGCTCGCGTTCACCACCGAGATAGGAAAGAAGGAGGACGAAGAAACAGTAGATGACGAAGGCCTACGTCATACGCATATAAGCACAGCAACCAGGCGGACGCATCAGACTGACCTCGTAGACGTCGCGGACGGCGTCGATGAAAAACGCAGCTTCAAGAGAGAAAAGCGAAATAAGGGAGGAAATGGCGTAGATTGGGACCATCACCACAATACGGGCAACCATCCTTGCAAAATGGTTGGTATTACAGCATATGATACAAAATATTGCTCACCGTTGTTGCAGAGGCTTGCGGTAGTTCATAAGATGGAGGTAGATCGATATACCGCTCACGACGACAGCTATGAAGGTTGAGATACCTGATAGCAGCAATACAGGATATGGGAGAGATGACCCTGCACCGCGGCCATGCGACATGTCTGGAAAGATACCCATCGTTGTCCTAGGGGAACGATGGTGCTGAATACCTTCCTTTCTGACTGCGGCGGTCACTGCGCCGATGGATAGGTTGATTATGTAATACTCGCGTCAACGTGACTGTCAGGCACCGCTGGACCACGACTGGTTTTTGGGTGATTATAGCTAGCTATTCGGGTGATTATCAACCGGACAGGTTAATAATCATCCCATTGTGAGGTGCTGATATCAGGTGAAAATCAACTGTTTTTTGGCCAAATTCACCTGGTCCCACATAATAATTTTCTATAGTGATCGTCAACTGTATTTTGAGAGCTTTACAGATAATCTACTTGTTATTTTGTAATTTGGATAATTTCAACTGATATTTTGTTGATAAAAACCCACCACACCTAATGAAAATCACCATGTTTCTAAGTGATATTTCGAGATTCCTGTAGCTTTGACAATGGCATGCAAGGGGTGCCATTGGTATCAGACGTATAATATATATCATCACAGTGCAGTGCTGGCGGGTGCACCCATGTAGGCATCCGCTGTCATGCACCAAAGTTGATTGGTAGCATGGACAGGTGTCAATAACGAAGCGAATATTCAAAAAGACTCGCCTTTGCGCCACACAGGCACAGTGCCACGTGGAATAGTAATTAATATTGCCTTTTTCGAACTTGTGGCTGATCAGCACCACCTCTATTAGGCAATCCAGTCACACTCACCTTTGCTTTTCCATTCGGTACTTTCCACATTTCGGCATTTTGGCAAATTTTCACATTGCCACTGGCTACACATTGCATTGCACCCTCGCTTTTATCGTTTCCCTTACTCCCCTTCCTTTGCCTAGCCCCACCATGGGCCCCTTCCTCTCCTTTTTATTCTCACCTGACGGTCATTTCTGGATCCCCATTCTAATCCACTTTTTCGTCACCTCCACCCTCCTCCTCCTCATCTTATTTGCACCCCCATCATTTCTGATGTCACCACTTCCTATCCGCTTCCATCGCCGATCCGTTGACTACCACGTGCCACTGCTGATATCAGCAAAGCCCCGGCGGCCGGTCTAAATAGGGCAACAGGTCCATCTTCATGACGTCGATCTGCCATCATATACTATCAAAACATTGGTCGCTCGTCTTGCCTGGTTGGAGCGTGGGTGGGTAGTTTTTGAGCTGGAGAAGGTTCATCCCCTTGCGTCGCCCATGTTCATCGCTGTCCCATTCACTTGGGTACACTTATCTTTTGTCCATCGTCTTCGCTACAGCTACACCTACCACACGCTGCCTGGGACTCACTTGTTCCAAATTGGAACTACTCCTCTCCCTCCCTCATTTGATCAGGTGGTCCAACACAACCAGTCCATTGGTAAGGCCATGGAACTGTCGGATTTGGACTAGGTGGTGGACTGGTGGCTCCAGTTTTTTTTTTTTCAGCAGAACATTCATTTACAGTGCGATTATTTTTGATTTTTGAATCATTTTTATGGACACATATTTTTTTAGAATGTCTGACTGACAATAAAGGAACTGTGTTGATACTGATAGTGTTTTGCCTTGCCCTTTTTTTTACTGCATCTTCCCATGACATCATGATCTTCCTGCTCTCTTTTTGCTATTGGACTTTACTTTATGGCTGTACAAACCTGTGACATTACTCACAGCATTTATTGTTCTATCCCTTTCTTTTCTTTTTTTTGACAATCTTATCCTGTACTACCTACGCAGGATTCGTCAGCGTACATTCCTTCCTTCATATTCTTTCTCATTCTTTTTGCACAGCTATACTGTGCATAGCCTACTTCTCTTTTACTATATAAACCCCTGTATTTTACCTTGTAAAAAAAACAACAAGAAATCCAATCCAGACTTCTTCTCTACTCTCAAGTTCACTACTCTACTACTTGTGATCCAGAGTGGTCACAACACTTCCCACTTCTACCACTGTTAACTGCTGTCATCGTCACTCGTCACTTTTTGAAAGTGATTGTCATCCCCTTCGATTAGAGTCCTTCTGAGCACTACAGTTTGTGCGTCAGGAGCCTGCTATCACTGGGAACCTCGTCACCTCGTCATCCTCGTTGTTCTCAAACCTACCTTGTGCTACGATTAGCAAGGTAGTGCTCATCTATACTCGTCACAAAGCCCCTATCCTTCTATAAACTCAACTATCCCTCCTCCTCAAAACCCACACTCATACATCACTGGGTTTTACTTTGAAGGATCTTTATATGTACCACCCCACGAACAACCAGACCACTCCACTGTTCTAGGAGGCAAAGCCCATAAACAAGTTCCGTGGAATCTGGGAGGATTGTGTGTTAGTTTGTTTTGTGTGTGGTTTTCTAACAACAGTTCTCATCATCGACATCGGGCTTGATTTGGCTAAATATAATATAAAAACCGTGCGAGTATGCTGTAAATGGGAAGTGATTGCGTGGTCGATGGTGATAAAGACGGAGATGGAGTAGCTGTAAAAGGAAGGAGAACCGCGTTAGTGGCCGGGGTGGCGTGGCATGAAGTTGAAGATGCGCCCATTTTAGTTGCTGATGGACAGGGAGATGCGACGGCGGCGAGGGAACAAAGTGTGCTTTCTATTTCATGTGGTGAGAATAGCTGGTGAGATACATCTAAGAAGTGATGGATTCAATCATGACAGTACGGGATATGAGACTTGCTTTTACAAAAGAACAGCGATGTGTGCCGTCTCTATCAGTGCTGATGGGGCGTCAGAAAGCTAAAACATAGCAAGAGATAACAGGGAATGAAGGGAAGAGTTTGAGGGCAATGCATGCAGTTAACGAGTTAATGTCGTTGATGCATATGATTGCTGTGAGCAGTGGAAAAAGGCTAGTCTGGGTGGGAGAGATAGCGAGTGTCGTTATCAAGACTTACAGCACGCCGGTGGGATGATTCTCCAGAGATGACAGTGGGAGCCGATGACGCGACTTTGTCTAGCATGTTTTGTGTTAGCTCAATTGTGGTGGAGGGACGAGCACACAATGGGGAGGGACGAGCACTGGAATGGGTGGTCCATAGCGATGCTGGGATTGTTGTTTTCCAGGGGAAACAAGGGTCCAGGCAGGGTGAAAAGACAATTTGTATTGTTTTGGGATGATGTGATCGGTGAGCGTCGGAGATGAGGGATTACGTAGGGGGAGTATGCTTCCGATACAGGGTCCGGTAGGTAATCGACCGATTTTGAATGAGGCTTACGTGAGAGACCAGGTCCCTTTTTCAACGTGTGCCATCATTTTTTCATGTCACAGCATGACAACGACCTTCTAGCATCCCTTTCTGACATTCCCAATTTATCGCTTTTTTGCTCCTCCTCTTTTCCTTATAACCCCGCCTCATTTCTCCAAATTCCCCACTCTTTTTCACCAGGCTGATCCGCTCTGAGACAATCACACATCCACCTCAAAAATGTCTCCCTCCACTTCCCTGGCCTCTTTCCCAGAAGAGCTCCTCGAGCGCATCCTCGCCCTCTGTGTCTCCCCACCAGACACCCTCCCAACTCGCCCAGACTGGCACCTCTCCCGCTCCTCCCCATCCACTCCTCAGAACGAACAAACCCCCTCTCTCCCTCCCCGCTCCCGCATCACCCCTCTCCTCGTGTCCAAGTCCTGGCTTCGCATTGCCACGCCTCTTTTCTACCATACCGTCCTCCTCCGCACCCCAGAGCAAGCAAGCGCTCTCCTCATTACTCTCCAAGGTGCTCCGGATCTCGCACGTGCCATTCGTACCATCGTCGTATCTGGCTGTTGGCCCTGCCTTCGCGAGCTGCTCGCAGCATGCCCTTTGCTAGAATCCTTCGACTTCACCCTTGATGCAGGCCTGATGCCAAGTCCCAACAACAACACTGCCAACAACAACACTGCCAACGGTGGTGTTCCATCACCTGCTGTAGGCGCTGGTGCCATCACGGATGCAGTGGATGTCGACGCCCAAGCGTTCTGTGACGTTCTCGAGCAGATCGACCTGAAACATGTCACTGTCCGTAAGCCGACTTCCGTCTACCTCACCCACCCCAAGCCGCGCTACATCCTCTCCCGGCTTTCGGCCGCCGTCTCCAAATGGTCTCATCTGGTAAGTCACTCTTTTACCATTTTCATATCTTGCCAGCCACTACGTCTCATCTATACATGAAACTGATATCTTGCTTGTGTACAGGAGACTGCTCATATGGCATTCCGACTCACAGACGATGCTTCAGGCACGTGTGGCGCACTTGCCACTGCCTTCGCCCACGCTCCCCGCTTACACACCCTCCGTGCTCAACTCCCTACGGTATGGAACACCTCCCTGCTTACCGTCAGCGCGAACCCCGCGCTCGAGCGCATACAGCTTTGCACCGGTACTCCCGGTGAAGTCGTCGTCGGTACGGGTATGTTCTTCATGGAGGCACGCAAGCACAAACACCTAAGTGACCTCATTCGCGCTGGAACGTGCGTATTATTTCATTCTATGTGCTTTATCTGGACAATTCTGACATGATTATATGCGATTTTCAGCCCTATGATTCGTACACGTGCGCACACAATGGGCACGTTGGCTACCAACTATGGTGTTACGTCTACGCCTTTGAGCTTGAGCAGAGCGAAGAATATCGCAGCCAACCTTCAGCTCCCTTCGCCTTCACTTGCTTCGCGCACCAGCTCCCGCCAACAGGGACTCTAAAATTTCCCTTTTCTCGCGGTTTCATGCGTATATAGCTAGGCGCAGAAACGCATATACCCTTGAACATTACGTTGCATATATGCGTCTACGTATGCAATGATCCCCCACCATCGCACCCGTCACACACGACTCCACTTACAACGACTTGGGTGCGACAGAAGCACATATACTCCCCAGTATCATATGTGCGAAATCCCTCTTACGATAATACGTGATTTCTCTTTTTGTACAACACCTCTGCGTTCACTGTGCCGCCTCGATAACGATGAGGATGGATATAGTGGACGTGGTTAATACCCTGCTCGTCATACCCCTGTTACTGCGCTGCATAGCGTGGTGCACTCGCTTTCCTTTTCCTTTTGAAATTTTTTTTTTTTGTGTCTGTTTCGACGCCGCCCCACCCACTCCCCTGTGTTTCCCCTCGTTCATCGGTTTATGTGTCGGACGCTTTTCTCCTCCTTTGCAATCGCCATCGTTTTGCCTGCTGCACTCATTACCGCCTCATCCGTTATCGCGCATATACTGCTTTCCTTTCCATTTTTCTTGCACACGGGATCCTTCCTCAGCTTTTTTTTAATTTTTTTTATTGATTGGACATTGGGAATATACGCCAAAAAGAGATTGGATTATATAGTAGATTATCAATACCAATAGCGTAATATACAGCATCGGCATAGAAAAGCAATTTTACATATTTCCTCTGTTCAAGGTGGTTTGCTACCCTAAGTAAGAACTTGGAGCTTTTGAGATTTGCAGGATAGGCCACAGCGATGCGATGAAGGGAAAACGGATCAGATTCTTGCATAAATTGGCAGTGTTCTTCGTTTGCTTTTTGGCAGTGTCTCGCGGACGGGGAAACTTTCTTGATGATGAACGGTGCTTCAGTCCACACCCTCGGGAGGTGATATCTAAGGGCTCTGCCCCGTTAACTCTAATATTTGCTGATAAGCGAATGTGCTGAGGCTCTGGAGAGGGGGGTTAAACACCACTCGTCATCATGGGCAATGCTTGTCTGATCGTTTGTACACTACAAAGAAAGGAGGCCGGGTCAAGTGAGTTGAACCTCTGGACAGGGCGTACACCTCAAGCTCGGATTGGCATTGATGGGATCGTAAGCCTGAAACGAGGAAACCAGTCAAGTCAATGTCGAACCTGAGACGAGAAAACACACTCGTGAGTCGCCCTCATTCGGTAATCGATTCGCTTTCCACAGCATCATCGTCTTGACGTTATCAGATTCTACGGAAATGGGGGGGCTCTATCTTGATCCCCCTGATTGTGGTGGATATGGTCGAGGTTCGGCGCTAGCCTTGATGAGATTAGGTGCAAGAAACGGCCTCTCGCGCACGGGATAAACCTGATAAACAGGATCCGTTCTGCGTGTTCCCAAAAGGCTCGACACCGTAAATTGGCTGGAAGCAGTGATTGCAGCACCGACAGTAGAAGAAATCCGAATATTATGCGCGTTACCGCTAAATACAGCTGAAGCCCATTGGGCTGTTTTTGTCGCATCCAGTGAAGAGCATGGTCTTGGCAGCTTTAGCTCCTATATTAGCGTTGAAAGTGAGCTTGGATGTAGTCCTCCAAACCATCTCTTGCGATGGCATTTCCTCGTAGGCCTCGTTATCACCGCCGTTAGCACCCACCAAAACAGCGCCTTCGCTGCCGGAACACGAGAACTGCAATTTGGCCCCGGGGCAGGGCACTCCTAAAAGCATCCACGAAAAATTCAAGGGAGATTCTCGTATAAATTGGAACATACGAACCCACTTACCGAAGCCGTGACTGCGCGGCCAATTTTGGAGGCACTATAACTATGCAATGCTGCTCCTGGGTCTAAGCATTCAGCGTTCGTTTGAATCGACCCGGGGGGGTAGGGTTTGAGCCGCTCAAATCCTTATGGGACTCCATACAGCGCATTTGCTAGATTATTGGCGTCCTTGGTGGCATTGAATAGCCTATGGAAAACACCACCTTCGCGGACATATTCCTACGTCCCCTACAGCAGCTTCATCATAGTTGCATAGTTCAGGAAACCACAGGGGATAACCATGGCGTAACTGAGATAAGTGGATAGCATAGACGTCGTAGGCAGCCATAGATTACTTTTACAAAGTTCCCTCTATGCTCTATTCTCAACTTATAAACAGACGATGCGCAAGCTGTGCTCACCTGTGAAAACCATCATCCACTTCAGCAAACTTTGAGATAAAGAAAGGCGGTCCGTCAGGAAGAGCCATGTTTTGACGATAAGTCGGAAATAAGTACGGAACTGAGCAGCTGGGAAATATAACGGGCACTCACCTTGGCAGCAAGGGGCAGTGTGAGTTGTTCCAACAGGAATTGGCAAGCCAACACAAACAATTCAATACTAAGACAGCACCTTCGCTATCGGAGCACAGACTGAACTCCAGCACCTGCACAAGACACCTCTGGACGCGAACAGTAGATATAAAGGCGACTTGGGGATAGAGACAACATCACCCAACTGCTGCTCCGATTTCAAGTTTGGATATATTATAACTGCGTCGTGTCGCACTCTGAATCGGAAAACCGGTCGTTCCTATAGATAGCATCTGATGAAATGTTTAGACGTTTGATGCCGTCTGGGACTCCGTATAATATACTATCAGGATCATCGCCCGCTAAAAAGTCCTTCAGAAGAATCCGTCCTGGAATTATAACCCACATCGGCTATATCCACTTGATTATAGCTGTACGGCTCTGGGATCCATAGAGGATACTCATAGCGGGGTTGAGAAAGTTGGATAGCATATAAGTCGTGAGCAGCCGTATTTCAGCACGAAATTTGAAACACTCGTCAGCCAACCATCGGGCTTAAACCACAACGTTGAACAGCTTTAAACTGCCATAAATTTTGAGCGAGCGAGTACCGACGGTGCATCCCTCTACGGTGTTAAGGCATTGACATGTTACAGTATGAATCTCTTCCTAGTGCTTTGTTTACCCTTGCAAGGCAAGGGAAGAAAGGAGCTGGAAATGGTATAATGGTGTAATGCACCGATGCGAGCGGTGCTTTCTTGGTGAACCTTCTAACATATGGCGGGGCTCGTGAACACGGGTAAATAATTATACGATCGAAGGAAGAAATAGAGACTTGGTACACGCGGACTGAATTTGTGGTCTGGTGAGTCCATTGGAGCGATAAAGAGTGGACCTTCCATGCATAGCTCGCACGTTGTAATATCCTTTCCCACCGGAAAACAATGGCAAACGTTCGCAAAGGTGTCGCCCTCATCACAGGTGCTGGCCAGGGCATTGGGCGGTCAATTGCACTGCGTTTGGCAGAAGATGGTTTCGACGTGGGACTGAATGACATAGAGGCAAATAAAGACAAACTCGAGCTTTTAGCAGCAGACATCACTCAGAAACACGAGTCCCAGCGACGGACCTACGTTTTCGTCGCAGACGTTAGCGAAGAAAAGGATGTACAGGCAATGGTGGACACTGTGGTGAGAGAACTGGGTGGTCTGGATGTCGTAAGTATCACTTTGGGTTCATACAGATGTCCTGTGTCATGAAATGGAATAGATGGTTGCAAATGCTGGAGTTGTCCGGACAGGCTCCCTTTTTGAAGGTACGATGACATTAAACATTGGCGGAGAGCGACTAACCGACATATTCTCGCTATCTTTGGATGTTTGCATATCAGCCTCTGTCGCTGACTGGGATGCTGTATTATCGGTGAATGTTCGTGGAACGTTCCTTTGCTACAAGTATGCAGCCCAGCACATGGTAAACCAAGGTGGAGGACGAATAATTGGCGCCTGTTCATTGGCAGGGAAAATAGGTAGGTTTGGTCCTTTTCCATCTTCATTTTTCACGTGTCATTTCATTGTACACACAGACACTTACGAAGTTCACTTCAGGTCACGCATATTTGAGCGCATATAGCGCATCAAAATTTGCTGTGAAAGGATTGACACAAAGTGCCGGTGAATTCTCATCTTGTCTTCGTTGTAAATCCGTCTAAATTACCAACTGAAACGCAGCGAGAGAACTTGGGCGTTATGGAATCACAGTCAATGCATATGCACCAGGCCCAATTCAAACCTCTATGCGTGAGTGCTTTTTACTTTTATTTGACTCGCTTGGTTCGCTTCGGTCTTATTCGATGTGTCCTCAGTTACTGAACTGCACAATTCTGAGGTCAAACGGACCGGAGATCCAGGAGGATTCTACAAGGTGGTAAGATATAGTTTCCCTGTATCCATTCTGTACATTTGTCCTATCGTATTGTGTCCCTCCGTTCATCCATTCGCTTTCTAGATGGAGAACACCTCCGCATTAGGTTATCTCGGCAATACTGGAGATGTAGCGAGCCTCGTGTCTTACCTAGCGTCCCCAGAGGCACACTTCATCACTGGTAAGCTACTCTTACTTCTGCTCCAAACATGTATATCATAATTGCCGTGTTTCACTAGGCCAAAGTGTAAGCATCCCCTTCTATCTTGCTTTTTCGTTTATCTGAACGAATCTCTTCCAGATCACAGTTGATGGCGGTATATACTTCGACTGAATAACGGTCTGAGCATAATTTAGCAGCATACGGCAGCTACCGTATATACCAAGCTTCCCCTCACTGTGCAGTCGAGTGAATGCCAAGGGACTTTCTGTAGCTCGTTACTTCGCATGGGTTCGATAAGGCACACTGGGACGCGAGAATATTCACTACGATTCTAACCGGCGATAGACATGCCGATATAGAGGAAGTCGTACCTGATGGCGTTCGCACCACTTAGATTATGGGTGCTTGCATCGATAATAGTATGCCCAGTGTCAAATATACACCGACCGCAGCAATCGGACAGCAAACCAGCGCGCGGAGGACGCATTTTGCAACCGGAAAACCAACTTCGGCAGGTGTGGTTTATACTAGTATGTCGACAGACTGGTAAGGCGACAGGAGTGTAAGGATGAATCATGGGACATGACGAGAGTTGATCTTTTCTTACTCACGAAGGGTGTTCACGGGTAAGTCGATCTAAGAATGTGCAATAACAAACCTTCTGGATTAAGGTTCTCAAATCAATGATCAGTAGATAACGGGTAAGTAGTACTAGCAATCGATATGGATAGACTCACAATGCTATAAGTGCCAGGGGAATATCTTCTTCTGGGCTTGGGTATATGGAGGAGTCCATAGCCTCCTCCGAGTGAGTCGGACAAAGATATCGTGAGTAGTGTAAGGTCAAGTCGAAATGGAAGATTATTATTGTAGTTTCGTTAGCTCACACAGAAGAAACAGCTTGATGGTCCGAATTCGGGACCTAATTGACCCATTCAGAAGCATAAATAATTGACTGATGGACACCGTGAAGTCGGATATGGTGCGTACCGTCAAATCACGAGTGTAAAATTACTCAGTGCAGGACTAGAACCTACACGGTGCCTCGGAGCGAAGGTCAATGTTTGACAGCTGCTGGCTTGTGATTCAATGGGCTTGGACTGGTTCCTTGGTCACGATATCCCATAATCTACGTGAGTTTGGACAGTTATTGGCACTAGCTTGAAATAGTCGTCATTTCTGACCCGGTGCCTTCCAAAGTTCCAATGCTGTGGCATGGAGGGCGCTTCGAATTATAGAAAACGAGTCGTCGTACGTTGGATACCATCTCTAAGCCGCCTCTTTCACTGAAAATATGATCAGCAACTCCAAAGGCGTCGCGCTCATTACTGGCGCCGGCCAGGGGATTGGACGCTCGATTGCGTTGAGGCTCGCAGAAGATGGATTTGATCTTGGATTGAACGACATACCAGCAAACAAAGACAAACTCAGCCAGTTGGCTGTAGACATAGCTGGGAAACATGGAGGACAGCGACGAACCCACGTTGTCCCCGCAGACGTGACAGTGGAAGACGATGTCAAGATAATGATGGAGACCGTGGTGAAAGAGTTGGGAGGTCTTGATGTCGTGAGTATTATTACAGGACTTTGCAGTGGAATTAACGTAAGTAATGTGGGTGCAGATGGTGGCGAATGCTGGAATTATTCGAACTGCTCCTTTAACAGAGAGTGAGTACGTTTATCACACATCTTCGAGTTCAAGTTGATATAACGTACGTCCTATATTTTAACCTCGATTTACAGCATCTGTTGCCGATTGGGATGCCGTGCTCGCGGTGAACGTCCGTGGAACGTTCTTGTGCTACAAATATGCAGCCCAACATATGATACCTCGGCGTAAAGGACGTATCATTGGGGCTAGTTCGTTAGCTGGGAAGATAGGTGTGTTCCAGGCTAATACTAACCTTTTTTTTGCCATCTTTTATTTATACCCTCCACTAATCCTGTTTGATTTATGGCCTTTAGGTACCCCATACCTGAGTGCATACTCTGCATCCAAATTTGCTGTGAGGGGTCTAACGCAAAGCGCTGGTAGGTGTCCGCTCTGAATAGCCTTTATCGAGTATATCAAAGTCAATGCTTGTTTGACCTTGGCATGCTTTCTTTTGCTTTAGCGGTTGAACTTGGGCGGTTTGGGATTACTGTCAATGCATATGCACCTGGTGGAATCCAGACAGACATGTGTGAGTGCCCGTATCATATACCTGTCAGCTATTAATCGGTTTTCTGATATCTAACTTTCTTATCTCCTTTTGAAGTGGCTGAATTGCACACGGCTGACGTAGAATGGACCAAGAACGAAGGAGGTTTTTACGGAATGGTAGATTTTTATCCTTCTACACTGTACGTTGGGCTAAGTGTCACCAAAAAAACTTCTGCTGCCGCACCTCTACTATTAGATGGAATCCCGCGCTGCGTCAGGTACACTCGGAAAGGCTGATGATATAGCAAGTCTTGTATCTTACCTCGCGTCCGAGGAGGCGCATTTCATTACTGGTAAGTTCTATAGCTTATCACTCAAAATTAGCCGCGTCTGAAATCTTTCGCACGCACGACTAGGACAAAGTGTGAGTGTTCCGTAGAGAGCCAGTATATTCCATTTCCTGATTAGAATGGCTTCTGCTAGATTTCCATTGATGGGGGTATTCATTTTGACTAAAGATTCGCCATGGTGTTTCAATGGTTCGCACCCTTGCCAAGTCTCGTGGGGAGTCTGTAGCTAATTATCTGATAGGGGACCCTGGAACAGCGTCTGTATGATGCAATGTATAGTAGAGACATGCTCTGATCCTAAAAAAGAATGTGTTCTAAGAATGCACGCCGCACCATGATACCACTATTAATATTTCGGTCTCATCGCCACTGTTTCCGGCAAGTAGAATCTATATCTACTCCTAAGTAATTGGCTTCCAAAACTGAACATGCCTTGCTGGTGAAGTTGCCCAACAGCACTTCTTCATGTTCTAACGAATAATTTCCTTTGCGCAGAATTGAGTAAACTGTTGGTGAGTTGTGGATTGCGCCAAGCGTGTCGCTGGAGAAGGCGCCAACTGAACTCGTTCCAGCCAGGTTGAAGGGAAGGGTCCCTGTTATATCCCTGTCACGTCATTAGTTGATGAGTTGCCCTATCAGACAGGTTCTTTGGTCCCCTCCCTTTTTAACCGCCAGTTGAATCGTATCTTTTAAACACACAGGCCCTGACTCTGATACGTATACCTGTTTCCAGATTAGGTCCTACAATGGGATGTCCTTTTCTGATGCGCAACAACTGCAATCACCGTTGCGTGTGGTTGGCATGGATTAGGTCCGGCATCTGGATTCTCCCCGTTCAACATCTGCAATTAAAACACGAACGTAAAAACTGGAGCTATGGGTGGGCATTTGATAACTAATTTGAAAGTGCAACGTGTTTCGACCGAAACATATGGTTTTTCGGTTTTTCATTTGTAATGGACTCCAAGCAAGAGAGGGCCAGATCACGGATTATCACGGTAAAAGCTCCTGGATACCCTCGATTATCAGATAAGATAATCTCTCACGCTACTATGTGGCGGAGATTTTAGGGTTGCGCCGAAATGCGATCATTCCTGTCTCGCCCATCCCTTTCATGCTAACATGGACCCATGTTGATATCAGGTCTGGAGTGAACTGGCACAGTCCGTTTAGTCAATTGCCTTATTCCTATTTGCAGATTGACGTAGCTTTCCAGCTCTATCACTGGCAAGGCGCCACTCCCAGGCAAACTGTTAGCGGGAACAATCACAAATCAAACCGGCCAACAAAAGTAAGATATCGCAATTTTGATCTAGCCGCGTCTAAACGTGTCACAAGTTCTGGAGCGTTGCAATGTGTCATTGTGTGACTGCGCCGTCGGAACGAAGTAAACGAAACGGGTGAATTTATGGGATAGAAGTGGAATAATTTTGGGAAAACGCACACCGCGCCATCTCAAGTTCGGTCATGGGACGAGAATCAGTTTGCGTAGAGGAATCCAAGATACTGCAGTTGCGAGCTGGGGCCACGTTTACTTGGCAATAGCTCAGGGTTTCGGGGGGTGCGCGGAGCTTTCATATGCCTTCCATCGTCATTGATAAGTACGAATCCAAGTCGCTGGTAAATCATGGAGCCCTGAGTAAGTGAGTCTTAGCCTGTTTTAGCATGCTGACATATCTTTGTCCCCTAAAAGCCGACTAAATTACTTTATCTGATTAGATTGTTCTTTTGTCCATCTCGCCATGCACCATGCACCCTGGGCTTCGGCTGTTCTAACAACACTCCGCTTTGCGACTATAATCAGGTCGAGCCTGACCATGTCATGCGTTTTACCGGACATATCAATCTCCACATGGACCGCCGTAATCTTGCTGTGAACTTCATTTCTGTTTCCGTAGTTGTTGCGGTACGACATCACTGTCGATCAAAAAAACCAAGCCCTTTATCTTGCAACCAAAATATCCATACGTCGACTTTGAAATAGATTCTCCAGACCTTCCGCTTCTGGGTTGTCGATGCCTATTAAATGGCAGGCTTTTCTCGAGTTTTCAACAGAGCTTTCCTCGGCCGTCCAGTTTTATAGCCCGAGCGACCATCATGGGCGACGTTCTTGCCAGATCGACCGCGCCAACCGATAAAACTCTCCGTGTTGAGAGGTACACACTGTACCCCGAACAGGTGTGGTACCTCTTTGCTGTATTCATTTTCGTCGTTGGTGTGTTCCAGTGGGGTTCGTTCCTGCATTCCAAGTTTTCAAGACGGCATCGCAGGACGGGAAGGACAATCAATGACCCAGAACTGGCATCGACGTCGGCGAGCCGCGGCCTGTCTCTAAGGCGGATTCCGCTTGCTCTTACCAATGCATATCGAGTCGTCGCTTTCCGTTGGACGCTTGAGATCGGGTCGTCGTACACGCTCAACATGGCCGAGGTCTTTGTGACCATAGCATATATCGTAATGCTATTCATCTGGGCTTTTATCAACAGTTCGTACCTTCTGTTCCCTCCACATGTCAAGACGCTCACTGATGATGCTACACTCAGCTACGGACCTTGAAGGCCATAAACTGGATATAGGATACTGGAGCAATCGTGCCGGATACCTTGCTGCTAGTCAATTTCCCATGATTACTGCGCTGGGGACTAAGAACAACCTTGTATCACGTAAGGTTTCAATTCGTTGATGAGTATTCGCCCACTAATACTCCGTATATTTGATAGTTGTCACAGGTATCAGTTACGACAAGGTCAGTGCTGTATCTTTTTTTATCCAGCGTAAATAATATGCTAACGTTGTGTTCAGCTGAATTATGTTCACAGAATGATGGCAAGAGTCGTCATTGTCCTGCTTTGGGTTCATGGTGGAAGCGAAATATACAATTACAAAAAGTATGTCTAGTGGTCGCCTGTTAGTCACTTTGATCTCATTTCGACTAGTTTCTTGATTTCTCTGCGTCAAGAGGTGTGGCTCCAATGCGGGCTCATGGCACTCATCGCTTTTTCTCTTCTTTGTGTCATCTCTATACGTCCGATCCGTTCAGCGGCTTATGAACTCTTCTTCTATGCTCACTTGACCTTGGTTCTGTGAGTCATCACTTTCTTTCATTGTTCATGATCTCATACCCATCAATATAAGGATATTCTTGCTCGGCGCATACTTCCATACAAAAGGAGCACAGTACGCACATTCTCACGGTTTTTACCAGTGCATATAACTAACATATTTATAGTGGTTCATATTGGGTATGGCCTTCTTTCGTATTTTGGGCTCTCGACCGTTTCGTCCGGGTATGTCGCCTGGTCGTCTTCAACCACTCTTACTTTGGCTTCAAGTCCGGCACTGGCACGATGGATGCATCGACCGAACTTCTTTCCGACCATTTTGTTCGTTTGCGGCTGCGCCGCCCACCACACTTCCATTGGACACCTGGACAGACAGCCTATCTCATCATGCCATCCGTATCACAGTTGCCATTCGAAGCACATCCATTTACCATCGCTAGCTTTGACTCCAGCTTCCTTACAGCCTCATCCCCAGATTCCACGGCGACGTCATCAAGGGAAGGTAGCGTTAAGGTTCTAGAGAAGACGAGGGACAAAAATCTCGACGAGGATGATAGTACGCTGTTCTGGAAGGAGCTTGTCTTCCTGATCAATGTAAGAGGGGGTTTTACAAAACGCCTGAAGGAGGTTGCCGCACAGAATGGGAAAGTGAAGGTGTTCGTTGATGGACCATATGGACCCTCTCCTGAGTTAGGGTCGTATGACACTTCAGTGCTCATTTCGGGTACGTCAAGTTATTGGCTTGTTAGAACAACTTGCTAATAAGTGGGGTAGGTGGATCTGGTGTCTCATTTACGCTTCCTGTACTGTTGGATATCATTGAGTCAGTTTCATGCTTTGTTATGTGGCTTCTTATTAATATATTCTTCAGGCGTGTGCGGAATGGGAAAAGTGATTGTCGTCGAGTAGTCTTCATCTGGTCCATTCGTGAAGCTAGTAAGTCAATTTTTTTGGATTTCTGGATTAATCCTGACGTGTAATTCCTAGGTCACGTTCATTGGATCGACGAAGCTCTCATCAAGGCGATACAGCTAGCACCTCCATCTATGTCCGTCTCCATCCATCTCTACATCACTGGAGTTCCTGCGACCGTCGACCCACTACATTCTTCCTTTAACGAAGACGACTCGATACATTCGGCCTCGCGCTCAGAGTCTGGTGATCATACCGTACCTGAGCACTCGGAGAAACACCAAGACTCGATATTCAACATGGCAGCAGTGAAAGTGCAGCATGGCAGAGCCGATCTGGATGAACTGCTGAAAGAGGAAGTTGGAATAACTACCGGCAGGATGTCGGTCAGTGGTGAGCGATACTTTTTCTTCCGTTGTTGACCCCTGCTGACGGCTTCTGGGTGCCATGTTCATCAGTGTGTGGTTCGCAAGCTATTGCTCGAGCTGTCCGACACGCTCTCCGTTTTCCTGTCTCCGGGCCTAGCAGCATACTGAAAGGTGGTCCTAGTGTAACCTTACACGTGGAGTCTTTTGGTTATGCTTGAATTACGAATTCGTGTGGCTGGGCACCTCACCTAGCGCCCAAATGGCGTCCTCTTTTTATTTTGGGATATCATGTTGTCACTATTTCGTGTATCTTTGCATACCCGTGCTGTTCGAACAGCACTGTACTTACACCATTATAGATCCGAGGTGTATTCTATTTCTAATTTTACTCAGTCAGGAACCAACGCTTTCCTCCGAACATGATCCAAAAATTGCGTAGCTTCGAATACCTCGAGTTAGAAAATAGCTGCAATTATATTTAGTAGACTTGGGGGATAAACTTCTGTCAATCTTCGCCTGCGAGATATTCCTGGTGGAAACTTGACGAATTCTTGTGGCTGGACCCCCTGCGTTGATCTCAGCTGCCATGACACTTTTCAACAATAAAAATAAATCTGTACTTGATATGGTCCCACTTTCCTTCATGACCCGTTACAATACACGTGTGACACACATCTCTTCCGAGTCTTTGTCAGACGAGCCTGTACGGCAAAACCGATCGAATTCACGATCGTCTGTTGATTAAATACTTATCAGCCAACTTATCAGATACAATATATGTGACTCGTAACACGTGACGCGTGATCACGACGAGCCGGTTAGTTTTTTTGCCAGAATCTTGAAAACGTCTCAGCTTATATTTCGTGCTGAGGAGCAAAACCAACATTATGCTCAAGAAATATGTCAGTTGGTTTGCAAGACAGATAACCGATGACCCATCAGTACCTGCCATCAGTGTTATACGCGGACATTCACTGCCATGTTGAGAGAATAAGGCTCGATTTGGCTTTACCAGTATCAACCGCAAGAAACACTCATGATCACGCCGTTTGACGATAGGCAAACCTCGATGAACTCACAGCAAAGTAGCGAGAATCTACTTATGCAGATCATCTGATTCAGGTTCGGTCGCTAAGGTATCATGTTGTAGGTACTCGGCGAGTCGAATAATACCGGTGAGCATTACTGTTCGGTAGTTTAGTGATGTTCCACTCAAAGCCCTTTCCCCTTCCCTAGATAGGGCCTGCGTGCTGCCATGATATATCACAATGATGGCTGAGCTGAGTTACACTGGAGGTTCCACCAGCGCTTTACAAGTTACCATTGCCGCCATTCGTCGATATGAACTCTACGCGTGCTAGGTTGCTGTCCGTCTACTGAATAGAATCCATCGGTCGGACCATAGCCTATCACGTCGCTCATCATATACACCTTGCTGGTGATGCGCTGACATTTTCCCAAAAGCAGCCCAGTCCACGAGAAAATAGGCCACCCCCTTTCAAGTTCTCTCCTATTACGCTCCTTACACGCATCAGCTCGTCGCCAAGCCTATGCAACGCGTTGATCAAAGTTGGCGTCTATCTCATAACACCGTGGCAATGGTGCTTATCACAAGCAACTTATCATGACATATCGTAGCGCCCATTTCAGTGAAATCTGCTTGCCCCATCGGAGCATATACGTATAAAGGGATACGGTGCAGAGATTGGCAGGTTCCACCGCAAATCTCATGCATACTTGATGATCTAGGGACACGATATCAATTGCCAATTTTTTTGCCGCAGATATAAGGAATAAAGCGTCGTCGTATTGCTGGTGTTTTCATACCCTGATGAATGGGTTTCTGCATATCCTGACATGGCAAGTGCTATATATACTGACTCGCTTTGACAGCAGGTCGTGGCTTGACGGTCTCCTAACGATTTAAGCGCTCTTTGCAGAGGAACCGAACAAGGAGCCACTCGTAGGTATTTTGGGCAATACACGATATAGCCCCCAACCACACCGTATCATTGCGGCTCTGACACAGCGGCAAGAACCCGGTCTTGCGTGCATACCACAAGGCTACCATGTGCCCTAGAGTTTATCTGCTGGAGTGGACCAACTCGTCCAAATAACAAACCATGGAGCACGAATCACCTCTTCCTATGCTTCCTCTTTCAGACGCACCCGCCGCCTCTACCAACTCTGTCCACTCTCGAAACCACGATGGTAGTGAGCGACTACCAGCAACTCAGACGGACGCAGTGCCATCAGTGGTCAGAGAGGGGGCGTCACAAGCTGCCCCAGAATCTTTGCACCCGCAATCTTCGTCCTCCCGCTCACATAACCATCAGGAAACGCATCCATCACTAGTACCACAAACGGACGTTGTTCTCCCATTAACTGGTGAGAGACGATCGAGTATCATCCCCCCAGAGCTCGTACGTCCGCACTCTACGTCAACTGCGGACAGAAATCTTTTGGAACAAGCCAGAGCCAGGACTCCATCTCCTCAGCGCAATTGGGACAGTCCTTACGGAGAAGATGCCAATCGTCCCATTTCTCTAGTCATGCCACCTCCCACTGCTCCGGTCAGGAATCGTAGCGTGCGAGAAGCTCATCCTTACCCTACCGTGACTAGGGCTCCATCACGAAGACCAACGTTGGTGTTGGATGAGAGCGTGAGGACATCGCGTGTATGTCACCTCGTTTCATTACGTCCTTGATACTGTCAATATATCACGTCTTTTTCTAGTCACGGCGCACTTTGGAAGATCGGTTAGAGCCCACTCTGAGAGTCGCTGAAGCAGAGAAAGAGAAGTTCGCTCAGAAAGGCAAGTGTAATGTTGCAAGCCCAGAGCGGATGTCGTTGACGTAATGCGTGCTTTATGGCGTCGACGTCGCGTTTTCAGCCCTGTGGACCGGATATGCTCTTAATGTGGCTATTGGTCTGCAGGTTCTTCTCGGAGCGCTAACCACTGCAATCGCATCAGCAACTATAGGCAAACAGGTGAGATTTATTCGTAAGCCTCATCTATTAGAGTTGGTACTGATAAGGATCGTGGATAGACTTCCATCGCTACTGCAATACTTGGTTCGTGGCATCTTACTTAGAACCTTGCGTAATCTGATTTCAACTCTACTTTACAGGAGGGTTGTCAACTCTCGTCGCTTCCTATCTCGCGCGAGCCCGTGGCTCCAACGAGCCAGAAGCTTCCATCACACGCGTCAAAGATCTAGAACAGTTCATTCGTGATTGCCAAGCGTTTGTCATGGACCATGGAACTGAGTATGGTGAGGATAAACCTGAACTCAACAAACGTGTGGAGGAATTTCGGAGAAGGTTTGAGGAACTTTTGGGAAATTTCAATACGTGAGTATGGTCCGTTTCGCTAGATTACTATGCATTCCTACATCCGTATGAATCTATGACAGGGAAAGACATCCATCGTCAGCGTTCCAGAATGCATAACTTATGTATATCGCTTTTTGATATCTGATTTTGTACTTTTAAATTCGAGATAATGTTGATGATCTCGCACGACAGTCTGGTCCATCCTCTCGAAGAACTCCAACAGAAGATAAAATCGTACCTCCTAAAGAATCTTGTGCATTGAAGTACAACAATCTGGTCAGTGCTATAATGATCATGTTTAAGTTACACGACTGGACCACAACAATATTAGGGGGACAGACGTCGTGCAGGAGAAGTTAGGCTCACTTGTACTGCGTACTTGTGCGACAAGTTGAAGGTTTCAACCTGCAGTAGCGTGGCAAATTGTAATAGTACATGGATACAAAAGTTATATGCGATATATGCGAGGCTTTGTGTCGCACCAAAAGTTTCTTACACCGACGTGGTTGGAATGATGATGCTTTGTAGGAGTATGGTTCGGATGCTGATGTTTAACGACGGAGGATGGGCTTAAGATAGCGCGACTGTAGTTGGTTTGTGATGGCGGAGGCTGTCGCTGGAAGCGCCGGCATCAATAACAAGTGTTGCTTTTGCGACTGTCGGCCGTGGTATATGCATGTCAGTGATCAGACGATCATGCCAGCGTCATCTTTGCCAAAAGACATGCAGTCAGAGAATTGCACAAATGACTCGATGTATATTTACAACCAGAAAGCAGTCATCGGTCAACACAATAGTTCACGCTATGTCCCCATACCAAATACCCCGACCATTCGTGCCAATGTAAACGCTAAAAGATGTCAGATTAGCTGGGGGATGGTAGTTCAAGGAAATATCAAGGTTTTCTCACCGGCCGTAAATTCGAGGATCACCCGTCATGACGTTCGCGCTCGCCTGTGCAAAACCGTGAGCAGCGTCATTGATCTGCACCCAGGTCGCGCCGGTGTCATCAGATCTGTAATAGCCCACGAGACCACTTATGTCGGCGGCGGCATACAAAGCTGGATATCCTCCGCTGGATGCAGGTGCGCCCAAGGCAATAGCCCATGCCTCAGAAGGTGCAGATAGAGCAGTGAACGATGAACCTGTGTCTGTCGAGTGGAAGATACCTTTGTCTGACGATACCCAAACATCGCCCGTTAAGCTGGGGTTGACGACAATTTTGACAGGTGCAGTGGATGAACCAAGGGTGCTGGTTACGTCAAAGGTCTCACCACCATCTACTGAGAGATAAAAGTCGGCACCCGACGCAGCATAGAAGATCGAGTCGTTTAATTTGTCGGAAGCAATGATAGAACCGGAAGGAAGAGAAGTTACTGCGGTAAATGTACTCATATTTTGTGACACCATGACACCATTGGTACCTGTACTCCAGAGGACGGTGTCGCCATCCGCAGAGAGAGCAACGTGACCCCCAGTCACATTTGCGGCTGCACCGTAGTCTGGGGACCTAGTGCGAGGTATTAAGATTCTCTGTAATATATCATAAAGATAATACTTACCAGGTCGCTCCAGAATCTGTGGAGAGGGAGACCTGCAAGACGGTAGAGCTGATAGTTTTATAAGGTTACGGGCACCGAAAGAGGCAACATCGTTATATCATACCTGGTAGCAGTCCCAACACGGACAATATTACTTGGCTTGTTTCCAGCAAAGTCAATATCAGCAGTGGTTGTCCAGGCCCGATTAGTGTAAGACGCGTTGGGAGGGGTGTTCAAAGTGTAATGAACAAATCCTACGCCAAATAGATACCGCCTCAGTCACAGAAGTGGCGGGCTCATAGACGACCACACGCACCTTCGATATCTCCTACTGCAGAAAGAAGAGGAGGACCACTTGGAGGAGAGATGAGCCCCAGAATAGCGGTTTCCTCGACGCCGTTCGCGAGGGACTCTATTGTAACATTATGGACCGTGTCCCATTTGGTAAGATCGTAGCCACCGTAAATTGTCATTCCAGTACCGTACAACCAGTGGTCGGAATCGAATGGATCGATATTCAGGCCTAAAAAGATGGTGAGTCGATTGTTAACACATGTTCGAAACACTCACCTTCCATCATCCAACCGATTTGCAAAGTTCCAGGAGTCGTCACTGTATAGTCGGGGCCGATCCATGGAGCAAGAGAATCACTATAGGTATACCACTTATCCAGTGTAGAATCAGACCCCCACGACCATAATGCACTCCATGTAACGCCACTATCATTCGAACGGAAGATCTGACCATCAGGGTACCATGAATTCAATGCAGCAACCATGATAGTCCCTGGGTTTTGGAGGTCCACCGACAAGCCACCAAATCCGAAAAAAAGGTTGCTTCCTGAAACAGGAGTGATATCTGTCCAGACGCCAGATGTGATATTGTATTTATACACGGCACCGAGGGTTCCATCGTAGGGACCAGATCCGTTGGATTCGGATATGTAAAGGACCTTTTCAGCAGGAGAAAGGACACCTTTATGGGGCAGATAGGTATTATTCTGACCGGCCACAGCTGACCCTATGATTGTTCAAAAAATTCAGCTGCGGTGCAAGTGCGAAGTTGGCTAACATACAAGTTGCACCAGCATCGTTAGTGTAAAAGATGTTGTCAGACCCTTCGTTAGCTACACCAACAAAGATCGTTGGTGTAGGCTCTCCCGAAGTTCCTGATGTATAATCAAAAGTAACGAAAGCGAGTCCAGTCAAGTCGCTATTATAACCAGTTGTGTCGGACGGATCAGGCGCGTAAGTACCTTGAGCAGGATTGTTGGATGCATCGAAATGATCATGGCAGCAAGAAAGACTCACCAACACTTGGGAAGTTTGTCACATTCGTCCATGTGGCGCCATAGTCGGTAGATTTCCACAAACCATGGCCGCTTCGGGCACCAAAATAAAGGATGTTGTTGCTGTGAGGGTCCACTGCGAGGCGCTGTATTGCGTCTTAAAAACAATGCTCAAAAGAGCTAGAAGTCTGTGCGTACCTCGCCCCTGTACCACGCAAAAAGTTGTATGAGGGATCAGTCCTTGGTTGGGAATAAACTGCTACTTACATTCCACGAGAGGGCATGTTTCCGCCCACCTTGAACGGAAGCGGCGATTCGGTGAAAGACGTTCCATAGTCAGTAGATATCAAGATAGTGCCGTTGTTAGGGTCATATGAATTGGTATACATCCCTACAGCCTGATATCATTTTAGTAACCTTTCACAAGTATAGGATAACAAATAGCTGACTAAATATAGTCGACCCGTGTCTACGGGATCAGTCGCAATAGCGTCGACTCCCCAGTAGTCCCACCTCGTATTGTCCGCCCAATCCAACAGAGGAGTCCAAGATCCATCCGTGTTCATCTTATACGCACCCCCAATATCCATACGAGCATAGGTAAGCCCTTTTTCAGATGGGTTGAATATAATATCTGGTGTAAAGCCGCCCCCGCCTCCAATCTTGACGTTTTGCCAGTTATAAGCTTGAGAGGACGCTGCAGAAACAGATGGACCGATGGCCACTGCAGCTAACACTGCAAGGATGTTTGGGATGAGCATGACGGACAGTGTTGCGACTCGACAGTACTTCGTAAAACTGATCCATGTGAAGGCATATATACTACCCCAGGAGAATCAACGAATAGTTTCGCATCCGAGGTAAAAGCGTTTGTCCGATCAGTGGCACCCGATAAATTTGCGGAATATGAAAGGGAGAGCAGGCCATCGAGGAGTGCCAGAAGCGTTGAATACAGAAGTCTCCACCATGCTGACAGGAACAACGATAGACAGAAATACCGAAGTTTAAAATACCACGGACTTAGGTAGGGCGCCTGGAGTTTGATACTCTACGCTACTGCGAAGATAATATGTGAGAGCAACGAGGGGCCATGAGATTCCTCGCGAAACTAATTTTGTTCTGGGAGACAAAACGAAACATAACAGAATTTGTTGGTACAGTAGCCATCGAGTATTTGAGTCATAAACTGGGAATGGAATGTTGCACTTTGAGAATGAGATGTACTCAAAGAACACAATCAAAGTTGGCCTAGTGACTGCTGCTAAGGCTAGGATCAAGTGCAGGTAAGTTCGCAGGTATATTTCGGTGATCTGAACAGAAAATTGAAATACAGAGAAGTTGACACGACCGTACACCGCTGTGAGTATTAAGACTGCGAATGACCGTGTGCTTGGCTGATCTGTATTGTAAAATAAAACTGTCATTTGATCTCTAAGTCAAGTCGAACTCAAAAAACAAACATACCTTTGAGCGCCGGCCCGTTAGCTAACGCCGGCCCGCCCTATTGAAGGGCAAATTCTCTACTGGGTCCGACCGAGACAAGCAGCCAACCAGCACCACCGCGGCGCCTTGGTCTCTTATAACCATACTGATGACTTTCCCACCTCGCTTTGTCTTTCTCCTTTCCCTGAGCTAAACGCTAGCTGTTCATCCCAGGACAACATGCGTCAAGCAACCCAAAAATCCTCTCGCGATCACTGCTCCCTGAAGATCAGAATAGACAGAATAAAGTGGTTATCACGGTGAAGGCCATATGTGCGGGACCATGATTCAGCGTGGCCAGTGGACGAAACGCGGTGTGTAGCCAGTTTATTTTCTCCTGAAGATATATCACAATCGTGTTTCTTAAAGAAATATCTTCTCTAAGCAACACAAGTGTGATATATTTCAAGTTCACTAGGGCACACCTTTCCCTCAGACCAATTTGCTCGATGCGTATCTGGATATGTAAAATCCATACCCTGGTGCTAATCTTCAGTGGGTTGTGGACGGTTTACTCTGATGTTGGTAAGCTGGTCTGTTGCAAGAAAATCTGCAAGACCGTGAGAACCTCGACAAATTGCCGCCTGAGGCGAGGCCCTGAGGCGCATCACCACTAGCAATTTACCACGTCGCTATGATCGTTCTCGCTTTTGCGAAATAAGTTGTTATACTTGCTGGTTCAGGTAAGTGTGTCCATCGTACGTCCGACTCTAAATAAAGGGGGATGAGCTTTGATTATACTGCACTTTGATTTAAAAGCGTATCCACATATCGAGGTCAGAATGGTTGATGGAATACACAAATCTATGGGCTCATCTTTCGCGTATTTTATCATTGGGCATCTAGCGCTTAGCGAAGGCGGGACGCACAGGAACTCACCACTCCAGAAAGATTCATAAAGAATGCTAGAAAGGTGTGTCAATTTTATCGTTACCGACGCAAGATGTACGTTTAGAATGACAGAAAACGATATACCGAATGTCATTCAGTGCTTTCACCTTGATCTAGGTGTCTGGAAGCTCGACTAAATGCAGCGCATCATGCCATTGTATCTCTGTCCGTGCCTACTGTCCGGTACCGTATCCCGTCTTCTCTGGCACTTGATTTTCCCTTATTTATAACGCGGAATTCAAAACTCTCCCCGCGTGCTCTCAAAGGATTATCTGACAGGCTGACTGGAGAGGAAATGATACCCGCACAGGAGAACCTGATAAAAATACATGGGTCGGCGCACAAAACGAATTGTTCACAATGCAAGCATCTAAACGTTACTTACGAGACACCTCTCAGTCCAGTACTTCTTGACGCCTCAAAGGATAGCCTTGAGGCGCAGACATACCAGTTGCGAAACTTCGATCATGCGGGGGACTGGGTCAAATTGATATGGGGGTACGGGTACTCTCTTGCTTCCAGCGGCTGTATGGTCGGTGAAGTCCAGAGGACTTGAGGTAATAGCAAAAGAGCTAAACGGGACTGAACTTCTGATCACGGTTGGCACGTCGTGATTGGTACAGTCGAATGATCTATGATGTAATGTGACTTGAGCTGATCCCTCTGGATTAGGTGTACCCAGCTGCATGTTTCGCTAAGACAGTGAAAGGCAAGGCAGGTAAAGTTGCTATTTTCAATCTGGAACATTTTGCGGGTGAAGTGATGCGAATTTCTTGTTCCTCGGTCCATGTGAGGATACACTTCTCATTATTCTCGGTAAATCCCTCAAGGTTCCTAAATTCAAGACACTGGTGTGCACCATTGTCCAATACACTCCTGAAAAACTCGTCCATGAATACTGAGTATCACTAGCACTCAGGCTCTGTGGCTAGCTTGCGAGCTCAGTTTCTTCGTCACATTTCTTGGCACATTAAGGAATTGGTTTGATCGTAAAATATGAGCGCATGGCCGAGGGATCGTAAGTATTGAAACTGAGACTAATACCACCCCGTCGTAAATGGTATCAACCAGTGCCTGGAACGTGGCAAAATCGTCTCTGAAGTTATGATGATATTCCGAGTAGGCTATTCCATGGATGGATGTGACTGTCTAACTCTGAATCTGAACTTGAAAGGTGCTGCACATCATTAGGAGTATACGTTGGTCTGCTGCGACAAAATGGCGGATCGTTAATGGAAGTAGGTTGCCAAGATAACTGCGGCGAGTAATAACTTACCTTGCTATGCCTTTCGGTTGATTCCCCGGAACATATTAGAGATGGGCAGGTTGATCTCTAGAGTTTCGGGGATTCATGGCTGGTTGGTTCTTATGAGTGGTAGACTGCGTGCTGGAGATCTCTACATCTGAAGAGAAAGTTGCAGTCACTGTCCAGTAATTTTATGCGCTCAACGTAGTGTGAAAACTTCTCAAGGAGAGCTTTTCTGGGTCTTGTCTCTATATCGTCAGAACCAGACTTACTGCGTTATGAAAGGCAGTTTCGCTGTAGTTGCCATTTTTCTATTACTACCTTCCTAATGCGGATATTGTTTCGGTCACCATCCGCATATTCCGCACGATCACGATCACACCATTCGCAGGTCAATATTACTGATAAGTAACATGATAATCGATAGTAAGCAAGATCACACCACCTTGTGAATCTCTCGCTGGCACACATTTATCAGGTTTTGTTTTCTTACAACGAGCACTCATATCCAAATCATCCTTCTTAACTACCTAACTCTTGACAATGTCTGGCCCATCTCCAAAGATCTCCGTTGGCGACACACTCCCATCTGGGAAGTTTGCATATGTTCCTTTTACACCTGCTCTCGCAGATAGCGTGAGTTCACGGCGCTCCATCGCATAGTTCGGATTATTGACGATCTCTTTTACTCAAAATTTACGCTGTTATCTATGTATGATATTCTTACACCCTTCCTGAAATTTCGACTATTTTTGTGCATTAACAAAGGCCGCCTGTGGAATCCGTATGTTCTCTGGTCGTCTTTTTCTTGCATCATTTACTCACGCTTGCATGCGGCTTAACTAGCCACGACGCTCTCGACGGACGAGTGGAAAGGCAAGAAGGTCGTGTTGTTCTCCGTCCCTGGTGCTTTCACGGTACGCATCAACTAAGCTACACTGTTACCACCATTCATCTACCTCCCCAATCCTGCTTTATGCTTCACACGTAATCTCTCGCACAATCTCACTGCGCCAACGTCAAACAGCCAACCTGCCACATTAACCATCTCCCGCCTTATCTCGCCAAGTACGATGAATTCAAAGCCAAAGGCGTTGATGTCATTGCTGTCGTTGCTGCCAACGATGCTTTCGTTATGAGTGCCTGGGGCAGGATTGAGGGTTGCAATGAGAAGGTATGTCCATGTCGCCCATCGAATTTACATCCACTATGCTTCTTATCTCGACCACGAATCACTGCCAAATACCTTCTCACGCATCGTTATTCCTCATAGATCCTTACTCTCTCCGACCCCAACACCGCTTTCTCTGCCTCCCTAGGCCTCACCGTCGACCTCTCCGCCGTAGGCTTCGGAACTCGCACGGCGCGCTATGCACTGATCATCGACGATTTGGTGGTCAAGTACGTCGAGGTGGGTCACTCTCTTTTTCTTGCCTTTGCTGCACTGCATCTACTACCATTTGCTGATGGTTCATCAATCTCCTTACCCTCGTTATCTGTAGGTTGAGCCTGGACGCGAAGTCAGTGTCTCAGGAGCCGATGCAGTCCTTGCCAGGCTGTAAGCTATGAGCTAAACGCTCAGTCTATGGTCTACGTTATTGTATATTTTATCGATGCTTCTAAGAGAATCGTGAATTGTAAACTAGAGCATCGAAGGATAGAGTCGAGGGCTGAAATAACATTTGTACAATTGAGAGGGCCTGGAAGATGCTTATATCTGCTAGAAATATAAGTATGGGAAGCAGAGGACAATCGAAACTTGAGATCAAGACGACGATTACACGCGATGTTGACGGAAGTCATGCCAATGTAGTATTGACTTGCGTATAAAACATGATGTGATCAAATACTGGCGAAACATCCTTTATATACTAGAGATACCTCGTACACACGTCAGTTGAAGAGCTTTCTTTCATCAAGTTACAAATACATGTCAGAGAATACACATAGAGCTAGAACGTGCTCTGAAACTCTTTACCCAATCCTCGCAAAGCATTTTACTTCTGACGCTGTTGAATTTTTCTCTGGGCAGCCTTTGGTGCCTCCGAATACAAAACTTCCCCTTCCTTTTTAAACTCCCTGATAACCTTCTGTCCTCCATCAGGCGAGACCACCCAGTCCATAAAGTGTTGGCACTCCTCCTTGAACTTCTCGTCCGCACGTGCACCAAGAAGAATGTGAGCAGGATTAAGAAGTATATCTGGGTTCGTCTCGTCCGCATCTGAGTCCGAGTCCAACCCTATAGCGTAGATCTTCATGTTGGATTTGACATTGGCAGGCGAAGAAAGCCAGATGCCATGATCAGAGAGCGTGTATTCGGCGAGGAGGGAAGCTGCACTAAGGGCTTCGAGAGGAAAGCGTGGGTATTGGTGATACCATTTGGAATATGCATAAGCCCAGGGAACCTACAACGTCGTGGTTGTCAACTTAGGGAGCGAGCAAAAACCGACATTGATGCGATGAAGGGCATACCTGGCCAATCTCACAAAAGATCTGGCTTTCCTTGATATTGGTCGCGCTCTTATCATATCGCGAGAGGAACCTCACAGCAGAGCGATCTGTTGGAGGTGTCTTGGTAAGGCATTGATTACGATGTCAGTAAACATTCTAGTATGAAGGCTGCTTGAGATGACGTACGAGGATATCCTTATTTCCCATTGATACAATCTGGTTGAACATCAGAAGTACACGGTCCTCATTGTCCGTAATGTTATCCAGACCTGCTGGGTCTGATGTCGGACCAGCCAATAGAAAATGGTCCTATCAAAAACCCATAAATTCGATGACAGGCGTTAGCCTGCGTTCTCGGCGTCTAGAACACGGAAAATGGTAGCTCACCCGAAATGCATACTCCCTCCTGATAGCTGACTTGCTCCTCATAGCCTGATCCTCTGCAGCTTTGTTATACGTCACGGCGATATCAACCTCGCCTTCTGCGAGAAATGCCAAGCTTTCCGTCGTATCACCGAGGTACCAAGCTACCTATGAAACCTCAACAGATATATATTCAATGGTGATGGATAAGGGAATCGAGCGATTCGATCCAAGAAAAACGCCAGCGGGAGAGAGCTAAAGTGAGAAAACGATAATCCTAATAATATCATTTGGTACGTACCAAAAATGGTTGGGACCCTTGGGAGACGCGATACTGGATGTAAGCGTCCGCCCAATTACCAATAAGCCCTGCCTGCCCTGCCCCGCCATTGGCAACACGCACACAGATTTCGGTAGCGTTGGCGTAGCCCCCATTATATACTGCTTTTGGTGTGAGTGCGGAGGCCGACACTTCAGGCAAAACAACGGCCGTGTCAGGCATACTGATAAGGGCAGTATGTCAATATGGGCATTTAGCAAACTCGACGAGTCATAGAGAATGCCATCCAACATAATGAAAGGAATAGTTTTGATATAGGAAGCTGAAAGAAACATGATTTACGTTGATTTTAGGTGACAATATAAATTTTGATTATAAGTGTTCTGACGATCGCCAAGTTGATGTTTCTTGGGATAAATGGTGCTGCAGCAAATGCGATAGTGTATGTTGACGACAAGGGATGTGGAATCCAGGTCAATTTTATAAGGCTGAACTCATGTCATGTAGCTCCATACGGATAAATCGGCGACATGAGGTAGCTGGATGGGGTGTATCGGTAGGTTTGACGGGGGGTCACAGTTTATTCGGCAGATATGAAAGCATGGAAGCAGTCTAAGGTATAGCCTAGGTCCGAAGAAGACAACACTCGATTTCTGCATGTTTTCGACGCTATTTATCAAACAGTAAGAGGCTTCGAGGCAGTCAGGAATGGCAAGTATGGCGACTTATTGAATCGAATGCAAAAGGTTTTGACGGATGGCGCTCAGGCTATTCTGATGAAGATCTGGATCTTTCCAGCAATGACTTGGGGTATACCTGATGTGCCCATCCGCCCCGATACCAAGCATTATCCTTACTATATGTATGTGGATGTGGAGAATGGAAGATGCAAGCGCGTGTATTATGCGATGTGTCCCTATTTATACGTATCTATGAGCTGAATTGGAACTAGATGTAAAAAGAAAGCATACCGGGTACATCTTTCCTTCTACGAATATTGAATATAGGGGCCCTCGTGAACCTTGTCATGGTTCATGGAGCATCAAGTATCTCATCAGGTCCTCATGATGATGAGGGCGGCAGGTTTGCACTTTTAAGGAAGTGAAGATGACAGGCTTCGAGCGAGAAGACTTTTGAAACAACAGGTCATGAGGCGAAGGTCTACTATTTACAAAACCACGTTAATAACAACGCACAGGCCAAGCCGGCGTAAAGAATTACCTTACTAAGGGCCCGTTCGGCAGCCTCCGTTTCAAAACGAGAGCCATTTGCAAACGCCTACACCGCTAATCCGGTCCAACCTCTCCGAAAGGGTAAACGAGCACAACCTCTCGCAAAGGTCTGCGGAGCTATTTGTAAGACATGATTCGTCGACATATGACCTACAACAGTAAAACAGGTATTAATAATGCATCCCACACAGTAGTACAGAAGGGTTGCATAAGGCCTTTGTGTAGTGATCCAAGTATGTTGACAGGCGTAGTTGGTCCATTTGTTTTACTGATACGGTATCCACAATGTTATATTAACACCTTTTGAATGTCTCAGTAGTGTCTTGTGGGCCTCTGTAGTAACACGCAAAAAAGCACTTGTATTTGACATGTGGACAGATTTCCTGACAGCTTCATCATAATTGATAATTTGTACTACAGCATGCCACAGTATTATTGTACCATACAACAGAAAATAAATGAATGTGTGAACAAATGGATATACCAGGAAAGCAATTCTAGCCTAGTGAGAGCGGTCTCCATCAGACCAGGTGGAATAAGTGCTTTCTTTGGTCGGTGCAGTAAGATCTTGCTGTTTTTGAATACTTGCCCATAGCTAGAACAAAGTACAAATAGTGCAACATGTCATCAGTGGAATTGCGACAGCAAAGACAATCAACCTGCCATTGGGAAAGAAAATTGGTGAGGTGCAAGTTCTGGCTGGGAAGCGAAGACAATAATTATAAGACAATTAAACTCAACTTATTAAGCAAGCCATTTAAACTCCGTGTCTCCGCAAACACAATAGAGCTGGGCAAAGCTGTGGTCTATCTAGGTCTTCGTCCTTTTGTGTACTTGCCTTGTCCTTATTACAGATAATGTACTATGAATTTTTTGATAAGTTTGTAAATCTATTGGGACATGAGATGTGCTTGAATTGTGAAATGGTTTGATTGCTTTCCAGAATAGAATTACATTGTAGTCATACTCATAGTGAAGCTCTTATGGATGACCATGCATGGTCTGTACAATGATGAGAAAACATCTATAATAAACATTGAAGAGACGCCACTGGCTCAGCCATAAAAAAAATCAATTCTATAAATATCTTAGAAACGGCTACTCTATACTTCCGGTGCCACCCAGATACCTTTGGTAGACCTTGGAATTTTTGCTATCCATAAATGACTTTGACACAACATTGTACTAAGCTAGGCTTGAATTGTTTGGTAAACCTTTCACCAAGCACTAATCAGGCTTATTACTGATATATGACCAACATTTTTCGTCAAACATGACTGAAGTGTGAGTCAAATTTAGCGGTGTACTTCCCTATTTCAACCGCCACTCTATGCCCCTCTTGGACAAACTGGATGACCATGATAACGACCTAGATGAACCAGAAGATGAACCTGACTATGAGCATGACAACTCAGATGATGAAGATAATGATTAATGACTTACCTGAATGAATTTTATGCTGACATGACCCCTTAATGTGTTGCCATGTTTTGTTCCCTATGACCCTACCTTTATGGAAGCAACTGGGGACAGTTGCAATTTCAAGTTGTCCGTGGATGTCATGCACCAAAGTTGATTGGTAGCATGGACAGGTGTCAAGAATGAAGCGAATATTCAAAAAGACTCGCCTCTGCGCCACACAGGCACAGTGCCATGTGGTATAGTAATTAATATTGCCTTTTCGAATTTGTGGCTGATCAGCACCACCTCTATTAGGCAATCCAGTTGCGTTCACCTTTGCTTTTCCATTTGGTACTTTCGGCATTTCGGCAAATTTTCGCGTCGCCACTGGCTATACATTGCACCCTCGCTTTTGTCGCCCTCCCTTACCTTTTTTTTTCTTTACTCAGTCCCACCATGGGACCCTTACTCTCTTTTTTATTCTCACCCAACAGTCACTTCTGGATCCCTATTCTGGTTCACCTCCTTGTCACCTCCACCCTCCTCCTCCTCATCTTCTTTGCTCCCTCACCATATCTGATGTCACCACTTTCTATCCGTTTCTGTCGCCAATCAGTCAACCACCATGTGCCGCTGCTGATATCAGCAAAGCCCCGGCGGCCGGTCCAAATTTGGCAAAAGGTCCATCTTCATGGCGTCGATCTTCCATCATATACCATCAAAACATCGGTCGCTCGTCTCGCCTGGTTGGAGCGTGGGTGGGTAGTTTTTGAGCTGGAGAAGGTTCATCCCCTTGCGTTGCCCATGTACATCGCCGTCCCATTCACTTGGGTACATTTATCTTTCATCCATTGTCTTCGCTACAGCTACAGCTACCACATGCCTGGGACTCACTTGTTCCAAATTGGAACTACTCCCCTCCCTCCCTTGTTTGACCAGGTGGTCCAGTGCAACCAGTCCATTGGTAAGGCCATGGAACTGTCAGATTTGCACTAGGTGGTGGACTGGTGGCTCCAGTTTGTTTTTTTTCAGCAGAACATTCATTTACAGTGCGATTATTCTTGATTTTTGAATCATTTTTATGGACACATATTTTTTTAGAATGTCTGACTGACAATAAAGGAACTGTGTTGATACTGATAGTGTTTTTTAATTCCCTTTTTCAACTAATGCCTGAAAGTTGAGCCTTGGGAGGGGGGTAGTGTTACAGTTCACAATTTTCAGACTTTTAACTTTCAGTCTCCACTTCAACCTTCTTTCAGACCCTTGTGCTATGTGGCACTTCTTTTATTTTCAAACTCCACTTGTATTATTCACTTTCTCACACTGCACTGCTTCCCTTTATTTGTAGATACAACTCTCTCACATGGTGGAGCTGATCACAAGGGCTGCACCCTATGACATCATCAGCCACCACCCTTAGCAGCTGTATAGTACAACATGTACAAACAAACTGTAGTAGTATATATACCTAATAGATCCAGCAAGTCCTACCCAAAGGAGTTTATCCACTCCTTGTTACAATACACAATTTTTGGACCTTTAATTTTCATTCTCCTCTTTAACTTTATACTGTAGTTTTCACACATTGTGCCATGCAGCACTTTCCATTTTGTTCAAACTCCACCTTCTCGTGCTACACTGCCTTTATTCTTATTTTAGCTACAAGTCTCTCACGCAGTGGAGCTATATAGTACAACATGTACAAACAACCTGTAGTAGTATATATACCTCAATAGATCCAGGAGACTCCTCAGCAAGTCCTCCTGTTGTATCCTCACAACTAACTTGTTGAAGCCTAAAGGGTAACCACTCCCTCATCACTCTCTCTATAGCTTGTCTGAGTTGTGCGCCGGAGTAACAAACTCTTGGTCGTTACACTCCTCCACTCTCCTCTCTGCTTGTCTGAGTTGTGCTCCAGAGTATTCAAACTTTGGTTATTACAGATTTGACCTGATCATACTACTTCCATGTGGACTGTTTGACACCATAGATAAAGTTGTGCATATGCCAAACCAACAGAGCAGATGCCAACCCCTTCCTCAAAGCCAATTAGTTGACACATGTAAATGTCCTTGCACAGCTTAGCCTATAGAAATTCTCTTGTTGCATTGAAAGTAGGGATGCCAAAGTTTGGTTTGGTTTGGTTCTTGGACAATTTGGTCTGAACCCCAAACTGAACCTGCAGTTTAAGTGCTCAAACTGGACTGAACCAAACCAACCAAACCATTCAATGCCCCATGCACGCACTTGCCATATATATGACAGGGGGTGATGCCAGAGGCAGACACTCAAGGGAGGGCCTAGACAACACATTGACACATTGCCTGGGTCCTCCCTTAAGTGGTGTGGCTGTGGTGGTGGTGGTGAGGAGGAGGAGGAGGAGGAGGAGGAGGAGGAGGAGGAGGAGGAGCTGAGGTAGTGGTATGAAGAATAGGTGGTGGTGGTGCAAAGAGGAGGAGGAAGAGGTGGTGGTGGTGAGGTGGTGATGGTGGAAAGGTGATTATCATGAGAGCTGGTGAGCAGTTCCTTGAGGCTGGATAACCATTCCTGCAGTAAATATTATAAAAGTGTTGCTAATAGTAAACCCATCAAAGGAGGCGAAAAATGGGATGAGGAATGTTCAAAGATGAAGCTTTACTTATCTTCGAGGCTTCGATTCAGAGCCACAGATACTCAGACGTCGTCACTGTCAGTGCCAACCTACCAGTAAACGTGACACACGCCTTCAACCGTTTCGTCGCCCGCGGCGCAGTACTAGTAGTACTTCAGAACCATTGTTCGATTTTGACGTTCAACACTCAACCTATTAAAGTAACGATGACCGAGACACAGGGCTTTAAGTCCACATCTAGCTAGTATTCGAAGCTAACGCAACGCAATCATGATTACAAAGTAGTAAGAGGAAGTTAATATATGGTTCTGCATTGTCAAGTAAAGTGTAAGCTGCGACGAGTAAAATGTGAGCGATAACAGACGAAAAACGAAAATATAAAACCAAGGAAGAGATGGAAGAATAAAAGGAATAAGTAAAAGACAAGCCAGTCCGCGCCATGTCCGATATTCACATTCAGATAAGATTAGATCAATGTCCGAGTTATCTTCCTTCCCTTACGAGAACTAACAGCCACCTGAATACTATAAACAGGTATTGAGTATATGGGGAGGATTGGACGAAGTAATTGGAAACATGTCACTTACCATTCCGTTCTTGGGCTTTGGATAGTTCCAAGACGTCAGATTGGAATCTAGAGTGTCCGAACGTCAAAAACCACATCTCAACCAAATACACAACCAAAGAAGGGCTCACTTGAATACGAGTCCATATGTCGGCTTATATAATCCGCGGTAGGGAAGTTAGGAGGACTGCACCCAATATTCGTCTGCCCCTTGATTTGGTAGACTCGCACGTAGTCCACAAGCATCTGCGCAGGGAAGATCATCGTCGTTAGATCGATCGTCTGCCAGTTCGCTGCCAATGAACCTCGTTTAATAAGTATATAAAAACAATAAAGGATCAGGACACACGTGATATCCCGAGATTCAAAATGATGGACTATCGATGCGATGGGTGAGTGTCAAGGCTGTGATGGGAGAAACAGAAGAAGAAAAAAACATACCATAGGCTCAAGAGAGACTAGCCGCTGAGAAACGCCAGTACCATTTGTTCCTTGGTCAGGCCCCATGGCATCTGCTCCCATGCGAACAGTCTGCGATCCATTCGTTTGCCAAGTGACGTAGCCTGCCTGTGGGTTTGAAGGATCAGACCAGTACTCGAACCCTAATCGAACGTTAAAGATTAAAGATTAAACTGCTCTACTGAATCCATAGAAAATACGCTTACCAAACGTCGAAAACTGCTGTCCTGAACCTTGGAAAATAGGGGCGGGAAGCTGTGTCAGGGCAGATACAGCTTGTTGACTGGTGATCATAGACCCGATTAAAATACTACTCCGTAAAGATGAAATTGACTCACACAGCAGATCCTCTGACAAGCAAATGGACAATTTCGGCTGTTATTAAATCGAAAACAAGTCACCACATAAGGCTCACCTGTATGGGTTAGGAACAGTGAGAGCTGGATTATAGACATCCCATTCAATAGTTGTAGCGTTGTTGAAAAGGTAGTCCTGGGTGAACGGCGCAAACTGGGCGGACTGAGAAACAACCTGTCCGTCACCATATTTGTTCTTCTCAACTTCTAGGATATCAAGCTCCGGAGCGCCACGGCCAACATTATTGGACGGGCCTGGGTGATCTTCCCCTGGACAGGTACACGACCTGGCATGACTGGTCTGCTGATATATTCATCACGAGGCACAACGAGTACTCACGATAACCTTTGGCCGGACAACCACGACAGTTCAAAGTTATATTTCGCTTTGGACGAGTCTGAATGTATGGCGGCAGAGGGACCTGATCCATCTGGCAGCGTCTGATTTGGATACGTTCCCACGTCACAAGAATCGTACCTATCCCATTCGAGCAATCAGCCTGGAAAATTGCATGGAAGCTCTTGAATTCGAACTTACGAATAAGGCCAAACACCATCTGTAGTAGCGCCATACCCTGGACGGGCAAGATTGCCCATGGTCCATGCACCAGGCCACTGAAGAAAACTAAGAAATAAAAGAGAAATAAAAGAAGGGTCACTCACGTAACCTTGCGTCTCGGCATTCGGTCCAGGTAAACTCACCGACACCTCGATGTATCCAGTGGTGAAACAGAACTTATTCCAGCTTTGCAGCATTCCACTACGATAGTTAAGTCCGTTGTACGGTATTTGATCCATCGTGATGACCAGCGAACCATTTGCAGTCGTTACCTGATCAGGATAGTACCATTCCTCATCTGCTGTAGACCAATACCACATGTTGGCTGCTTCCCAGAAGGGGTCGTCACCGGGCCAGAATGTCCGTCCATCTAGTTCGAACTCGTCGGAGAACACCAGCTCGTATTCATTACCATCAAAGCCAGTGCGTGACTTTGCAGATGTTGGCGTATCTGGGTCGATAAGACGAGGTAGTTGAATGCTAAAGATAGAACCATTATCACGATAAGCCGGCGCTCTGAAATAGAAAGCAAATTGAAACGACGAACAGAAGAGGAGCTTGGCCTGTTCCGTTAATCATAATGTTACCATCAATTGCTTGCATGTGGTCGTAATTGCGGACGTAACTGAGCACCGGGTAAAATATGAATAAACACAGTAGACCGAGTATGAGGACGAGCAAGACGCCAACGTTGATCATGCCGCGTAGAGGGAACATAGATGAAGATTTAAAGATAATGTGTTTGGGATCATGGAGGAGATCCTCTTCGTCCAATGTGTCCTTGTCGTCCATGGCAGGATCGTATGCATAAGGAACAAGGCCTCGCTGCTGGTGAGCAGAGGGGTACTTTGAGTCTGAGGAAAGCGAAAAGATAGACTCTCCATAGCTTGAGTGTACCGAATTACGATTCGGAAGTATGTTTCGTGGTGGGAGTAAAGCGCCGTGTTCGTCCTCGATGGCAAGGCGATAGAGGACCATCGAACCACGCTGGGTACCATTAAGCGAGGAGAAGGGAGAACCCAAAGCCTGAGAGTCCTCAGAAGCAACACGGTTGAAATGCATGCTTGAGCGCGAATGTGGAAGAGAACGAGAAAAAGGCGAAACTGGTGAGGTCTGAGCGTTGGGATTTAAAGGCGAGGATACGAAAGTGTTGGGCGGTAACGAGTGTGACGGAGATTTAACGATTGGAATTTCAGGAAAGTCAAAGGTGAGCGAGCTCGGTGTGCGAGGAGACACTATGGGGTTCGATTCGTCGTATTCATTTTGGTTTGCTGGTTGAGGGACGTCATGGACGGTCTGAGGGGCATCGCTACTGTTGAGAGATACGCCGTTCGGTTCGCTGTCGCTTGCAGACGAGCGAGGGGAGCTGCCCGAGGACGATGAGGATGCCATGGACGGCGAGGACGGCGAAGACCTATCAGCCATGTGTTAGGAAAAGAACGGAAAGGCCGCTGTAGGATATCTACCAACTAGCGGAAAAAAGGACAGACGAAGTGCCAAGGGCTAACCATTAGGCGCGATTCGCCCAGCCTAGTATCTCGGCTTATCTAATCCCATTCAATATAGTACTAGCACGTACGTGACTGACGCTCATCGCGCTATTGCTCGATGGTGTGCTCGTCGTCGCTGTCATCGATGGTGGTCTTGCGAGGGAGTGGGAGCATCGAGGTCGTTTTGATTTCCCCAGTTTCATAACCTATATATGCATCAAAGTTATATTTATTCCGGTCATTGCTTATGTCTAAATCCGGTCTTCATAGGTCTTTTGCCGCCCGTAACCATCCAGCAATGGTAGCAGCTCTGCCGCATCAATTACCACCGGTTGTCATACACATCACCGGCAGCACCTTATGGAGCAGCAAACCTCTCCTGCGCAGTTCGTACCGCAACTCGTATTGCGAAGCACAAACACTTCCAATCGAGGCTGGGCTGGAGTTGCAGATGCAGCGGCTCATTATAAGCCTCTAGATATCAGAAATACTATTCGGTGAGTCCCTGTTATTTATATAGCCTTGATCTCCTTCGTGGCGTATACTGGGGAATTTTTGGCCTACATTTTTGGTAAAGCCAAACTCAGAAGTCGCTGTCAGTACGCCTCCGAGTCAGCATAAACATGCGCAGGAATGCCAATTTCCATGGTCAATTTGATACTACTATTGGATACGCAGAGGTACACTTTGCAACGTTGCCACTGATTTCCTTGTCAGTGTATCTAGACACCTTTTTGATCAAGCGAAAGGTTCTCTAGAGGTATAACCTAGGACTCACATAAGTACACGGAACTGCTTGCATCCACATCCCCCGGTACTCCCTCTTAATCTACTCTGGTAAATCATAAACGCTCCTTCCTTCCCCTTGCTCTGCTAACCTACTAACACGAGATTTACTTAAGATTATCTCCGAACTCTTTCACTCTCTTGATCCTGGAGATGATATTGGTGGCTATGACACACTATCTCCAAAATTCGTGTTTTTGCCTTTGACTATGATCACTCGGGAAAACCCGTCTTGTCTTCTGCTGTCCTGACACTGGGCCCATATCGATACTCGAGAAAAATGGCAGTGGGGAATTCACTCCAATATACGGATCGTCCACAGAATTGGCGACTATAACCTTTCATCCACCGTTGATGGCGTCTTCACCTTTGACTAGTACTAGGACCACTCAGCCATCTCGTCCTCTCCCGCCGTCGTACAGATATCATAAAACAAAAACGAAGTACTTACTGCTATCTACCGGTTAGATAGTACTAGTGGTGGAACCAGCGGGTATGATTTCAGGTCCCCTAGAGCTCGCGTCTTCGTCTTCGATCTATGATCACTCGGGCAGGCTTGACTACCTTGTTCTGCACCATCCTGTTCCAGGACGGCCTGGATTTTGGGAAAAGGCGAAGACATAACGAAAATTATCCTGTGGGAGCTATGACCTTGCGTCCACCACAGGTCATGTCTTCCCTTTCGATGGTGCCAAGGCTGGCAAGAGTGTCTGTCTCCCACTCATTCATCCTGGCACTCGGACGATCTGGATCCTGGAAAACAATGGCATGATATTCCCCCCCCCCTTTATCAACAGGATGCTCCAGGGCATGAGATTGGAAGTTATGATCTTTCATTGTCTGCGGACCGTGCATTTACGTTTGACTACGGAAAAAACGTCGTTCTCTCTACTGTCCTTGGGTGGGTGCCTTGTCGATTCTATGTCATGATGAAGGACGACTGTTTGTTCCAATGTATCAGCAAGGCGATCCACAAGCAAAGGAAGGTTACGACATTAAATCCTTTACAGACCGTGTATTGTCGCTTTGACCACCGTGACAGTAGTGGAAAGGTCGACCCTGTTACCTTTTGGCATCCCAGGAAAGGAGCGGTCTTCATATTGAAGGATGAATAGTAGCGAGCGTATCTGATAGGTGGTTCACTGTCAGAGGTTTGCTCAAGGTTGTTCTTTTTACTTGTCCTCTATTTCTGGCAGTATATTGGTTCATTGTTTCCTTGTGTGGCCTTATTTCTACCTGCGCCTCTGTCTTCCCAAACCTTCTTACTGTTATGTTGGACGATACTATCTTTAAAGCTCGTTTGTTGGCAAATTCCGCGAATATCTTCGAAAAATTTCTGTTTCTGTATTCAGTATAGTACATATTGAGAAGCCGTCAAGTGACGGCTGACTTCGAAAATAACCCACTCCAAAATAAATCCTGTCGACTGTCTCGAATTATCTGTGTTTCAGCATTAGCAGCGTTCGAAGTAAGCGCTGAAAATATTTCAGGCGCCTGAAAAAAATAAAAGTGATGATTTGTAAGCGTCCTGAAGCTGGAAAAGAGCGCCAAAAATATGGAAATCTTAATTAAAAGATGATAAATATACAAAGTCAGAAATACAAGGTTGTATATAAGGATTCACCTCTGATCCTGTCCGAAAGTCATTCGTACAATGAGTCGCCAACGTCCCACCATCCGCGATCAGCACTTTGATGCTCTTGATAGCATGTTCATTAACGCACAGAGTAAGATCTTCAAGGGTATCATGGAGTCACTATCTAGATCTGCTCCCCTCACACAATCAGATAACGCACTCGAGACCAATTCCCTTACATTGTCTGACTCTGACTCATCCGTCTCGCTGTCTATATTGCGTAGCGACACTTCGACCAACTCTGACGGCACAGGCAATATAGGTCCCATGTTTGGGAATGAGCTTGACATGGAGTCCATTAGTAGCGAGTCGGAAGAGGGCGGAAGGGCTGAAAGTGGGGGCGACTCTGATGCTGAGTCACAAGATGATCTCTCTGATCAGGTCAATTTAATGAGCTTTACCTCAGTCATCTACATTTTCCTCCACAACATGGTCGACCAGACCCGCGTGTTTTTCCCTAAGGGACCCACATTTCGGCAGCCTCAATTAGGTTTGCTTGAGTGGGCGCGTTATAACGACTTGTGGCATTTCTCGCATAAGATCTGGTTACTCCCTCCCATGTTCAATTTGATCGTCGCGCTTATCGAGGCCCACCCAATGTTTCATAATTCCTTGAACAGCCCCCAGTATCCGGTCTCTCTCCAGCTCGCAATTTTTCTAAATCGGGCTGGTCACTATGGGAATGCGGCTGCATGCTCTGACATAGCTGAATGAGCGGGGGTCTCGGCAGGCACAGTAGTCCAAGCTACCAAGCGTGTGATACTTGCCCTCATATCCTTGCATGACATGGCCATGGCCAAACCAACAGATCAGGAGAAGAGGCAGTCAAAAGCCTACATTCAGTCCAAGGTCTGTGCATTGTGGCGCAACAGTTGGCTTTTGGTTGATGGGACGACATTCCCATTGTTTCAGAAGCCTAGCCATTTTGGCGAGGCCTGGTACAATTGATCTTCTAATTACTCCTTAAACGCTCAGGTACGGTTAAATTTAATTAAAATTAAAATTAAATATTAAGTAATCCATGCCACAGATAGTAATACCTCCACACAACCTTCAAATTGTCAACTACGCTCTAGGGCACACAGGCAGTGTGCATGATTCCTATGTGTTTGACGCTACACAAATTGCACGCGACCACACGGCTTTCCTGGATGAAGGGGAGTGGTTGTGGGCTGACTCGGCATACCCACTCCACAAATGGTGTGTAGCGCCTTTTAAGCGGCCCACAAACGGCAATCTTACACATAGTGAACAGCACTACAATTATTTCCTTTCACGTATACATATTTGATCGGAGCATGTTATTGGTCTACTCAAGGGCCGTTTCCAATCATTGCGTGAGCTTTGGGTGCAAATTAGTTCAAAAGAGCGGCACAAATGGGCTGTCATGTGGCTGCAGGGTTGTTTCATTCTGCATAATTTGGTAATACTCATAGAAGGCGAGGAGGCTCTCGACAACTGGCACAAGACTAATGCCGACGGCGGTTATGCCAACCATGATGGAGTCGACGATGATACAAGCAAGTCTTCAGAGGATATTCCAGAAGACACAATTGGTGCCTTGGAATTACCAGAAGCCCCAAGCAGAATAGATGGTGTGAATATCCCTGAGGGGCAACTTTTTTGACATCGTCTTATGCTTGGACTTTTTTCCAGTGAATTGTACTTAGATTAGATACTTTGCAATAATATTCAAACAACATGGTCATTTTTTTCAATGGAAAAGTAGATACATATTGTCAGGCAACAAATACGAAGCTATATAACAAAACTCAATGCCTGGTCAAGTCCTTGCTGAAAGGCGGTGAAGCAGGGTGTGAGAGTTGAAGAGTATCGATATAGGCGTGAATCCAAATTAATATTGAACTAAAGAATAATACAACGAGTATGTACTTCCTTATATAGTGAACAACAATGGTCAGACCGAGAAAGGGAAGAGTTAAGAAAGTGGTCTGACCAATTAACTAACCAATAGAAAAAGAAAAAGAAAGTGGTCCGATCTATCGTATTTACTAATTGTATGAGAGAAAATATTGGTAAGAGATGTACAATTGGCTGTGTCAGTAAGCCCATGAGAAGGCGCTGACTCATAGCCTTCCTCGCTTATCAATATCCCTCCAAAGTATTCCCAGACATAGCACTGGATTGTTGCTATGTCATTTGGATATCTTCTCGAGGGTCTACCATAGTTCTCCTTCGTTGTAAGTATGATAGGACGTGAGTATGAATGGAGAATAAGAAGAAAAAGGATAAAAGTAATAGAATATCAGCTGTAATCTCTAGTCCAAGAGCGAGAGGAGTGACAGGGAATGACTCAGATAACCACAACATGATGAGTATAGCACAAGCACAACATATTCAAATTACTCAGCATTCCCCTCGTCAACCGACATGGGTTCATCTTCTCCATCGGCATCACTATCCTTGCTATGCCGGATCCGCGCGCAAGAACTGAAAAGCATGTCTTCATATAAAGTGGTGGACACAGAGGGGGATGTTGAGGAAGAGCCAACATGCCCAGGTAGGGAGTGTTGAAGGAAGCTGGTGTTACGCACGAAGTGCTTAACAAAGTTTGAGGGTTCGTCGAGGTTTATAAAGAGACTTATCCGAAGACAAGTTCGAGAACATAGTTCTGAGTGGAGGTCTTCCAACAAGAGTTGGTCTTCTTCTGAGTAGAAGTCTGATCTTAGGAGTCTAGCTTTGTAAGCGTAAACTGTGTAGAATCGTATTGGAGTATACTACTGCTGTTACATGGTATTTATAATGGAAAGGAATCAGTGATAGGAGTTAGGTCCTATCTAGGGCAGGTCTGTCCGTTGAGGACTAAGTACTATAATAGGTACTGCGAATGTGAGAGGAACGGAAGTATACGTGAAGGAAATGAGTCATTGGTCCGATGGTATAACCGATGAGTAAAAAGAAATGAGTAGTACTTAAATGTCCAATAGAGATCGTAACATTACCCCCTTACTCGCTTCGAGTTTCACCGAAATTCGGTACCTTCGCCGTCCATATTGTAACTGTCATCGTAGCTGATGTCTCCATGTAATCCTTCCATCAGAATCCTATCCTTGTCTTCCCTGCAGATGGGACACCAATTGAAACTATGTCCCGGTGCACAACGGTCACAGTCGGGGCAATAGTAGGCTTCACAATAGTATGTGCGATGATTGCTCCAACCGCAGTTTTGGCAGTATGGAGCGTTGTTACGAACACCTTCATGGTATCTTTGTTGGGTGTTGGATGAGGTGTTGGATTGGGGAGTGGTTGGATCGTCATCTCCCAGGTCGTACGTTCCTGCGTACAACTGATCGATCATGGCTGCGTCGTCATCTACATTGATTGGGTTGGAGGGAGAGCCAGTCTCAGGCCTGTGCATTGCGCCAGGCGGACTGTCTTTCTGTCCCTTCGACATATGAGACTGCCGTTTTGATGGAGTTCTGGCGGCGGGGATCTGGAGTATCACCTCTTGCCGGCCGCGTCGAGCTCCTTGTCGGTTCGTCAGGCGATGGGTTTGGGCGTTTGGCACTGGTCGAGGTGGAGATGATGGGGGAGACAGTGGTTTTGGGTTCAACCCAATGGAACGGGGACTGGAGTGGCTTGACTCTTGTGAGATTGGGCTGGTTGGGACGGTGGGAATAGATTTTTCCTCCGACAGGATGGGCGTAGGTTGACGGGTGATGATGTGGTAAGTGCGCTCTGGGGTAACACTGGTCTGGTCTGGGTGCGACAGGGACCGGAGGGACAAACCGGGTGGAGGAGTACTCGTACAACCGTCTCGCTCTATCCGCGTGCGAGCTTCTTTTAGCAATGTCCTCCCGCCTGATTCCAAATATTCCTTTGCCGAGTCTATCTGCCCATTCGAGGAGCTCATCCTCAAGCGTTGTTCCAAAGATTTCAAAACTAACTTTTCCATCCGGAGTGCCCGATGTCAATGATGAGAACTGTTGTTAGAAAACCACACACAAAAACAAACTAACACACAATCCTCCCAGATTCCACGGAACTTGTTTATGGGCTTTGTCTCCTAGAACAGTGGGTGCTCTGGTTGTTCGTGGGGTGGTATGTATAAGGATCCTTCAAAGTAAAACCCAGAGATGTATGGGTGTGAGTTTTGAGGAGGAGGGATAGTTGAATTTATAGAAGATAGGTGCTTAGTGACGAGTATAGATGAGCACTACCTTGCTAATCGTAGCACAAGGTAGGTTTGAGAATGACAATATGACGGAGTTCCCAGTGATAGCAGGCTCCTGATGCACAAACTGTAGTGCTCAGAAGGACTCTAATCGAAAGGGATGACAATGACTTCAAAAGTGGGAAGTGACGATGACAGCAGTTGACAGTGGTAGAAGTGGGAAGTGTTGTGACCACACTGGATCACAAGTAGCAGAGTAGTGAACTTGAGAGTAGAGAAGAAGTCTGGATTGGAGTTCTTGTTGTTTTACAAGGTAAAAATACAGGGGTTTATATAGTGAAAGAAAAGTAGGCTATGCACAGTATAGCTGTGCAAAAAGAATGAGAAAGAACATGAAGGAAGGAATATATGCTGACAAATCCTGCGTAGGTAGTACAGGATAAGATTGTCAAAAAAGGAAAAGAAAGAGATAGAACAATGAATGCTGTGAGTAATGTTACAGGTTTGTACAGCCATAAAGTAAAGTCCAATAGCAAAAAGAGAGCAGGAAAATCCTGATGTCATGGGAAGATGCAGTAAAAAAAGGGCAAGGCAAAACACTATCAGTATCAACACAGTTCCTTTATTGTCAGTCAGGCATTCTAAAAAAATATGTGTCCATAAAAATGATTCAAAAATCAAAAATAATCGCACTGTAAATGAATGTTCTGCTGAAGAAAAAGAAACTGGAGCCACCGGTCCACCACCTAGTCCAAATCCGACAGTTCCATGGCCTTACCAATGGACTGGTTGTGTTGGACCACCTGATCAAACGAGGGAGGGAGAGGAGTAGTTCCAATTTGGAACAAGTGAGTCCTAGGCAGGGTGTGGTAGGTGTAGCTGTAGCGAAGACGATGGACAAAAGATAAGTGTACCCAAGTGAATGGGACAGCAATGAACATGGGCAACGCAAGGGGATGGACCTTCTCCAGCTCAAAAACTACCCACCCACGCTCCAACCAGGCAAGGCGAGCGACCAATGTTTTGATAGTATATGATGGCAGATCGACGTCATGAAGATGGACCTGTTGCCCTATTTGGACTGGCCGCCGGGGCTTTGCTGATATCAGCAGTGGCACGTGGTAGTCAACGGATCGGCGATGGAAGCAGATAGGAAGTGGTGACATCAGAAATGATGGGGGTGCAAATAAGATGAGGAGGAGGAGGGTGGAGGTGATGAAAAAGTGGATTAGAATGGGGATCCAGAAACGACCGTCAGGTGAGAATAAAAAGGAGAGGAAGGGGCCCATGGTGGGGCTAGGCAAAGGAAGGGGAGTAAGGGAAACAACAAAAGCGAGGGCACAATGCAATGTGTAGCCAGTGGCGACGCGAAAATTTGCCAAAATGCCGAAACGCGGAAAGTACCGGATGGAAAAGCAAAGGTGAGCGTGACTGGATTGCCTAATAGAGGTGATGCTGATCAGCCACAAGTTCAAAAAGGGCAATATTAATTACTATTCCACGTGGCACTGTGCCTGTGTGGCGCAAAGGCGAGTCTTTTTGAATATTCACTTCGTTATTGACACCTGTCCATGCTACCAATCAACTTTGGTGCATGACACCGACAGATACTCAAGTCCTGACTGTTGAGCCGCGAATGCTCGCTTTCCAATGAATGTATTGAGTCTATGGCTTTTAGGAGTTCGTCAGCTATGAGGTCTATGGCAAGGAAGGTATGCATGGAAGAAAGAGCGTGATACGCATAGGGGCAGCATTTTTCGGTCTCGTAAAAGAGATAGGTATAGGCGTCTTTTGCTGACATTAATTCTATGGCATCAGTGATGTCGGCTTGGTTGTGTCGTTGCCCACAGGCGAAAGACACTCGTTCGTCGGCTAGCCAGTTGGCGTCGCCGGGTATCGAGTAGGTGGTGATAGGGAAGCTGGTGGAGTTAGAAGTAGACATGTTTTGTGTTGAGAGACAGAGGATTGTTGGTAGTGGGGTGATTGTCTCTTCAACGCAGCTTGTGGTCCTTCTTATAGGCTTCCAGTATCTCCGCAGCATTGGTTAAATGTTCTTCCGGTTCCCATGAGTTTTCGGGATGAGGGTAATGGCGCCATTTAATCAGGTAGTGGCGCCCGCGTTTCCAGGGTTTGTATCTAAGAATACTTTCTACTTTGTATTCCTCTTCTTCGTTGACCAGGTCAGGTGGTGGTCGGATAAAGTTTGGGCCGTGAGTGTTGGTTTCCGTATACGGCGTGAGAAGGGATGCGTGGAAAACATTGTGTATCCTCCAATGGGGAGGCAGGGATAGTCAGTAGTTCACCGGGGAAATCTTTTCTTGGATGCGGAAAGGTCCGATGCATTTCATGTTGAACTTCTTGTATTAGGTAGCTTTTTCTCACAGGTTGGTGTTCTCTAACCACACCTTTTGTCCTTTGGAGAATCGCATGAACTTTCCGTTGTTTCATTTCATCATCTTGCTTCTCGCGAGTTCGTGTGCTTTTAGGGCGTTTTCCCTTGCCCTAAGCAGTTCGGGTAATCGTTTTTCCACTGATGGGATATTTGTGGATCTGTGTTTAGTCGGGATTCCTCGGGGTTCATATCCCATGAGGAGGTAGAATGGTGATTGGTTGTTTGTGGAGTGTGGTCTTTGGTTGTGACAGAATTCGGCGGTTGTAAGGTATTTTGCCCAGCTGTGTGGTTGGTTCTGGCAAAATATGCGGAGGTAGATCTCCAGTTCTTGATTGGATCGTTCTGTTTGTCCATCCGTCTGGGGATGATACGCAGAGGAGAGTGCGGTTTCAATGTTCAGGAGTTTGTGGAGTTCTTTGGATACTTCAGAGGCGAACTGTGGTCCCCTGTCAGATATGAGTTTATCGTGCAATCCGAATTGTTTGAAGATGGAATCGTGAAAGATTCATGCGGTTTCGAGTGCGTTGATGGTTTTATGACAAGGTGAGAGGATTACCCCCTTACTAAGTCCTTGGTCTACCACGACCATTATACTGTCGTATCCTGAAGATTCTGGTAAATCAGTTATGAAGTCTACAGATAGGTACTTCATTGGTTCTGCGGTTTTTGGGGTCTGGTTTGGGATTAATGGTACGGTGGTGGGATGCGTGTTTACTTTTGCTTGTTGACAAGTTGCGCATCCTTTCACGTATTCTTCCACTTGTTTCATCATTCCTGGCCACCAATAGGCCTTTTTGATCATCGTGGTGATCTTTGATGATCGTCTTTTGTTCTTCTACTTCGTCAATCAGTAATTTATTTTGATAAAAGAACTGTCCTTCTTCTTTTCTCCAATCCTCTTTCTTCGTTATTCTTGGATAATTATCGTTTGTGAGCATGGCTTGCTCAATTGTGTTTTTAATTGTTCGTGTGTGATACAGGAACGCTGAGGCGGGTATCATTGGTGTGTCATTGTCGTCTCCTTCTGTTTTGACGTATAAATCAGGTCTTCTTGAGAGTGCGTCGGGTACCACCATGTGGGTTCCTGGTACGTGCTCCAAGGTGTAATTGTATTGCGACAGTTCCAGCTGCCATCTTCTTTGTCGTGGTGTGAGTTTCCTGGCTTTTTGCCAGTACGTCAGGTTCTTGTGATCTGTCAGGATTTGGATCGTGTGGGGGCTTCCCAAAAGTAAGTGTTTCCACTCTTTTAAAGCTCTCATTACCGCTAATAACTCTTTGTCGTAGATCTGGTAGTTCTTTTCAGCGGGGGATAGAGTTTTGGAGAAAAATGCACATGGGTGCCATTGTCCTTGGTCATTGGGTTGCATTAATACAGCTCCTGTGGCGTGTTTGCTGGCGTCTGCAGCAATTTTTGACGGTTTCGAGGAGTCGGGAATTTGTGTTACGGGGGATTTGAGGAATTTTTGTTTCATCAATTTGAAAGTGTCATCTTCAGTTTGTGTCCAGTTCCACTTCCTATCCTTTTCTAGTAAGGCATTCAAGGGTCTGGCAAAGTCAGAGTAATGACCGATAAACTTCCTGTAGAAGTTTCCATAACCTAAGAACTTCCTTACGCCTTTGGTGTCTTTCGGGATTGGCCAATTGCGGATCCCAGCGAGTTTGGCTGGATCCATTGATACCTGATTGTGGGAAACAATCATTCCTAAGTATTCAATGGTTTCTGCTTCGAAGGTGCATTTTTCTAGTTTTAGGAATAGGTCGTTATCGCGTAGTCTTTGTAGAACCTGTTTTGTTTGGATTTGGAGTCTTTTGATGTTGGTGTCAAAGATGAGGATGTCATCCATGTATATGATCATCCAACCTTCATCAATGTAGTCTTTGTGTCGTTCATCAGCCTTTGGAATGTTGCCGGTGAATTGCACATGCCGAAGAACATGACTGTTGGTTTGAACACTCCCTTGCTGGTTTTAAACACAGCTTTCCATTTGTCTCCTTCTTTTATCCTTACATTGTTGTATCCCCAACGTAGATCTAGTTTCATAAAGATGGTGGCTCCTTTCAATTTTTTGATGAGGTCGGGTATCAGGGGTAGTGGATAGGGGTCTTTCACGGTATATATGTTCAGTTTTCTGTAATCTTGGCACGGTTGGAGTGATCTGTCCTTCTTGCTGATGAAGAAAAAAGGGGACACCTGTGGCGACTTGCTCAGCCTGATGTATCCCTTTCTGTAGTTTTCCGTTAAGAACTCCGTTAATGCTTCGTCTTCCTTTGGCGCCAATGGGTATAACTTGCAATCTGTTGGTACAAATTCTGGTTTCATGTTGATTGCATGATCATATTCTCGTCGCTTGGGGAGCCTTTCCGACTTCTTTTTGTCAAAGACGTCCAAATACCCATTATATTCATCCGGGAGGTTATGCTCCTTCTTTTCTCCATGTATTTGCGCGTGTTCCATTGCCGAGTTGACTTTTAATCGAATCGTGGTTCGAGGATAGGGTGTTTGGTCGGATACATATCTATGAATGGTCTCATACACATCTTCGTTTACTGCGGTTGTCCTGATATTTGTTTCCGTGGTTGTTTGGTTCATCCTGATAGAGTGTTTGTCCGAGTTTGGTAATTCCTTGTCTTTCCAGTTAATGACAGGATTGACTTTTTGTAACCAGGGAAATCCCAGTAATACGTCTTCTCCGTCTAGTCCGGTCAATAGGAACTTTGTGAACCTGTTTTGTCCTCCTGCATCTATCCTCTGATAGGTGCAATGCGTAATTTTTCCGTTTTTGTTCGTGGTTCTGTCAACATTTTTACATGTTATAGGAGTTGGGAGTTTTTGGAGGGGGATTCGGTGTCTGATGGCAAATTTTGTGTCCATGAAGTCGTCTGTAGCTCCTGAATCTATCAGGGCTTTGGTTCCGATGGTTTTCTGTTTCAACGAGCAATTGATTCGTAAAGAGTTGGCATTGATTGTCGCTATTGTTACAGTTGCCATTTTCAACGGTACTAACATCGGGGTAGTCCGTCGTTTCAAAAACCCTCATCTTCTAATTCTTTCATCGCCTCTGTTCTTCGATCTTCTCCTAACTCCCTCCACATCCTCATGATGTTTTGGACCCTGTCTTCTTCCACCACTGTTTTGGTGTCATCTTCCGTTTCGGTTTGACGTACCTTTCTTTTGGGAGTTTTTCCTTTGTTCCTACAATTCCTTCCTATGTGTCCTTTCTCGTTACATATGAAGCATCTTCCCTCTTTCCTCCTTGATTCTTTTTCATCTTTGGTTAATCTTCTGGTGCTGGTGGATGGTCCACTTTTGCGGTTTATGTCGTTCTGTCTTTCTTTGTTTCTGGCACCCCACGCTCCTTCCGAGATAGTGTTGGCACTGATCCAGTTGGTGTCTAGGTTTGCTACTGTGCTCATCCAGTCTTCGATGGTGAGTAGTTCCTTTCCGGTGAGTGCCCTGCGAAGGAGGGGTGGCCAGATAGCCTTTGAATAAACCATGATCATGGCTTCGTTGTTGATGCCGCTTTTCCCAGCATCTAGCATGAACCTTGAGTTAAACGCTACTGCATTTTCTCCTTGTTCCATCTTCATTTTCATCAAGGCGGCCGAGGCCGTTCCTTTGACGTTTGCCATTCTGAAACTGGCTGTGAAGGTTTTCATGAAGTCTGCCCATGCGGGGTAGGCATTCTTCTCTTTGTATTTGGTCATCTTGGCTTCGCTCCATGAGGCGGTGTTGCCGTCCTTCATGTAGCTGAGGGCCACATATACCTTTTTCTTGTCGGAGTTGTAGATGGTGTCGTTGATATCAAAGAGTAGATCGGTGGACAATATCCACCTTTGGGCTTTATCTGGAGTTCCATCAAAGTCATCAATTTTCCCGATCATCGTGGGTTTGGGGGCTGCAGCGTTAGACATGGTGTGTGGTGGTGGGATGTGGGATGGAGCAGGTGCGGCGGGGAGTATCTGTGGAGTGGGAGGTGGTATCGGGTTGCCGCTTGCTGCAAACTCTTCAAAGTTGTTCTTGTTGTAGAGGTTTTCTATGGTTACTGGGGGATTGCGTTGTGTTGTGGACAGTAGCTGTGGGTGGCTTCCTGCGTAGTACTGTAGCCAACGTGTTCTGGCTTCGTAGAAAGCATCTGCTTGTTCTCTGGTGTGGAGTCGGGTTACGTCTGGTTGGGGAAAGGGAGGTGGTGCTGCTATTCTTTTTTGTCAGGATGATGTTGGTGGGGTTGCTGTTTGTGGGTTGTCTGAGCTTCCTCTTGCTCTCTGGGATCTGGTTGTTGGTTGTTGCGACGTCTTGTCGACTTTTTCTTCCCAAACCTAAATAGGTGGGACTTCTGTTTAGAATACGATTCTTTTGTTACGCACAAAGTGCTTAACAAAGTCTGAGGGTTCGTCGAGGTTTATAAAGAGACTTATCCGAAGACAAGTTCGAGAACGTAGTTCTGAGTAGAGGTCTTCCAACAAGAGTTGGTCTTCTTCTGAGTAGAAGTCTGATCTTAGGAGTCTAGCTTTGTAAGCGTAAACTGCGTAGAATCGTATTGGAGTATACTACTGCTGTTACATGGTATTTATAATGGAAAGGAATCAGTGATAGGAGTTAGGTCCTATCTAGGGCAGGTCTGTCCGTTGAGGACTAAGTACTATAATAGGTACTGCGAATGCGAGAGGAACGGAAGTATACGTGAAGGAAATGAGTCATTGGTCCGATGGTATAACCAATGAGTAAAAAGAAATGAGTAGTCCTTAAATGTCCAATAGAGATCGTAACAGCTGGAAGAAAGCAACGAGGATGACGGTGCAGATGAGGCCGAATTGTCGACAAGAAGGGATGAGATGAGGCGGTTATTGACACCAGGGATATCCTTCACCGTTTGGAGCATCTTGAGCTTCATCTCAAGCATGTCCTTCTCATGCTGTTGCTGTTTGCGATCACATTGCATCTGACCGTCGTTGATCATCATAAACTTCTCCTTGAATTGCTTGTGTTCCAAGGCTAGGAACTCTGTATCCTTTACCCGCCTGTCACTCCGTGCACGCTCTGCTATAGCTGTGTACTTTGCATTCTTAGCAGCTACCTTGTCTTCCTTTACAACAAGTCTCTCCTGCGCAAGTTCGTTCCTCCCTTGCATGGACTGCGTAATAGGTTCTATGACCTTCTGCATCATGGACATACTGTCCTCCAGTTGGGATTGTTGACGCTTGCGAGACTTATTGTCCGTTTTCTCTGCCTGAGTGATTTCTGCTGGACCAGTTGAGCTGGTTGCGCTGGCTCTCCTATCTGTAGTGACACGACACTCCGTGATAGTATCCTTGCCCAAGGCAGCCAACTGAGCTCGGAGAGCGTCTCTGACCGTTAGTGGTGCAGATGTACACTTTACAGATTTCTGAGTTTTCTTGGGCAGAGGGGAAGATGGAGGCGAAACCGTGGGATTGCCAGGTGAGGCGGGAAGTGGATGAGATGAAGGAGAGCCGGTAACAAGTGAACCGGAAGAACCGGAAGCAACCTGGGAAACGCAAACTGACGCAGTTGGGGATTGGTTGCTAAGCAGACCTGACGAAGAAGACATGGGAGGGCCTGATGAAGGAGACATTGGAGGTTGGGGCTGGAGTTGATCATGCGTGTCAGGTGGGAACATAGAATCAAACGACGAGAAGAAATGATTAGCTTGAAACAAAGAAGACAATGATTGGTGGTAGGCACCAGGGAAAAGCCCTGAAGCGTTTGTGTGAAAGAAATTTGGGTCCATGGATGACAGTGAAGGGAGTGAAGTTCCAAAGATCGATGACATTGCAGAAGACAATGCCCCAGAGTCGGTGAATGGAGGATTTTGAACATCGGATAACTGATGGAGCTGAGAGACTTGCTGTGATTGATTGTTATGCTGATAAGCCTGGCCACCACTGTAGACCTGCACGCCCTCCTGGTGTGCCGGCTGATAAGCTTGACTATCACCATGAGTTTGCATGTCACCTCGGTGAGGCTATTGTGGTACAGCATTGCCAAACTGAGAGCTTGTTGCGGTCCCAAGCAAAGCACCTTGGTTAGTATGCCAATGCTTTTTTGGAAAGAGAAGATTGTATGCTTGTGCTTCATGATCCTGGCCTAGATCTGAAGACATTGTAAAGGGGTTGTAGTTAGGAATTTTCCTCCAGAAGCCATGAAGGCGATGAAATATCTTGAACTTGTCGGTTATTGCACCTGACATCAATGTTAACGGATTGTAGAGAATCACTAAAAAAATATGAAGGAACTGATGTATAAACACACCAATTGGCCCCCTATAATTGGGGTTCCTCTCCAGTTGCTCATAAGTTAAACCAGCCCCAGTGTGTCCCAGTGTCTCACAGGACTTTTGGTATTTTTTTTCCAACCTGTATTACAAGAACTATCAGTATATTTGATCAATCATGTAAGTGAAAACTTACAAGACAAGATGGTTATCGACTGCCTTTGAAAATTTGGCAGGATTGGATTTGAAGGCAGCACAAATAGAGGTATCTCTGTCTACAGCAAATATATACCTGGCAAACTCACCATGAATGACAACCTTGCTGAACTTTGCCTGACCCTTCTTCCTACCCTCCTTGCTAGCATCTTGTTGGGAATCCAAGAACAGAAGACACCTCTGCTCAATGTTCTGCTCTAACCAATCTACGAGGCAATCAGTTCGCTCTGGCGTCCACTTGACCTTGAAACGGCCTTGGGGGGTCTCATCATCTCCCAAATTGAATCTGTCATCGTTATTGTCATTGTCGACAGGAGATGGCATGAAAGCAGTGTGGCGGGACATGGCGTGGGTTCAAAGGACGATTTACAAGTGTGTTTGCCATTGGTAATATGATGTGGGTTCAGGCAGAGTTACTAACGTGAGATTTCAAAAATTAAATTTTTCGAGTTTTTGTCGTAAGCGCGGTGTTTCTTTCCAGCTTCAGGACGCTTACAAATCTTGACTTTTATTTTTTTCAGGCGCCTGAAATATTTTCAGCGCTTACTTCAAACACTGCTATTAATAGCAATGGCTCAGATGCCTGCTTTAGCCAGTGTTGTAGTAAATTATATATCTCTCGGCTGAAGCAGTAGGGGTATCAGAAAACCCAATATTTTACCTTGACCTGCTATACAAACAATATCCCAGTCTCCTTTTGCTATTGCCTGTGAGGCAATGATAAACTATAACAAAAACAAAACCTGTCTCCTTCTGCACTTGCAGGGAGTAAGGGGTTCAATGAGCTTGAGGTCGACAGACGCTAGTAAATATAGCGAGTAGAGGACTTTGAGAGGTAAGCTTCAAAGGTTTTTGTTGAGGAGTAAAGCGGGTAAATTCAGTAATAGAAAACTAAAGAGCTATACATGAATAGGTAAGACTTTATATAGTGAACTGTTCATTCCTCAGACCGAAAGGGGAATAAACAAAAAGTGGTCTGAGGAACCAATCGGCCAATAAGAAAAAGAGAGAACAACTATCGTACGACTTTTAACTTGATTAATCAGCGGGTGAGAGGTTTATACCAATAATAGAGGTTTGTTACGCGTGTTCAGGAACCGTATCCTCATGATGAGGTACAATCCTGAACAAGGTGTTTATTAGTATATCCAGGCTTTACTGGGGCTTGGAGCTGGTTGGCGAGATGCCTACTACCAGTCCCTACTCAGTATGCTGGCTGGCTGGGAGTGATACCCAGTCTCTGATTTGTGATATAAAGTGGTAGTGATGGTTAAAAAAGCCTGTGAGGGCTATTAGAAGTAAAATGGCAAATGATACCTCTAGCCCTAGAACCAGAGGTGTAATGGGAAAAGTGTTCGAGAACCAAGACATAGAGAAGATAAGAAAATGATAAAATGGTTCTTACATTGCCTGCCCAACTTTGGCTTGAAATAGACATGGATAAAGGCCTATACACTCCTTTGTTAGATCACAAATTTCTGGCAGCATGTGAATAATGCAATGTCTTGATGGAGAAGCCCCAATGGATGACATGTGGGCAGATACTGCTGGATTGGGCAACTTTGATCAAATTTCCAATTTGGATCATTTTTATTTTTATTACTTTTTCGAAGTCAGCTGTCACTTGACGGTCACTAGTCACTGTGGCTGACTTGCTTTACAAATGCTAAAGTCCAGCCGCTGTGGAGAGGTTCAGAATCAAAGTTCAGCTGACTTTCAACATTTTCTCATCATGTGCTTTCTTGCGATGTCGGGATGATCAATTGTCTCTATTCTCTAGGATACATTCTGAACCTCAAAACAGTGGATGGGGAGGAGCCTGGGTCTGCGGTGGATTCCTACTATGGGCTAACAGGACCCCGGATAGTCCCTAGGGAACCCAGATTGCCAGAATGTTGGTGGTGTCCGAACAATTTTCAAACCTTGCAAGTGTAAATCTGTCTGGACCAGACTCTGGGTTCAGCAGGTTTGCTTGAAGTCCAGAAATTTGTTCGGATGCATGATCTGGGTTCATAAAAATTGCTTTCGAACATGTAAAAAAAGCTGTTGCGGGCATTTATTTGTATAGTAAAACCCTAATTATCATTGTCGACCACTTCTGGCTGACTAGCATCTCAAAAGCCCTTGTTTGCTTCTGTGATCTGTGCCCCAGCCATCCTAAGAGTTTGATATGAGGCCAAATTGCACTGGTGTAGTTCAATTCCAGTTGGAATCTTTCGTGGTGGAGCAGAAAGAACAGTCAGGAAAGCTGTTGATGGAAGGAGTAAGAATTGGTGGCATTGAAAAGCGGCAGTGGCATCAGGGATAGAGTAGAATTGCTCGCAAAAATGCCGTTGGAAAATCTGAGCAGCCACATAAAAAATGGCAGAGATGGCATCAACAGATTCAACACTGGTGACTGCACTGTGCTTTCCATTTTTCCTGCCGCCCTTTCCCTTTGTATATATAGTAATCACTTTTCAAAAAAAAACATCAGCTAGATCTGTAGGACGTGATTTAACAGCTCACTTCCGAATCATATAACCTCCATCACTCATATATTGATTAGATGAGGCTGATTTGATTCTGGTTCAATGTAAAAAAATTACATTCCACCGAATTGAACCCATGTTATTGGGATGAAAACATACATTGTAAATAGACTATAACCATTACACCGTTGATACGATACTTGTCCCTTGCCTCGAAATGGCCAAGTCTCAGCCCATGTCTGGACTGAAATCTGGGTGAATTGGCCTTCAGAATTGTTTAGTGTCCGGATGTGCATCTGGGTTCCCTAGGGACTATCCGGGGTCCTGGGCTAACCAGTTCGCTGAAATTACGTAAGCTTCGGCAGGGGAAATCACCTGCTACCGGCTCATTCGCTCTGCAGCCGTCACTGCCAGCTGTATATATCTCTCGGTTTCCTATTCCTAGGTCCAAAAATCAAGGGTAGTTTTGCAAGGACACCGTAACATGTCTTCCATAGAGTCTATCATCTTGGACCCGACTTTTCACGATTTCCTTGCCGTACTAAAGGGTGCTAGGAATGGTTTCGTATACGGAGTTAAAGTCAGATTTCCTCATGCATTGATCATGGCTATACTCTTTGGACGCGGCGAGTACGTTTGGCTCATTATAAATCTATGGAATATGATCAACTGATAACGTCCGACTTACTAGCTGGAGATCTCGTCTACACGTCATCTACAAAGCAACCAAACAACATGCAGTGAACTTAGCCAAGTTCGTATCATTATACAAGATCTTTCTTTTGATCCAGAAGAGGATCAACGGCGGGAAAGAGCGTAGTGCAGACACATTTATCGCTGGCTTATTGGGCGGATATTTCGTGTTTGGGGATAGAACAGCTGTAAACGAACAGGTGCGTAGATAACTCCGTTCTTCCCCCGTCTTTTCTACACCTAAGGCTGTCGAAAACTGTCTAGATCGTCCTTTATGTTGTATCAAGAGTTGTTGCATCATTCATACCTCGAGCGGATGCTCCGTACTCAAAATCACCATCATCTGGCGGTGTCACTAGACCCGTTCCACCGGACTCCCGCTATTTCACGGTATTCGCCGCTCTATCTTGGGGGGCCGTCATGTGGTTATTCAAACATCGGGGAGAAACGATACAACCGGGCATGTTTAACTCGATGACATATCTTTATCGCGACTCGGAAGTATGGAAGGACTTGCGAACCTTATTCTGGCACAACACGTAGATGTCGGTTCCTATATTATAAACGATACTCCTTTCCATGTTGGCAACATAACCCAGGACAGTGTATGGAAATCGAGATTAGTGTTTTTTATTCTAGCGGTTGTTGCACCTTGCATCAAATATTATGTCACGCTAGGGCTACTCATAATATCCCTTGGAATATCGCACACGACGTACTATCAATATATCGACCGACTATCATCGATATTGAATTAGTTCAGCAAGGGAGACTAACGAAGTACTCGCATCAAGCAAACTTAAATTTGCACGACAAATGATAATCCTGTTCTGAATTTCATCACACAATCCACTTGAAGTGAAAGCCTCGTCCGAGACTGATAGGGCAGCTTTACGCTTCTGAGCAAATGGCCCATAGCCTGGGTCAGCTAGTAATTTTGAGATACTTTATATAGTGATAGTAAGTGTGTATCTGTCTTCACTCATTTTTCTTAGATAACAGAATAACTGGCGCGCCGTCTTTCACCTTCAAACCATCTTTGCCAAAGTAGTGCTCACATTCCCAATCCCAACTATCATGCCCTCTGTGAGGCTATGAGAAGACTAAAAGAGAGTATTTCTTAGTCTTATAATCAAGAGACTAATATTGAAGGATAATCTACCTAAAAGACAGTATTTCTAACAGTGTAAAGTGAGTATGATGATATAAAGTAAACTGTAAAATAACCAGACATACCTCAGTCTTATAATCAAGAGACTGAGGTTTGTGTAAGACAGAGTGCTACGAGTTTTTGGAATAAGTGTGGGAAAGTTCTGAGCTTATGTAATATAGTGGAAAAAGCGGTCAAGTAGAGATGAAAGAATGGTGTATGGAAATGAAGAAATAAAAGTATAGGATGTGATCAAAGATATCTACTATAAACCAAATGCTAGGTACAGAGTAAGTATATCACAAAAACAAGGAAGGTATAAGATCCTTATCTCAGACTTCGTGGGCAAAGCTCTGAGGTGGGCAATCGTTGCTACGAAGGTTTTTAAACTCGAACGGAAGTATAACTAAGGGGGTAAATTGCCCCATCAAAATGCACAGGCCATACTACTACTACACTTTCCTAGTATGGTGTCCCACACCATACTTTCCCTTCATACGACGCTTGTCTTCGTCAACTCGCGTTTTCTAACATGTGAGTGTATCATAAACAGGATATGCCAACACCCTCTCACCCAGCATGCCAATAGACTCGAGATATTGTTGCACCTGGCTATCAACAGCTTCGCCCCATGATGGTAGCCTCTCACGTAGTTCAATGAACTTCCGGTTTACACCTTCCTGATACAGAGCTATCCATTATAAGGCATCCTGAAGCCCTAATCAATACTGGTGCATGATGATGGTGGCAAGATTATGATTATCATCTCCATGAGGTTTTTCCCAATTATAAGAAGCAATATCTTGTAATAAGCATCAGATTAAAATTTCTGATTATACTCCAATGATGACTGACATTGCAAGTTATGATAGAATCAATTGCGCAAACCTCGAGTTCAAGCATAACTGGGTGATCAAAAACTTGGTCAGGTAGTACAATGACTCCAAAAACCCTTTCCATGTTGACTCTGGGTGTCATGCATGAAGTGACAAAACCGGATAAACCCGGTCTCTGCCGAAGCAGCCATTGTTCTCCATGGAGCATAGCCACCACTCCATGGAGTAACCATTGTTCTCCTAAGAGTCATTATACTGTAGCGAGTAGCACCTCCGACTATAAGTAGTAGGGGGTTTAGTATAGAAATACCTCAGTCGTTTCTATAGCCTCTTGGGCAGCGGCTGAGGTATGTTACATTATATTTATTAGAGATCACCTTAAACTAACATCCATTGTAGTTTCACATAGGTAAATAATATAGTCATTTCTATAGCCTCTTGGGCAGCGGCTGAGTTTCACATATTTTTATTAGTGCACCAGAGTAACTAACTCTTGGTTGTTACAATGCAGTGGTAACAATGGTTAAGGAAGCCTGTGAGGGCTATGAGGAGTAAGATAGAAAAAAATACCTCTAGCCCTAGAGCCAGAGGTGTGATGGGAAAAGTGTCTGAGAGCCAAGACATGGAACAAAAAAATAAGAAAATAAGGAAATATAAATGGTCCTTACAGGAGGGGTGAAAGTAGGCAATTAGTGGAGAGGTGCACTGAAAGCCTCCTTGTTCCACACATTTTTGGCAACCTGATACTAGTTAGCAGTGCCCTGTAGATAATAAATAACAATAAAATACTTGCCAGATCTATGGCCTCTTTGTCATAGGCCTTGCACTGTATGAGAGTGAGTTGTGTGTAGAAATATCTTCAGAAGTCCCCGCTGCTCCCATTTGTGTTAACATGTACTAACCGATGCTGAGAACATAAGGTACTGGGAAGGAGAATGCAAGAGGCACAAGATACATACAAGCAACAGTGCTTACTATCTGGTTGTGCCCTTCAGGCGCATCTTGGATTTGACCTTCTTGTTGCTGCCAGTTTTGTTGGCTGATACATTCAGGGTGGCAGCCTTGCCTTTTGTGCCACTGGCAGTATTCTCCTTGTCTGCATCATTGGTCTTTTCTTTGGGAGGTGGAATGGGCACTAGAGGTAGTGGTATGATCTTGATATTTGCTGACAATAATGACCTAGTAGAGCGCATCAATAATACACATATAATTTTTAGAGACCTGCAGAGGGTTTGGCATTGGCCATTTTGGTGTGGCAACCAAAAGAGCATAATTGTCCTTGTCAGCTGTGTTGCAAGAATGAGGAGAGGCTGGTGGAGTGGGTGTGGGTGTGTGAGCAGGGGGTGGTGGAGGAGCTGGAGCTGGTTTGCATAAAAGGAGGGGTGCTGGAGTCTGCACACAAGCAGGGGACAGTGGAGTTGGCTTGTGGAGAGGCAGAGGCAGTGGGGTTGGTGAACAAGGAGGAGAGGGTGAAGGAAATGGGCTCAGTGAAGATGTTGAATAAGCTTTTTTCTTGCTGACTGTATGTGTGTGTAAGATGAAAAAGATCATTGAATAAATATGTTTTTACTTACCTTTTGCTTTCTTGACTTTGATGGTGTCTGACTTGTCATTCATTGCCTTGTACTTCTTGCTGGTGGGCAGGACCTCTGCAATGACAATGTTGTCCTCATTTTTGTTGTCCTCATCATCATTGTTGTGTTTGTTGGTTGTTGTTACAATTAACATACCAGCACCTACTTACGCTTCACTTTTGTACTTTACTTTTCATTTTTCCAAGTCACATGACCAGTCATGTGACTATTTACTTTACTTTACATTTTCGGACTTTTCATAGTCACATGACTAAGTCATGTGACACATCACCTGACCAGTGTCTAGACTCATCATGTGACCGGTCACATGCTAGACATCGGACTTTGAACTTTATTTATAACTGTACAGTACCTCATGTATTTTAGTATATATACAAGAGCAATACATGGGGAAGGACTCAGCGAGTCCTCCTGTTGTCTAGCACAACTAACTCACTGCAGCCTAAGGGGTAACCACTCCCCATCATCTTCTTTATAGTGTGTTCCTGTGTGCGCCAGAGTAAATAAATCTTGGTTGTTACAGTCGTCTTTCAGTGGCCTTCACTGTCAATATGGTTTCTTCTTTACCCAAGTATTCAAGCTTCCATCCATTGTTAGCCAGCTTGAAGATAGGGAACTTGTGTTCTACCATGCTGTGACAAAGCTGTTGCCTGGGTAGAGGGACTTTTCCCCATGTCCTAGGGGCGAGCTTCTTGTGTACCAGTTCTGACCACGCAGACCTTACCACCTTGTGGATCGCTTTTACTGTTGTAGCATTCACCTGTTTGCTATTCTCATCCTCCAGATAAGCAACCTTCTGTTACAACTCAAATTTACTCTCAATTTATCCTTCACCTTTTTCTTTACTTATCAGACTATATTCCTTTATCTAGTGGTTATCATTCACCACTATCTCTATATACCCACACATATGCTTTCACATCTTATCTCTCTATTTTTTTATACACATTTCTGCTTATCTTATCTTATCCTTCCTCTTCCCTTCTTGGACACACAGTCTTAGCCCATACCTTGTGATCTGCGGTTCTTCCAAGGATATTCCTTATAGCTACATTATGGTCACACATCCTTAATCTATTCTTGCTATTTCCCCTAGGATACTCCTTTTGAACTACAAACCTCTTGCCCTTGACCACGGAGGTCTTTACACTATTGGCTCTTACTTACAAAACCCAGCTTGGAGCTGAACTACCTATTCAGTATTTAAACCCCTGTATAACAGTAGGATAGGACAAGTTGAATCTACTCTACAATTCCCTGCTATCATCATTCAAGAAGATCTTAGTCGTATTATCTGAGGAGACTAACATTTAGAAGGCCATGAAGATGGATGGTAGCATAACTTTAGAGTTGAATGCAATCTAATAGCAAAGCAGATTGTAACACCTTCCTTCATATGCAAACTTGCGCAGCCAGAGACTCTTGCTATTCAGCAAAGTCAATTTGGTCCCAAAATTTGACCTGGGGATGTGTATCAGCTGTCAGATGATTTGATTCAGATGGTGAGAGCCAGGTGAGGTCAAAAGCAGAGGGGTCTGTAGAAGGAAGGCAAACAGCCTTTGCAAGAACTTCAAACATGTTTCTGATACAAGTAAGTGGTCAGAGAACAGGAAAATACTCAGTGCACTTACTTCATAATGTCTCTTTCTGTAATTATCTTAGTTAATTGGGCCTCATGATGACTGCAATGTTCACGCAGGGCTACTATCTACTGTGAGTCCTGCATATATGTGCCCTAAAAATGGCTCATGGTGAGAAAACCTATTAAAAATTTAAACTTACTTGAGAGAACATGTTGTATCCATGTTGTTGTGGATATTGTGAGGCTGGTGGAGCCATGTAAGTAAAAGGGTCTATCTCTGAGAGTGATCCAGATCCAGATGACAGTGGAGATAAGCCCAAACTGAGTGCACTGCCCATGTGCCTGTTCTGTAGGAGATTAAAAGAGCATTGAGAAACAATATTAAACAGGTTTGAGCCCGAGGTATCACTGGATGTGTGCATGTTGGAAGTGGAAACCATGGGAAGAGAAAGAGACTTAGGGGAAGGAATGCCCATATTGAGATGCCAAAATGTCATCATGATATCAAAACCAACATACACAGCCTAGCTTATGATTAACATGATTGGTATCAATCTGATCCCATCACCATACCCCCCTGTCAAA